TACAGCTAGCCTTCTCTTCTACCTTCTTTGCTGGTCTCTTTCAAGCCTCTCTTGGAATCCTCAGGTTATAAATTTATATATTTACCCAAAAAGTTATTTAGCTTTGCATGAACCATGTTTTATATCTGTTGAAATATTTGTGTGTATGTGAGGTCAATATTGGGCATGGCCTAGGCTAGTGGCAGTCTGTAGGGTTACATATACACACTAGTATTACTAAACGTTAAATGTTGTCGGTGCTTATATTACTTGCCTTTGAAGATTAGGAACAAATTTAAGATTGTTTTTACGTTTTATACATATTTAGAAGATAATTATCATATTATTGACCCTAGTCCAAAGTATAATAAGCTTTTTAGAAATGATACTACTATTCTATCACTAATAAAAGAAACAAAAAAAAAAAGTAATTGCACCACCAAGTGGCAATGGAGAAGATGTTGTTTAAGAAAAAGAGACATTGTGTTTAACCTTTTTTTTTAATGTGTAGGCTGGGATTTATAATAGACTTTCTATCAAAAGCGACGCTAATAGGGTTTATGGGTGGAGCAGCCATAATTGTATCACTCCAACAGTTAAAGGGTCTGCTTGGGATAACTCATTTCACAAAGCAAATGAGTGTGATCCCTGTTCTCTCCTCTGTTTTCCAACACACCAACGAGGTTTCTCTTCTTCTTCTTCTTTTTCCTAATTCCTCTGTTTTAGTCAAATTTGATTTACAATGTTATTAATGGTACTATTGTGCAGTGGTCATGGCAAACAATTGTGATGGGAGTTTGCTTCTTGCTCTTCTTGCTCGCGACACGTCACCTCGTATGTTGCCTACCTCTCCATATTCATTTGTCATTTTCATTCTCCATCAATATGCATGTACAACATTTGTTACCATGGTCCATGGACCGCCATGGTTTCTCTAAACCTTCTTCCCGCCATAAATAACGAACTAACTGTTTTGGAGTAGAAAAACAAATAATTATTTCATCAAAAAGTTAAATATGGTAAAGATTTGATTAGTTTAATGATTTAAATAGCTATTACATACTTTGCTCTGGTATGTGATTTTAAAAAATTACTACATGAGGTTTTTTTTATATAAATAATTACTGCATGGGATTGTTAAATATATTTTAAGTAATAATAAGAAAGGAATTTGAATGCAGAGCATGAAGAAGCCGAAGCTGTTCTGGGTCTCAGCCGGAGCTCCACTTCTTTCCGTTATCGTCTCTACGCTTCTCGTCTTTGTTTTCAGAGCCGACCGTCACGGAATCAGCGTCGTAAGCTTCCCTCTTCCCCCTATAAACCAATTCTCTGTTTTTCTTTCTCTTTGTTTTGCAGAAATTTTAAAATCTTTAATTTGTTGATAGATCGGGAAATTACAAGAAGGTTTGAATCCACCGTCTTGGAACATGCTTCAGTTTCACGGTAGTCATCTCGCACTCGTCGCCAAAACCGGACTCGTCACCGGAATCGTCTCCCTCACGGTATAGTTTTTTTTATTCTTTTCAAACGCAACTTTTACGTGAGAAATAAATATATCACATTTTCGAAATATAAAACAAATTTTATGTTTACATAAAATACATTTTTACTATAAATGCAAAATATTTGGTGTTTACTTTTATAAGTTAAGAAAATCATTTTGATTTAAACGTTTAAAATTGTGGGTTCAAGTTAAGAACAAAATTTGTGGGTTCACTTGACTAAAGATATGAAAAAGATTATCTTAGCGTAAAAAATGTAGAGTTTGAAACAATGCTCACCTGACTAAATTAGTAATGGAACAGGAAGGAATCGCAGTGGGAAGAACATTCGCAGCGCTAAAGAACTACCACGTAGATGGAAACAAAGAGATGATCGCCATTGGTCTAATGAACGTAGTAGGCTCTGCCACATCTTGCTACGTCACAACCGGAGCATTCTCTAGATCAGCGGTTAACAACAACGCGGGAGCTAAAACCGCGGTTTCAAACATCGTGATGTCGGTCACGGTTATGGTTACGCTTCTCTTCCTAATGCCGCTTTTCGAATACACTCCCAACGTGGTCCTCGGTGCCATCATCGTGACCGCGGTCATTGGTCTAATTGACCTTCCCGCGGCCTGTCAGATATGGAAGATCGATAAATTTGATTTCCTGGTGATGCTTTGCGCGTTCTTTGGTGTCATTTTCCTATCCGTTCAAAACGGTCTAGCCATTGCGGTGGGGCTATCGTTGTTCAAGATATTGATGCAAGTAACAAGGCCGAAAATGGTTATAATGGGTAATATTCCAGGAACGGATATATACCGGGATCTTCATCATTACAAAGAAGCACAAAGGATCCCGGGATTCCTTGTCTTAAGCATTGAATCTCCTGTCAATTTTGCCAATTCTAACTACCTCACTGAAAGGTTAGCCATGAAACTACGATCATTTCTATATAGAATTTAGCTTTGATCTCTTAAAAAGTTTATGAACCGCGATGTTATTAAATTGTAACGGTTGCATTATAATATAATATGCTAACATTCTCTAGCTTTTGTGTTGCATAAAAACTTTGTAGAACATCTCGTTGGATTGAAGAATGCGAAGAAGAGGAGGCTCAAGAGAAGCATTCTAGCCTTCAGTTCTTGATTCTTGAAATGTCAGGTTAGTCTTAATAAAACCTATTAGAATCTCATATCAGAAATGTGATTAGAGTTAAGGTAATAAATAAGGGAGAAGGCAAATTTATTCACAACCAATTGGTTTTAGCTAACTTTGTTTTTATATATGTTAAAGCCGTGAGCGGTGTAGACACAAACGGAGTCTCCTTTTTTAAGGAGCTGAATAAAACAACCGCGAAGAAGGACATCGAGGTAAAAAATTTTGTTTACACAAACAGTTTTTTTGTCACTGATCCAAGGAAACTAATTAGATTTTGATCTTAACCGGATTTTGAAGCTTGTGTTTGTGAACCCTCTAAGCGAAGTGATGGAGAAGCTACAAAGAGCTGACGAACAAAAAGAGTTCATGAGACCCGAGTTTCTCTTCTTAACCGTCGCTGAGGCCGTTGCGTCGCTATCTCTTAAAGGGCCACCTCTCAATAACGTTTAACTATAATTTTTGTCGGTCCAAAAATGATATTTAACGGATGGTTAAATTTTTCCTTTTTGTCTCTTAATTTTCATCTTTTAATTTCAGTACAGATGTAATGTTATGTTTCTCTGTCTCTTTCTTCGGTAATGATTTTGGTCAAGATTTGTTTAATATGTGTTTCGCCATTTTGTAGTAATACTTTGCCATGTTTAGTCTCCTAGAATAAAATTGATCTTGAAATCGAATTGATGAATTGAATCTTAGCTAGAATCTTAGCTAGATCATTATATATATATATATCAAACATGAGCCAAATTGTGTTAAGAACTTTGCCAAGTTAGAGCTTACATTTTATGTTGTAAAAAAAAAAAGAGCTTACATTTTATATCAAAGTGGATGAGTTACTAATTGTCAAGAGGGATGTGAAACTGACGGACATGAATCGAAAAATAAGCAATTACATTCAAGAAGATTTCAAATCAGCTATGTGTCTGCATCAACAACGTCTTGTATGTTTCGAATCGCATCAAGCAAACTATACAAAGATACATGTGTAAACGTTTTAGGCAAGAAATTTTCAAAATAAAATTGATCTACAAATCGAATCGGATTGAATATTTAGCTAGATCAAAAGATGAAATATAACTGAAAACATAAACTAATATATATTTTTAATAAGATGATTACTCTTTTTTGTGAAATCATTAAATTTTTCTGAAGTTGTAATAACATTGTGAAATAATCTATGCAGTTCAACCGAATCCATTCAAAGCTGTAATAACATTGTGACTTCTATGTAAAAAAATTCTTGATATATACGGTCGCGTGAAGATCTTTAGACTTTATATCGCATAAGGCATCCTTTAAAACTACTACTTTCCCGACAAGAATAAAAAAAAAAAACTCTTACCTTTTAAAAACAAAAGGCCAGATAGAATGTATGATAGGCCTTATGAAAGAAAATGGACAGGGTGGCTTCAAAGTGTGAACCAATTTCTTGAGAGCGCATATGATGTTATAATTAACCCCTAGCTTAAAAAAATAGACGATTGGAAAACAAAATTCAATTTTTTTTTTGGTCAACCTAGTTAGGCGAATATGACCTGCAACTCTGCAAGCCCCTTCTTTACCAATTTATAGTAATCTTTTGCTCCTTAATCACGTGTTTAAATCACCACTACGACATTATTTTTATGCTTATGTTTTTGTTTACGTTTATTTTGTTTCTGTTTGGGCCAAATGCCCACTCATAGGAGAAACCAAGCATAGTAATAATAAGTCATTAGCCCAACTGCCCAAGAAGCATATTAACAAAATATTATGTTTAACAAAATAATAAGTCATTAGCCCAAACCTCTTCTTTTTTTTTTGGAAAAAACCACAATATCTATTACTTTCTTTTATCAAGGACTCACAAAATTCACGGAATGGAAATTTTCGTTTACGTGTGACATATATCCTTAAAGAGTTAAAGATATAGTGGTAGTTTTAAACAATATGAACATAATTTTTTCTTTTGAATAACTAATATGAACATAATCTCTTTAAACATGTAACCACCTATTTTCAATACAGATATTCATAACGTCAAGAAACAAAAAAAAAAAAAAAAATTACGTATTTAAGTAAAACATTTGGCTAAAAGTGATTTGTCCTAAACGTACGTGGTCTCCACAATCCACTCTAAAAAATTTCAATCAATTTCGTAACAAATTCTTAACCTATTTCAAACACAATTCATAACCATGAACGGCCTAATCTGATATTTCTTTATATCATCTTAAGTGGTACAGAAATTAAGGGAAAGTTCAGATATAGATAGTAGGAAAAAAGTACAAAAATAGATAAGATTTATATATGTTTAAAGAAGTAATAAAATAAAAATAGGAACTAATTAGGTCGTCATGTGTTTGCTGTATAAAAAGCTGTAAAGAGACATCTCTCGTAAATCTAAAAATCATCAAATCTTCTCCTTCTTCTCTCTCTCTCACACACTCACTAGCTTCTCTGTTAAAAGCTTCCGTCATTACACAGAGCACATAGACTGACACTAACTCACTTCCTAACGGTTTCCAAACTCAAAATTACACTTTTGCCACTCCGGCACACAACAATGATCACATGGCACGACCTCTACACCGTCCTCACGGCGGTGATACCACTCTACGTAGCTATGATCCTCGCTTACGGCTCCGTCCGGTGGTGGAAAATCTTCTCACCAGACCAATGCTCCGGCATAAACCGCTTCGTCGCTATCTTCGCCGTCCCTCTCCTCTCTTTCCACTTCATCTCCTCCAACAATCCTTACGCAATGAATCTCCGATTCATCGCCGCCGATACACTCCAAAAACTAATCATGCTCACTCTCTTAATCATCTGGGCTAACTTCACTCGCTCCGGTAGTCTCGAATGGAGCATCACAATCTTCTCTCTTTCAACACTTCCCAACACTCTCGTTATGGGAATACCTCTCTTGATCGCCATGTACGGCGAATATTCCGGCTCACTCATGGTTCAGATCGTTGTTCTTCAGTGTATAATATGGTACACGCTTCTTCTCTTTCTTTTTGAATACAGAGGAGCTAAGATCTTGATCATGGAGCAGTTTCCAGAGACTGGTGCTTCGATTGTTTCTTTCAAAGTTGAGTCCGATGTTGTTTCTTTAGATGGACATGATTTTCTTGAAACTGATGCTCAAATTGGTGAAGATGGTAAGCTTCATGTTACTGTGAGGAAATCAAACGCTTCTCGGAGATCTTTCTATGGTGGTGGTGGTACTAATATGACTCCTCGTCCGTCGAATCTCTCCGGAGCTGAGATTTATAGTCTTAACACTACTCCGAGAGGATCTAACTTCAATCATTCTGATTTTTACTCTATGATGGGATTTCCCGGTGGTCGGCTTTCGAACTTTGGTCCGGCAGATATGTACTCTGTTCAGTCCTCGAGAGGGCCTACTCCTAGACCTTCGAATTTTGAGGAGAGTTGTGCTATGGCTTCTTCGCCAAGATTCGGGTATTACCCGGGAGGACCTCCCGGGTCATACCCAGCTCCGAATCCGGAGTTTTCTACGGGTAATAAAACCGGTAGTAAAATTCCAAAAGAGAATCATCATCCTGTCGGAAAATCGAATAGTCATGATGCTAAGGAGCTTCATATGTTTGTTTGGGGGTCCAACGGGTCACCCGTTTCGGACCGAGCGGGTCTTCAAGTTGATAACGGAGCCAATGAACAAGTCGGGAAATCGGATCAGGGCGGTGCTAAAGAGATTCGAATGTTGATATCTGATCCTACTCAAAACGGTGAAAACAAAGTTTTTTAACTTTAAATTCTATATATATATTTTTGTAATAAATTGATACAAATCTCAAACTATATTTGCTTAAATTTGTAGCTGGCCCGATGAACGGAGACTATGGTGGCGAAGAAGAGTCGGAGAAAGTCAAGGAAGTGCCCAACGGACTACACAAGCTTCGGTGTAACTCCACAGCAGAGCTAAACCCTAAAGAAGCTATAGAAACCAGTGAAACTGTACCGGTAAAACATATGCCGCCGGCAAGTGTGATGACTCGGTTGATACTGATCATGGTGTGGAGGAAACTGATAAGGAACCCAAACACTTACTCTAGTCTCATTGGTCTCATTTGGGCTCTTGTTGCTTTCAGGTAACTTAATCAAAAATCAATTACTAGTGGAAGTTAATTATTATTATGAGATTAGATGAGAGTGATGTTTATGGTAATTTGGTTATGAAGGTGGGATGTGGCAATGCCTAAGATCATTCAACAATCAATCTCAATTCTTTCTGATGCTGGTCTTGGTATGGCAATGTTCAGTTTGGGTGAGTCATCTTATTACTCTGTTTTTTTTTCCGTTAACTCATTTACTTTCTTTCTATTTTTACGCCAATCAAATGTCACAACATACACATTCGTACGGAAAAATTTGTAATTTTTTGGTTGAGGATTCCAATAATTGAAAATGGTTGGTATTTTTTAAGATTTTTTTGGAATGGCCCGTTACGGCATGGACCATCCGACAGGTAGGGTCAATGATGCGACATCGTATTATATAAACGGTCGTGGTGGGAGGACATAGCTCGTGTTCTTGATTGTTGTCGTGGTCCCCATATTAAGTGGAAGTTGATTGGACTTACAATGTACATATATGCATCATCATCATCATTTAATGGATTTAGATTACGTTTACATATATGCATCATTCAGCACTTATTGTTTTGAGTGGAAACGTATTAACTGAGATGTGAAAATGGTGAAGGGTTGTTCATGGCATTGCAACCTAAATTAATTGCTTGTGGAAATTCGACGGCGACTTTTGCAATGGCGGTGAGATTCTTTACTGGACCAGCAGTGATGGCTGTAGCAGCAATGGCTATTGGATTGCGTGGAGACCTATTGCGCGTGGCCATAGTTCAAGTAAATTAAATTATTTTCGTTTGTTGTTAACAATCCATTTGTAAGAAGTAATTTAACCAAATCTTGTGGTAACATTGTAGGCTGCATTGCCTCAAGGGATCGTGCCGTTTGTATTTGCAAAAGAGTATAATGTTCATCCCGCAATCTTGAGTACAGGGTAAGTATTTCATATTGAATCAATAGTAAAAAATTTCATATACATAAGATAAGATTACTAATATTGTTGATGTTCTTTTGTGTATTATTGCAGGGTAATATTTGGAATGCTTATCGCACTACCGATCACACTTGTTTACTACATTTTACTCGGGCTATAAGCTCTGTAATGGAGAAGTTCTGCTTGGCTGAAGAGGATAAAGAGAAACAAGATAATTCCAAGATTAGTGGAACGCATCTAGAAAATGTAATGTAACACGAGATTTAGTATAAATTTAAAGGGAGCAAGATTTGATTTGAGGATCCAAAAACCCTTTTCTTGTCTATATATCTTCTAGAGATTATGTGAGAAAGAAGTGGATGGAATGAGAGAGACAAGAGGAGCAGAACAAGGGAAAGCGGACAAAACAGAGGACTAAGATTTGATTTGAGGATCCAAAAACGCTTTTATCTTTTCTTTTATTTTTTGATAAGAAGTGTAAAAAAACCTTTGATCATATATTTTGATTAGAAATATTTTCTTTTACTTTCAGTTTGTGTAGTTATTCAGTTTTTTTTTTTTTTTATGTGTAGGTTTTTTCTTTTGACGAAAGTGTGTTTTTGTATATTTTCCTTTATCATCTCGTATACATTGTTATTACAAAAGCAAAGACTGTTTTATGAACCCATAATCAATTAAATGAAGAAAATGACCTCTTAGGTAGCGATTAGACGTTAAAACATATTACTATAATTTGTTTATTTAATTTTTGTTGTTGTTTCATGACGTATATGACTAAATTTATATTATATTACATCAAAAGATATGAACAAAGAAAATCATATCATAGAATTCGAGTAAGACCAGGAAAAAAGATGGACTCTTTTCTTACAATTCGGCTCTTCACTAAAATAACAAGGTGAAAAGTGAGTTCAAAACATCTCAACCCATTGAATTTTTATGAGTGTATCACTTTAAATTTTACTAATTTTATTTTTATATACTAATGTGGGCGTTGAGAATTTTTTTTTTTTTTTTCTCAAAAGGAATTTGTCTAGTAGAACTTTAGATGCTGTTTAGACAAGTACGTATTAATTGCCATAATGAGATTGGTCGCATCGGTGTGGGAAGAAGTGGGTTAGGCGCTTTTGCACTCAAAAGGCTTTGTGTCAAAAAAAAAAAAAAAAAAAAGGCTTTGTGTCGTCGTTTTAGTAAGCTCTGTGATGTAACACAAGTTACATATAAAAAACTAAAAACATGAAAGTAATAAATAAGAAGCAGAAAGTACTTAAAAGTCAAAAGCAAAAAAATTGGAGAAAAGTAATAGCTGCTTTCTTGGTGTGTGTAGTGCTTTACTGCTTTTTCATTGTTTTCATACTTTTTTATATCTAGGTATGTTCTCAAATATAGGATTGAAAATGACCCATTTTTTAGGTGACACAAGATCGTAATATGTTGCGTTACTGTTTTTTGTTTTTTTTTTTTGGTTAAGAATGTAAATATTTCATAACAATGAAAACGGTTTAGGTTTACAATTGATGATTATAGACCTACATAAATGGTCTCCTAGCAAAAAAGATAAAAACATGGAAGCATAATCCATACAAAAATTCGGTCCATCCAGTTGGGTTACTGTTAATATATTAACTATAGTCTCCGACTATTACTCCTGATTTTGCGGTGAACAAAGAACCAACCCCAGTCTAATATAAAAATTCAGTTAATATTTTATTGATCGTTTTCTTTTCTCTCTTTAAAGCTCGATTTAAGTTGTAATCGAACAATAGGTGAATCCGTGTGACCTTGTGTGTTCAACCAGTTATGGACCAACATTAAGTGTGATTGGTTTTTGAATTTAATTTTACTATGAAAATCCATATTTTTGGTTGAAATAGAAACAAGTAATTATAGGTACTACTCCCTAAGTTTAAATATTGTTGGGTGGACGATCGTTGGGTTCCGAAATATGTGACCAATTTAAAGATCCATTGAATTAGATGTCGAAGTGGAAGGGAACATACCCAACTCTTATATAGTCCTTCTAGAAATTGAGAAAAAGGTCTTCCAACAAATAATCTTCAATCACGGATTTGACCAGCCACTGAAAAGGTAACTAATTTGGTTAATCATCGAGATTAGTATTTCGTTATCTTAAGACCAACATGCGTCGCATAAAAGCTATAATGACTTCGTGCACCATTAATTTCAATACGACGTATGAAGATATTTTATTTCTTGTTATTATCGAAAATGCCTTACGTAATCAGAAATCTTTATCGGTATAGTCGTCACATAAACGGATAGAAGGGGATTGTCTTAACGACATAGGTCGGAAATTCTTGATAGAAACTATTTCTTTTGTTTTCCTAGATATATAGATTTTGGTATAAGTTCTTACTAATAAACTAATTCTTTGTTTCTATAGGTTTTTTATAAGTACAAATCTAACGAAATGATCACTTTTAACTATAATCATTTCTTCATTCCAAAATTTCATCAGATTATTAACAAAAATAAAATAATTTATCATCCCGCAAATAATTTTATCGTAATGATCCTGAAATTCCACATCATATTTTTTCCTCGATTATCTGGTTCTACAGTAGAACAAATTACAGCCATACAGACATAATGATATATGTTGAAGTGTGAGTGACTAGCTAGTGTACTTATTAGCCAATGTCGAAAAATGTCGGCTTCTTGCTTGTTAGCTTCTTCTTTTTCTGTCTATTGCCTCTATTATTCTCTCGGCCCACTCCCTCATCTCATGTGCTCTCTATAGCTATAGACCTTCCTCTCATTGTCTCTTTGTGAGTTGTGACACTCTCTTCATTGGACTTTACCCCAAGTCATATACAGATTTGTATATCATTACATGTTCTTATAACAAATTTGATTTAGGCTTCCAAAATGTTCACTGTAAATTGATGTAACCATCAAATCAATCGGGCCATACACTCCCCCTAAGCCTTCCCTCCACGCCGTGACAGCCAATGGGTTTCATAAGGTGGACCGTGGACAGCACGGACGATACACACCTCCTTGATAACTAAATGAATTATTGAGAGTTGTATGCATCTACTGATCTACAATGGATCGTGTGCATGCATTTGAAATCGAGTAGTAACAAAGCAAAATGACCCATGGATCGTGTGCATGCATTTGAAATCGAGTAGTAACAAAGCAAAATGGCCCAAAAGAAGAAAGCAACGTTGTCTTTGTTTTGAAGAACTAATCGATTTTGCTATGTAATTTCTTTTATGAATTTTCTCGCTTCATACCCTTCAACTAAAAGTAACGTCCATATATACATTAGAAAAAAAGATCTATACATTAATTTATGTAAAATACTATGAAATATGGGTGCAAAGAAAAACTAAAAAAAAACAGCTAAAAGTTATTCACGATCAATTTATAATTTGGATTTTTTTTTTTCATTTTTGTCATCAGACTTTGGAGTCTTTTAATTTTCGAACTGTAATCTTTTTTACTTTTTAAGTTACTTTTTTTGGGATTTTGTTCTAGAGGCTTTGTTTGAACAGAAAATAGGGATCTTTGCACATATGATTATATGAATTCCAACAAGAAAAAGATTATATATAGTAGAAAAGCTGGTAGAACAGTAGATCTCAATGAATAGCATAAGTGGAGTTAAGTTAAAAAATAAATAAATGAATGATTAAATAAATTAATTAACTAAAAAAGTTAGATAAATAAATGAGATAAAAATGATTAGGATTGATAGGGAATGGTGGTGTCCTCGTGTGCGTGGCTGCATCCTCTCGTGGTACACCACCATAAATAATTATTGTTATTCTAATATAAATCATTTTAAGCTTTCTATTAGTAAAAAGAGAAAATATAATATATATTTTGGTAAAGAAAATAAAGCGAGAAATGACAGGTGATCAGTGTCGGCGAAACCACGGACCACCGGTTCGAAGTGTCCGACAAGTGAACAATTGGTTAATGGGACTTTCACACTCTTTTTCGTATTATACGTTTAACACCCATGCCAACGCCATTCTTCTTCTCTTTGTTAACAAACTTAAAAGCCCTTCATCTTTCTTTTTTTTCTTTGTCGAAAACAAACAAATAAAAAGATAACCAAAAACATGATAGACTTATGAGTTATGTCTATGTTTCTTTCACATGGGAATATGTTCACACAAAAATTCCCAGAAATACCATTGATGCCTTTATTTTTCAAAAAAAAACAAAAAAAGCAAAAAAAAAGCCATAGTGATGTCTTTAAGAAAAACACAAGTTTATCACTTTTGTCACAACAAATCTGCTTTGTATTTAATAGGTTAACAAAGGAAACTTAAAAAAAAAAAAAAAAAGGAAAAATCTCGGTTGAAGTTGAAGTATTGACAAAGTCACAACAAGTCTTGATATCATATCTAAACTCGGTTGAAGTAAATCATGTTTAGTCATTGCGTCATTGTTGTTATAGATGATAGATGTAATTTATATTGCGTCTGGTCTGTAACAAATATCTGATTCGCCTTAAAACATATATCACCGATCATATACAAAAGGTTTATCGTTAAATCCTAATTTCCTCGACGTGACAATTTGTTACAGATTGGGCCGTCACTATGTTTGGGGCTTCTCACCAGTTCATTAAGGTTCCATGAAAACACGTTTAACCAATTTAAAGAATACATATTTCATGACAACTTAGACACGTAGGAGAATACATATTTCATGACAACTTAGACACGTAGGCCTACTGACGCAACAACGACAACTTATTATGGTATGGTGTCGGGTCTATTTCTTATCTAAGACCTAAATCCTCTGATAAATTTCTCTAATTTGCCTTTCTTGTTCTCCTAATCTCCTTACATCAAAAAATAGTCAACATGACCAATTCCGCTTTCTCTATACACTAGGTCTGCTTTTCTTTCGGCCCACATATTTATTTCCAAATTTGTCTGTTTTACATTCACCTAGTATCAATATCTTAGAGACGGCGAGAAACACGTGTCAGAGAACGCAACTGTGGCATCTGCGAGCGTTAGCCACGTGGACCTTAAACCAACGTTGAGATAGAAGCAAAAAAGAAAAAACAGAAACAAAATGATAATGTTGTCTGATCTATATCAAAAAAATATGTGTATGATTTTGGAAGAATGAGAGTAACGGAGACAAGTACGTACAGAGATCTACATTTACCGTCTTTGATCATCGGAGGATCATTCGCCGCCGTTGCCATTTGTCTCTCCCTTTTCTCTATCCTCCAACATCTCCGTTTCTACACCAATCCTGCTGTACGTACAAAACGAAACTCCACTCTCTGTTTTCTTCTGCGTGTAGCTTCAATTTACATTGTATATTTGCATATGAATGATTCTTGGTTATATTTGTAGGAACAAAAATGGATTGTTTCTGTTTTGTTTATGGTGCCAGTTTATGCAACTGAATCGGTAAGCTTCTTCTTCCTCTTTCGGAGTTTTTGAATCTGTTGTTGTATTTTCAATTATAATCTGATTTTGGTTTTTAGATAATTTCCTTGTCCAATTCGAAATTCTCGCTGCCTTGTGACATTTTGAGAAACTGCTATGAGGCTTTTGCTTTGTATTCCTTTGGAAGCTACTTGGTCGCATGTCTAGGTGAGTTATGCATGTGTGCTCTTTCTCTTCCCGTTTAGTAATTGTTTAGCATCTTTAAACCAAGATGCAATATGAATGGTCAGGTGGTGAAAGAAGAGTTGTTGAATACCTCGAAAATGAATCAAAGAAACCATTGTTAGAAGAAGGAGCAAATGAGAGCAAAAAGAAGAAGAAGAAGAGTTCATTTTGGAAATTCTTGTGTGATCCATATGTCTTGGGACGAGAGCTTTTTGTGATAGAAAAGTTTGGTCTCGTCCAGTATGTAAGTCAAGTGAATTGGCTTCTTCTTGCAACCTAATTGCATGTTTTTGAGTTTTGGTGATAATTGTCTCAGATGATCCTCAAAACCTTTTGTGCCTTCTTGACATTTCTGTTGGAGCTTCTTGGTGTCTATGGTGATGGTGAATTCAAATGGTATTACGGGTATGTGAACTATTATATCATTGTGTCTTTTTTAATTAGATGGGAAGACAAGTGATGAGTCTTTGATTTTGTAGATACCCATACATAGTGGTGGTGCTAAACTTCAGCCAAATGTGGGCTCTGTTTTGCTTGGTTCAGTTCTATAACGTGACTCATGAACGCCTTAAAGAAATAAAACCGTTGGCTAAGTTCATTAGCTTTAAGGCTATCGTGTTTGCCACTTGGTGGCAAGGCTTCGGGATCGCGTTGCTTTGTTATTACGGTGTACTTCCAAAAGAAGGAAGATTCCAGAACGGGTTGCAAGATTTTCTCATTTGCATCGAGGTAACTCCTAAGCCCCTACGTTCTCTTAGGCTGGAGACTAGAGCATTTTATATGGTTCATTCCTAAGTACCACACTAGCGAGCTCTAGGCTATATGAGCTCCTATAATTATGTTTTTAACGATTCTACTACTTGTTGGTGGTGTACATTGGCAGATGGCGATTGCAGCGGTGGCTCATCTCTTTGTTTTTCCAGCTGAACCTTACCACTATATTCCGATATCAGAGTGTGGTAAAATCACAGCCGAAACGAGCAAGACGGAAGTGAAACTAGATGAAGGTGGTCTTGTTGAGACCACGGAAATACAGGTTGAAGCATCTGGCACAAGCATTAAGGAGAGTGTACAAGACATAGTTATTGATGGTGGCCAACACGTCGTGAAAGATGTGGTTCTTACAATAAACCAAGCAATGGGACCGGTGGAGAAGGGTGTAACGAAGATCCAGGATACGATTCATCAAAAGCTTTTGGATTCGGATGGTAAAGAAGAAACAGAAGTGACTGAAGAATTGACCGTTGAGACTTCGGTGCCGCCAAAAGAGTGATTGTTGAGATTTGCTCTTTGTTGTAGTTTTGTTTTATAGTTTTCTTTTAAAGATTTGTATCTTTTATCAAAGATAGTACTTCCATTGATTTCTTTTCTTACAACTCTCATACTTCTCTTATACTGAGGGCTAGAACTACTACTCTCTGACTTGTATAAGTGAAATACATATTCATCTAACTGGCGAAACCAAAAGAAAATAATAGATGGGCAAGAAAAAAATTTACCAGGGGCAACATATTTTATCTTATACTAATTAATTATTACATTATGTGGCATATTTCCATATTTTCATAGGTGGTAGTTGTCCCCATGCATCATTTAGAAACCCAGTGATGATGTTTATAATTGACTCCACAACGGAAAATCCTATTCATATTACAAAAATCTATGATAGATGGTTACATGCACCATGTTCACGATGGAAATATTTATCTTTAACACATAATATCTGCTGGAGCCTAAAATTCTTCAATAAAATTTTCTTCCTTAATATGCATAATTCACATTTTTTGTAAATCAGTCTCATATATTAAATTTCATTGGACTTCTACAAAAGAGAATAGCTTCAGAGTGAGAATCAAATGCAATTGAGCTAGATATGGTATACGACTTACTACGACTCCCGCAACCGCGGGAGAAGTCACATGCAATTGCGATGCTATGGTCTCTTACCAAAAAAAGACATTTCTTATTAATGTTATCACATGCTTGGCCTGTGATGAGGTCTCAATTATTATGTTTCCTTGTTCACTCTCCATGATATTGGTGTATACGACGTAGTCCTAAATGTTATCTATCTTCATTAGAAAAATTTTAAAATAAAAATAAAAATCATCTGTTTTTTATCAAACATTCATGCAAACAAAAAAAATGGTAGAAATATATGCGCATTAACCTTAAAGTCATATAGGATAAATGTTATTTTGACCAATATCTCAATGATGTATATATATAATTTCTTATATATGACCGACACAATCCATTGGTTTGTATTGCTAACGTTCTCGTGTCACCCAAATTTAAATAGACATAATAAATGTTGTTAGGAAAAATAAATTTATTTTTATACATTAAGCAGATCTAATGGTCCGTTAGATTTGGAAACACTTGAACATGTCGTTTGCGCTTTGTTGAAAGTATCCATACGATCAATGATCATAAAACGATCGAACGGTTACGAATAATTGCCACAGCATTGGAAACTCTCGACGTTGATCATGACCCTCCGAATTAAACGGCCGTGATAATGGAGAACGTGAGAAGCGTCCGTTTGAGAACAAGACAAAACAAAGACGAAACGAAAGCACATGTGACATAACATGACATGAACATGATTATTTGATTAGTCAGCTTTCTTTGCCAAATCTGAATTCGACGTTTTATTTACAGACTTCTCTTGTCCAAGTTCCTCATTCGTTCTCCAAAGTTACTTCATCAAATTTCGTATACTACTCTGTTTTTCATGCTCTTTGCTCCAAGCCTCCAACCAGAGCCGTTCCTAGCGTTTTAGAGGCCATAAGCTACTAAACTTAGATCGTGCAATTTTGTAACTCGAACGAAAATCTAATTTCTATTTATTCAAAATAATAAAATTTTATTACGCTAAAGAAATCATAGTTACTAAAATATTATAGAAAATAGAAATTTTATTCTTACATACCAAAATTCTTTTTTTTTTAATGAGATTTAGTGTTCAATTGGTTCTAAAATTATAATATAATATGTAATATGTTCAATCTATAAACATTTTATATTTACAGAAAACATTTCTGTTTAAATTAATTAGAGAGGTTGTAGACAAAAATTATACTAAAGAAAAAAGACAAATTTTAAATATGAAGAACATTACATCAAAGAGTCTAAATTTTTAGATATAAAATAAACAAAATAAAATGTAGAAATTGAGTAAGAAATGGAAGTAAAATAAGAAGAAATTTAATTGTTTATTTTAAGAGCATGGTTAGTGGGTGTTGTTTCATACATGTTTCCATTTCTTCTTCTTTTTACTTCCTTTTATTACTTATTACATAATTGGTAATATCATGAATCCATGCAATATCATCTGCGCACAATTATCGTTACATACATTTAAGTTTATAAAAAATTTAAGGCCTTAATGTTTGTTTTTCATAGAAGGAGGCCGTAGGCGAGTGTTTCAAATTTGTTAACGTGGCCACGGCTCTGCCTCCAACATACGGATTCTTTTAGGTATGCTTTGATTTTTTCGTTTCTTTTTAAAATTTATTTTCTTAAACAGGAAAATTATTAAACTCTGCGGTCATTAATCTCAACTCGTCGAACACTTTACTAGATAATATGATGGCGGGAGAGGTTCAAGAGCCATTTAACCTAAGCCTTTTGGTAATTTTTGTAACTTTATTGTTCGTTTATATGTTTAGTTCGGAGTCCTTCTATTACTAGCTTGACATTCACGAAACATGTTTCCAGTTTATATGCATACAATGTTTATTTTTGCAGTAAAAGTTTATGTTGAGTTACAAAAAAAAAAAATTGTTAATTGACACAACACAAACGCTAAAAATTTGTTTAAGACAATAGAAACCTTAATTTGTTTCCGAATGGGCTGCAGGAGAATTCTATACACTCGGGATCAGTATCATTTGGAAGATTCGAGAAGGAATCTTTATCATGGGAGAGGAGATCATCCTTCTCTCACAATAGATATCTTGAAGAGGCAGAGAGATTCTCTAAACCAGGCTCTGTTACTCTGATGAGAGCTCATTTCGAGGCGCATTTTAAGAAGAAAGGGATTCGGTTTCCGGGTTCTGCTGAAGCTCAAACATGGGGAGAAGTTGTTCATCATCAAACTTGTACTGAGAAAGATGAGAACACAAGTCAATTTGGTGATTCTTGTGTGAGTTATGACGAGACGATTCTTGTGAATTCGGATGATGATGTTCATACTTCTATTTCTGTTGCTTTGGAGAAAACTGAAATTGGCCGCAGTGAAGATGAAAAAGAAACAACATCTTCTTCCTCCACAACTAGATTGAAGCCTTTGAAAAATGTCCACAAATCTGTTCCTTGTTCCGCGGCCAAAGCTTCTACAAAGAAGCATGTTGTCATAGCGAAGGGATCTTCTCCAAGTAGTTGTAATACTAAAACCAGTATTGACACTAAGAGGTAGATTTGTAACTCTCTATTTATGTCTCTTTATGTGTATATATGTTTCACCACTCTTAAGGATTTTTTTGGTGGCAGACAAAAGGAATTGAAGCCTAAGAGTGTAGTTAAAACCATAGCATCTCAAGCTCCAACAACATCAAAGAAATCTGAGAGCCTAACAACTCCTTTGGTGGCTACAAGAGAAAAGAGAACAACTACTAATGGTTTCAGTTTCAGAAGTAACGAACGAGCCGAGAAGAGGAAAGAGGTATACTCTGTTTTTCTCTGTTCCAGTTTCACAATTAGAATTTTGAGCTTATGAGGGAACATTGTCTGATGCTGCAGGAAAAGGTAAAAGCTGTAGTGCCTAAAGATCTTAACTTTAAAGCAAGACCATTGCCTAAAAGCACACAAACTAGACCTCAACACACGTCAACAGGTCAGGCAAAGGCAAAGGCAAGAGATGATCACTCATCTATAGCTAGTTGTGATCGGTCATTGGCAAATGGAATGGTTAAGAGTAAGCTCATTATTAACAAACAGACAGCGGATATACAGAGGAGTCTAAACGGAATTCGACCAAAGACAAGCGATCAGACCGCAAGAAACAATACACACAGAAGGAGTTTAGCGGTTAGGCGTTCTGCGGTTGAGGTTGCTTTGTGAGCTTTTTTTTTTTTTTGAATCTAATGTTAAATTATATTCAAAAGAAAAAATACGTTGTTACAACCAAGTGCATCGTAATTCGTAAGTTTGAAAGAAATTTGAAAGAAAATTTGAGACCAAAAAAACTAGAAAGCTTTAGAGTTTAAATCCGAACTTGTAGCCATCTTTGATACGCCGCTTCGTATTGTCTATCTCCTTTTCTTCGAATCATAGAAATATGGTTTCTGATTTGCTTCTCTATCCATCCCGCTATAAGAGTCCCCGAATGAGGCTGTTCATCATGTCTACGACCATTTCTCTCCTTCCAAATCATATAGATGGAAGTTTGAGAGAGATACCTAGTGAGGAAGCTCTCCACCCGATCTTGCTTTGAATTTGAGATGTGATCTATAATTTGAGCCCAAACTGTTGTGTATTTTGCTTTGAGTATCCCTTTCGCAAGGGCAGCCCATATTTCCTGCGTGTAGTCACAAGAGAAAAAAAGATGATCCCTTGTTTCCACGCAAGTGTTACAGAAAACACAAAGTCCCGATCCACCTCCGTTCCAGCGTTGCATACATTCTCCCGTAGAAAGCCTGTCATGAACTGCTAGCCATACACAAAACGAGTACTTAGGGGTGTCATAAGTGAACCATACTCCTTTGTGCCAAGAGACTGTGGTAGAAGTTGTTCTGATGTGATTCCATGTGTCCTTTGTCGAGAAATGTGGTTTGAAAGCATCATTCTTGTCGCGCCATAGCACACTGTCTACGTTGCCATTTCGTTTTTTCCCCTGTTCAAACAGTATCTCCTCTGTTTCATTTAATAAGGCTGAGCGGTGTCTTCTACGGCGGTGACTGGCCCAAGCTTGCGCCACCGTACTCGTGCTACTGATCCCCAAATCAATGACGCCCCTAACACCCGCAGACAATGTCTCAATTTGTGAGCTTTTCAATGTCTCTGCTTTTGTTCTTTGGATTCAACTTCAGCCGTAATTAGTAGTACTATGGCCTCAATTGTATCTTTGTGTTTGTGTTTCTATGTTGTAATGAGTAGATTGTTTATATCATAGAAAATTAGAAACGCAAAATACAAATAAACAATCAGAACCTATGTAACCTTGTTTTAAAATCACCATTTCACCTAATTTCTAAAAGAATAAAAGCAGAGATATTTAGATGTATTTGAATCACCTAACTTCACCCGTATTTACACATCTATATAGAAGCTACTATAGACAGTGACCAGGTTCTTTTAGACAATGTCACTGCTTTTGTTCTATATAGATGTGTAAGTGGTGTATTTATTACACATTTCACAATATTTTTTTAAAAAAAATTAAATGTATAAATATACTACTAATTAAAACTAAAATAAATTCAAATTTTATTAGCGTAAATTATAAAGTTGGTTTGAATTTTGAAAAGTGACATTAGAATCTTAAAAGGACAATTATTTTAAAACTCTAGACTCAAGAGTTTTTGTGCAAAAACCATAAAACCTCTGTTTTTCTATATAACATTAAATTTTAATTTTGATTTTCAACTAATTAAACTCGAGGCGGCCTAAATATCCTTTTCATTTTCTGCTTCCATGTGTTTCCACATAATCAAAAGAGTCTATTATTAATCCTTTTGTCCATACGTTAACCTCCATATTGGTGTCCACTATCTCTATGAACTCACCCACGAAAAGTGACGTTATTGACATTGCTTGTGCCTATCCTAATTCAAGGATCGCGACAAATAATTTAAATTGCATATATGTCTTACCGTATATCAATATAATGAGTATTATTAATAATACAAGAAATACTACGAATAATGTTCTTAGCCTCCTAACATTTTTTTTTTTCTGCTCTAGTTCCGCTGCAGTATATTCTAAAGTATTACAATATTTCTTACTCATCATATAAGAAAAACTTCCAGAACAGTTACTAATTAAGTTATAAACAAAATGTTACCGAGAACTCCAACCACCACAACAAGATTTGCCACGGCTACGATCCTCACCGTCAATTTCGCCACGTGTGAAGACGACGAGGTTTGATCCGTTTGGTGAGGAGGTTTTCTGAAGTAGTAAGGGAAGTACGGCAGGATAGCATCCGGCGGTGGAGGACCATAGAAGTTGCTGCCACTACCGTCTCCGCCACCATATGGTGGAGAAGGGTAGTTTGGTATATTCCCAACCGGAGGAGGGTAATTCGGTAAATTCCCAGCTGGAGAAGGGTAGTTAACGGCTGGAGGAGGATACGGTGGTGGTTGAGTCATGGAGGGCGTGGAGGAGCTGCCGCCAATAGGCGGCGTTGGATAACACGGGTACGGACACGGCGTCTCGGATATGGCTAAGCAGGGGAAGTAAACAAGAGAAAAGATGAAGAATGAGCTCAAGAGGAGAAGGCCATGATCGTTTGTGTTCATGTTTTCTTTTGTTTTGTTTTACAAGAACTTGGTGAAAGAATGGTTCTTCTTTTTTTTTAATGGTAAACAAAGAATTTTGGATAAGAGAAAGCGCGAGAAAGTAAATTAAGATAAGTTTTTTGGCAAAAGCTTAGTTGGAAGGTGTGGACTCTAGCTAGAAGACACTTGTCTAATTATTGGGACTAATTAATGGTTTGCTAACTAGTCTTCTTCCTTAATCACATTGCTCATTGGTGTTAATTTATCTCTAATTATTTGATGTTTAGTCCATCTTAATCATCGTTTTGTTAATTGTTGATTAACATTGAACTAGTGTCGCCTTCTTTAGCATGTTCTAACTATGTTAAATACTTAATAAAGTTTTGATAAATTTGGCCGTATATAATAAATTACTGATCTTACTCTATATATGTAAAGTGTAATATGTAATTTATTTCTTGGATCTTGGTTTGATTATACTTTTTAAAAAAGGGCTTTTCGGCGCTCTGTGTACACTGGACAGACGTTTTGGTTAATTATTCGTGTATATTATTGACCCATTATAGTTTCGAAGAACATGCAAGTTTTGCTATTGAAAAGAGAGAGATAAACTGCAATCATTTTATAAAAAATAAAAGCCATTTTGTTAAACGACAAATTTCAGATGAATATTCTACACATATATCAACCACTAAATGACCTAATTATGTCCTCTAAAGAAACTAATGCGTCATAGATGCTTAAAGTGGTCGATGGATGTATAATATTTTAACCCTCACAAACTAAGATGGATATACATTTTTTATTTACATATCTCAAAGTATAAGAAATGGTACTTGTGATTATAATTTTGCGGACAATTTGTGAGCATATCTGTAAAGGGCTAGACGTTGAGTGACATTGAAGGTTTTAAAGGTACATCTTAGAGCATGATTATAGGTGGTTTCTTAAGTAGTTCTTAAGTTAAAAGCTGAATTAAATTAAATTGAAAGTGATGTATAAAACTAAGGAACGTTCCTTAGTTAAGAGACATTTTGAGAGTTAAGAGATGCCACGTGGCACGTTAGCATTGGGTGTTTTTTTTTCCTCTCTTTCTCTCTCAGAAATCGTGAATTGCGAAAAAGAGGAATCGGAGGCGATTTGCGATTCTGACTCGAATCGGAGGAATCTCCGACGCGAATGACCTTCGGCCGTCGTTCTTCTGTTAGGCCAACTTCTCCACCGTCTCCGGTTGTCCACGGCGTCTTCGGTTCACCAAAGCAGCGACGTTGGGTTGCGAAATCGGGGAGAATCTCCGAGGTCTCAGTCACCGGCGAGAGCTGCGAGTCAACCTTCGCCGTCGAAGCGGAAAACGGAGCATTCTCCGTATAGGAGGAATCCATTGGGTGAGATTGATCCAAACTCTGTAGCGTTTCCTCTCTCTCAAGGTGATAAATTGGGTCCTGGTAACAACAATTGCAACAAAAGGATGATGAACAAAGACAATGAAATTGCTCATGTATTGTTGGAATGAATTGGAATTAGGAGATTTTAGTGTTTGTGTATTAGAAGTTAAGGTATTTGGTATTGTTGGAGTGAATGTTTATAATGTTGTGTGTTTTCAGAAGGTAAAACATGTGATGAATACGAAACCTGCTACTCAAGCGCCAATCCGAAGAACCGCAAGTCCGAGTCGTGCCATCAAAGAGCAACAAGAGGCAGTGGAAGGGTGTAAGATAGTGTTATCATCGGTAACTGAATTGGTTAAGCCTCAAATTGTGAGCATGAGCAGATCTTTGAGGAAATCTCGTGATTTCGATTTCAGTCCCGAAGCATTGCTCTCAAACAATATCGACATCAACAATGTTAACAGTAACAATGCGACTGCATGATCAACATTTCCATCTTATACAGCTTTGCTTTTAGAAGACATTCAGAATTTCCACCAGAAGAGTGTTAATGTTAGTGCCTTAAGTTCATCTATGTCCAAAGCTTGTTCTATTGTTGAAGCAGTTGCAGATCTTAACTCCACTACGAATCAACATCAAAGAACCGAGGTCAGTTTCACATCCGCAGCAGCGAAGAAAGCTGATCTAATGGAGCCAAGCTTTGAGAAGTATGTTACTGTTAAGAGAGGAGCTGCTATTCCGGAGGACTCTCATGACTGCATTGTAGCTGATCCTTAGGAAGTCAAGTGCTCACGGTGGTGTGACCAAATTGTCTCCATGAAAGTGCTAAGCTCATTGAGAAGCGTGTGCAGATCATAACATCAATTTGCTAAAGTTCCAAGTGTCAAGAGTCTTGGTGAATGGGCTGGTAAGTCTTTATGTTTTCTCTGCAGGTGATGTGTCTGGCCATCACACTTGTGGGTTTAAGAAGAGAGCTAGAGAAGTTCAATGAAGCAGTTTCCGAAGAGATTTGTGTCAAAGGGATGTTGTGCTTTGATCCAACTCATGCAATGTTTGAGTCCATTCATTTGCTTATGTTAAACGTATGAAATTTTATTAAGTAATGTCTTCGACTTTCTAGAATGTGTTCAATGTGCTTTTGTTGTAGAAAACACGAAATTTGTGTCTTGTATAGGCCAAGTAGAAGACACCAAATTTCTGTCTTGATTATGTTTTTGAATTACATACATTCTTCATAGTAATTGGATTTGGTGAATTACATAAACTGTGATTATGAATCTTTGTTTTGCATTTGAGAAGTTGTTGATGTGATTATGAACTCTCCAAACACCAATTACACCAAATATACCAAACACCAATTACTTTGTTCCAATACAGCATATATGTTAAAAAAATTTGTACATCATGCTCTAAGAGCCTACCATTAATCACACAAAAATCTTAACACAAAAAATCTATCTCTTAACAATCACTTTTACAAAATAAATTACTTAAATATTGCTAAGAGCTATTTCTAAGAGACTACCTATAATCATGCTCTTACCTCTTTCATTTTTTCCGAGGTATTAGTAGATGCATGGCATCGATAAGCAATCTTTTGTAATTGCAAATTAATTAAAGTCTAAAGTCATTTTTCTTTCTTTCACAAACCTAAAAGTCATAAAATGCCATTTATTTAAAAGGATTTTTGTGAAAGGGAAAGAGTAACAAATAGAAGAAAATTGAACCCGAAAAATAAAATAAAGTAGTGGCAAAATGGATTTTTCTCATGTAAAAGACGGTGCGGTTGTTATGGCTACTACTAGCGACTTTCCTTTTACCAAAATAAGTATAAAAAAAAACTGATAATGACAATCAGACCTTAAGTAAAAGTAAAATCATTAAATCAAAAAAGAACATAATATACATTATCTATACTAAGTGAGCTTGCATAAAACTATAAAGGAGTTTGTGGTGTGTTGCCTTTTTGAGGCAATAAAAGCATAATCACAGCTGTGTGGTGCACAATTATTTCATACCTTATAAAGTCCACAACAATTGAAGCCTCTAAGAAAAAAGGAGAGCGAATTACTCCATTGATTGTCTCTTTTTTTTAGTTACTAATTTGGTCAAATTTAATTTTGGTTTTAAAAGTAAAATTAATGTAAAGGAGATCGTTAATTCGTTATTGAGTTTTACGTCGAATATGAATATCTTATATCGCATAGTAAAATATTTAAAATACAAAAACAGATTAAATACACAGAAAAGTAAAAAGCAAATGTTTAAACAATTCTATCCAAATACATTATTTTTTCTTTAAACAATGTCTAAATTGGAATGCTACACTTGTTTTAGTAAGGCCTTGTTTGTTTCATCATTTGGCATTTGCATCCAAATGATCTATCCAAATGATCCATTTGGATGATGCATCTGAATGATGTTTGTTTGATCATTTGGGTAGTTCATCTTAATGATGCATTTAAATGGACCTTTGTTTGTTTGATCATTTGGTAATTCATCCACATCCTCATCTAAATGAAAATGACTAAAATACCCATGCATTTAAATAGACTTTTAAAACCAACCAACATCATTACTTTAGTGAAATACAACATTCATAATGTAAGATTAGAGACATAATAATCAAAGCAGTGTCTTAAAACAGAGCAAGCAGAGATTGGTGTTGTTCCTCGATTTGCTTAATCTAGATAGAGACGTTACCAAACAAGTATTTGCTTCTCGATTCAAACCCAACTCCTGAAAGAACAAGTCAAGCATCATCAAATCCAGCAACAAAATCAAAACTTAGAAAACACATCAACCTATAGCTACGTGTGTGCACTATTCCATAAGAAACGAAAAGGAGTAAAACTCCTTAAACCAAGGATAAACAATTACCTTCATAAGGTGATTGTGTAGGACCAAGAATCATAACGTTGAAATACCGGGAGCTGCAGCAATCAATTGAATAAAACTCAGTTAAAATCATATTTAAGACCTGAAAACAAAGACATGAATCATAAAACTAATTACTGCTTAAGTACACAAACCTGTTAATATGGAAGTCTTGTTCCTTCAGCCATCTCTGTAGTGATAGAATCCCGCATATCCTCCATAATTCTGTCACCAGAAGGTACATATGGAACATGCACATCATTTTCATCACCATGCTGCTCATATGATTCCATCATTTGCATCAAATCTGTGTTTGGCACTGGTTTATCTTTTATTTTCCTAGCTCCAGGCCATTCCTTAAAGTAAACAATGAGAACAAAAAATGAAACACTAATCAGAAACACAAATTGACTTAGAAACCATAGAAGAAGCTTAATATTGAGTTAGTTTATATACCTTACACCGATCGTTCCACCAATCCTCAGACATGTGTATGGACCCATTTGCATAATAACCAAGTCCAGTTCTGTTGTGAGTCAGTTTCCTTAAAGTTTCGTACTGCTTCTTGCAAGCAGTAAATTTGATCCCAAATTTTTTCCAAGGATGTCTTTTCCCATACACCTCATAAAACTTATCTATAATGGACTGTCTCCCAGCCTCATTCACTTTATCTTTTCTTATATTTCCTTTAAGCTTCTCATCAAGTCTTAGTTGAAGATAGAAACGAGTTTGCTCATCACTCCATGCAAGATTCTTAGTTTAAGATAGAAATATATGATTTCGTAAAAAATCAATCTAAATTACAAAAAAGCATTAAGTAAAATATGAGTTTAAAGGGGAAGATACTCACATCACTACCCTCGATAGTTGACATTGTTTTTGAGCTGTCCCTGAAGGAATAAAAAGAAGCAAAACCAGTTAACAAAACTAGTTTTAAATCAGTCTTAATCAAAAGCAATATAAAACCATGTAAGTGGAAGAGGAAAGAAATACTTGTGATTGAAAGCAATACATGAATGAAGTCTCTTACTATTGCTGTGAACTAAAGCAATACAAATTACAAGCTCTAGACTCGTCAAAAAAATTTGAAAGACGTCTCTTACTATTGTAAAATCTCTATTCAAGGAAATTGTTGGAACACTATATGGTGCATGAATCATGATGTTCAAAAGTAAACAAAACACAAGTCATTACAAGCTCTACCAAAAACAAACCAACATAAGTTTATTGATTCATAAACAAAAATGATCTACACAAATTCTCAGTGTTATAGGTTTTAAGCAAACATCACTAGAATAAGATTTGAAAAAAAAGCACACATTCAATTTAGCACATTGAAAGGCACTCAATCCTGCGATTGATCTATGATTCAACTAATGTTCTGCGATTTAGAAACACAAAATCAAACAAAGCCACAACAATTTCATCAAACAAAGCCACAACAATTTCACAGAGCACCACTTCACAGAGCTCAACAAAGACACTAATGTTCTGCGATTTAGGAACACGAAATCAAACAAAGCCACAACACTCATCTCCATTGGTACACATAAACTCAATACAAAATCATGAATTAGAGATATATCATACCTCTCAAACAGTGGTTGCAGCGATTTCAATCCGTAACACCTGAAACCCACTTTGAGATTTCAATGACTAAAGGAGAAATCGAATCCAATAATCAAACCCATGAGTCTTACCTCTCAAACAATGGCCGCAGCTAATTCAATCTGTAACACCTTAAACCCACGCACGAGAGAGAAGAAGAGATCCGGCGAAGAGATCAAAGAGGAGTGGAGTAGAGTGAGAAGGTCAAAGAGGAGTGGATTCCGGCGAGATATCCGGCGAGAGATCCGGCGACGAAGAGATCTCGTTTCTCTCTGTGCCGAAGAATGTCTCTGTGTCGAGGAATGAAGGAGAAGAAGGTTTAGGTTTTTGGTGTAATTCTCTAAATTAGGTAAGGGTATTTAGGTCATTTTATATTTTGGACTGAATCAGCTCCAGTTAACTGCTCCAATCAGACTCAGCTGGATTATGATCATTTTTTGGATGAGTTTAATTAAAATCATTCAACTGGTTCATCTCACTGTTCTCTAAAATTGTTGTAAACAAACATCATTATTCATCTCCATTCAGATGGATCATCTGAATGGAGAAACGAACAGCACCTTATATGATTTACGTAAATAGTCTGTATGTATTAGTAAGCGTTGAAAAAAAAAAAAAAACGTAGGTGAGATGGGAGATTTGGTAGCGTTAGGCGAAACAGATTCACATGTCATGTCTGAGGTCGGCTTTGCAGGACCCATTTTTTGTTGCAACCCAAGTTGATCTCCATTTCTTTCTACCATCAACACGTGTCTTTTTACTTTTGATATCGTCAGGTGTCCTTGTCCACCTCAAAATTATTATTACAATTTAAGATTTCTATTTTCCAAATAATTAGTATATTTTAAGGACGTTTTTTTTAGTCTAATATAAAGTTCCATCATCGATTGAATTTCTAGTTTCTACGGATAAACGGTCCTTGGGCTATTTGCATTAGCCATTAGGGGGCAGTGGGTTTATTACTTTCTTTGTAATTGTAGCTATTTACATATAGTCTTTATATATTTTTCGGATTAAAATTCATTTTTACATATAAAAAAGATATACATTTAAACCATATTAAAATATAATAGTTATTTTGGATTAGTTTGGATCGGATTAGATTAATTTATCCAGACTAAAACATCTCTTAACTACTGAGTACTGATTATAGTAGTTTGTCAATTCATCAACTCTCTCTAGTTTATTAACTTCATCTACAATATTTTTGGTCAACTCATGTCATTTAAAATTAATCTACTTTAGTTAAAACATACTGACTTTTCATAAATTACTTGAATATAAATAACAACTAATTAAAAGTATGAAGAGGAAAGCTAAAGAAGACAAAATATTTTCGAAAACTCGCCTTTCTAACTTTACATTTCCTTTTGAAAAAATTATCTTTACTTTTATTAAGAACAATTTGCTTTTTCATAAAAATTATTCCGCACAAAGAAAACTTTCCAATTTTGAGAATCAATTCAATGGCAAGTTGAACAAAGAACATATCACATCAAGAGAATACATTTCTAGAATTTACATATTTCTCTAACATAAATTTTGGTATACGTATACCTTATTAACTTGGTTAAAAAACCATTAGAAAATTTGGATATAGGAAAATATGATGAAACATATATAATCCTAGCTAGAAAAATTATTAACCAACGATCAATAAAGTTCTTCAACAACTAATTAAAAAGTATCTGAAACATACCAACAGATCTTCAAATATGTTTTTTCTCCGATCATGTTAATTTCAAAGAATCAAGAACCCCATAATTCCAAACGCGATTAGACCGGAGAGCTTCACCACCATAAAACTTTTTCCGGCGGCCGCTCCGAATTGCTCATCAACGGGGTAGAGATTTCCCGGCGGACCGGTGATGTACAAGAAATTAGCCGGCGGCGGAGGCGGTGGGCAGTAGGAACTGACTTTCTTCGGCGGAGGCGGTGGGAGAGCCGGCGGTGGAGGACACGCAGGTGGTGGCGGAGACGGTGGTGGAGGAGACGGCGGAGGAGGACTTTGGATGCAGCTTGGAGAGCACTTTATGGGATCAACCTCATCGAGCTTTCTTGCTTCTAAAGAAGCATCTGATGATGATGAAGCCTTGATGATTATTGGATACGTCAGCAACGTGATTATCATCACGGTGAATACGACGACGGATCCCCGGCGGTGAGAATTTCCCGGCATGGTGTGATCGGCGATTTTGATCAAAGAGAAAATGAAAAACAGAGTTTTGTAAATATGGAGATTGTGAGCTTAAAAGAGTTGAAAATTAGGAGGAGACGTTAAAATGAGAGGTGATGATGAATGCGTTCTCGTTACGTAAGTCAAGTGCATGGGAGTCATAGACTTATTAAATAGTGTATATATCATTTTTCTATAAGCTTCTAGTCATTTTTTTAACGAAATTATAATTAAATAAAAAGAAAAATACTATATAGTCTAAAACTAAATGATAAATTAGGAACAAGGTTAGTTAAGGAGTACTCGTCGGTCCACTAAGTGATCGTATTTTTTCATGTGAGGTGGATCCCTCATGAACTATTTTGGTTTTCCTCGTTATTAAATTGTCTTTAGTTGTGGAATTATTAATTAGCGATTAAAATCCCACCGGCGTCCACCAAAACAAAAGCATTAAATATACATTAACTTATTATATATAGAGGTCCATTAATTTAACTGTATGTGATTTCATACTATATTTGTTGTACTAAATGGTTTATCTTGAAAAATATGTATTATTAATGTTTTCTCAACCAAATATGAATAAAAGTTAATATAATCGTATACGAGATAGGCTTTAATTTGTGTATAGTGGATACAGAACAGTGGCTCTGTTTGCAGAAGACTTTCTGGATACTTTCTAGCACCAAAATATAGAAATGATAAAAAAAAATTGCTGAAAATATATAAAGGATATTTTTATCAAAAAAGAAGTATAATCGTATATATAAAAAAGAGAGAGTATAATCGTATATATGCGAGTGTGTGTAGTTGCTTAATGCGTAAGTGAGTGCTTTTTTAAAGGAACATTGCTTTAGTTGTTCAATTACATAAATGAGAAGGTAGCAGGAGATTCTCTCTTATGGTATCGTATGAAAGAGGATTGCTTTTGGTTGGTTCATGGTTGGCATAGAACATACACATAATGTAAAATAGATTTAAGTGCATATTATCATAATATAACAGTCTATTGGTCGGTCTGTCCGAGTGATCATAATATATATTATTATGTGGCTAAAACAACAAACGACTTCCATGTCAAAGTCAAGATCTTTCTGCTACATTTTTGATGATTCCAACATTTTTTTATGTGTAGAAAATTGCAATTTTCATTGCTTAGATACGTTTCATGCCATTCAACTAACACACATACAAGCTCCTTGTGTTAGGCAAAATATCAAGAAATCATATGGAAAACGTAAACGGAGAGGAAATTGGCTACTGTCTCTTAGGCTACCTTTCTCTCCCAAGGATGAAGTGAAATAAAGTACAGATACAAAAAGAGCAGTTGATATTATATCGTTTGTGAAAACAACTTTATATATTTACGTTTCCAAATACATGATGCTCTCAATAAGAAATCGGTTGGTCAAGTAACGAGATAAGATGAGTGAGAGCCAGAGCTTTGAGACGCACTTGAATCTCATCAGAGATTTCGCCGGCAATCTGATCTCGATCAACAGTTCCTCCCGTAAGGAGGCGCTCAGGATCATCTCCTTCTTTTTCTTTTTCCTCACGTATTTGTGTTTACAAACCTATTTGATATACATTGCATTTTTTTATTTTTTATTTGCTAAGAATGTGATATACATTGCATCTACAATTAATTTATATTAGATTTTGCATTACTATTAGGCATAAAATATATAATATTTTCACATACATGTAAACATAAAAAAAAAAAAACAATCAAACCAATATGATATAATGCCACCTAATTATGTGAATAACAGTTTTGAGGCCTTGTTATATCATAAGAAGACTAAGCCTATAGAATTTAACTAGGCCTATAGAATACGGACTTAAATATTTCTTTTCAATTTTTTTGGATAAATTTATTAATGTTTTTGAAATCTTAATGGCAAAAGCGATTTTTTTTATTTTTATTTTATGAATAATTCAATTAGCATTTCATGCTCATGAAAAAAGAAATATGCTCAGAGCTCAAACACATAGAAGAAAAGAAGAGGAAGACGACTCAACAAATAAAATTTTAGTAAAATTAGGAGAAAAAATGTGTCGGGTGCTGGACACGCGAGCCAAGTGCGATTACTCCTTGTTTCTCATCTTACTTATTCTTCTTTTGATTCTCAATTTGCCAAATTTGTTTATATATAAACACTTTTCTCTTTTTCGTCTCTTGTTTCGAGTTCTTCAATTTCACTCACAATCTGTTTGTTTTCTCTTTCTCGTCAAATTTCGATTAAAAAGTTGAAACCTTTCTTCTTCTTTCCTTTTCTTTTCCCACTCAACGTTTACTTGGGCTGACACGCGACGACATCGGATTTGTTTCTTGACTCTCTCATAGTTAAAACTAATTTTGGGGTTTTGATTTAGGGTTTATGTCGTAGATAACTTTGGACGCAAACGATTCTTTGTAAAGACTAAAAAAGGAGAGAAGAAGAAATGACTGGAGTTTATGTGAAAATAATGTATATTTTTCTGAAAATAGAAAATATAAAACTTGCTAAATTTTTAATTTGATAGTGCAAAAACTAATTATCGTCCTCAGTTTAGCCATGTTGATATTGTGATTCATGTATGCGAAGATAATTTTGGTAACGCCGATTATATGCTCTCAATTCCAAAAAATACATTAGTGGGTTGATTACATTCACCAAACAGTGATTGGGTCTAAAGTTGATAAACATTTTCACATTTCACCATTTTATTTTAATGACGATTAGCAAAATGAAGCTTTTACCTTTCTTTTTCTACGCTACCGATTTTGTATTTTATTAATTGTTTGATAAACACATCACACATGTTTAAAACCTCATTACATAATGCATATTTGTACTTAGGTAGCACAATAGCTTCGCTGGAGGTTTGATTTCCATTTCAAAATCAAAATCGGAAATTTTCGTAAGCTCTTGAGGATGCCCAAGTAAAAAGAATTGGCCCATGAAGAGAAAATCAAGTACCCAACTTAATAATTCTGATTTTACAAGGATTATTATATGTAAAATGTTGATGGAATGATAATTGAATTTAGATTAATCATGAGACTTTAAGTTTTATGAATTTAAACTAAATGATAGCGAATTTGAGGCAGTTATTATGAAATCGAAGAAAATGATGTCATAAAATTTTAACTTTGAATAATAGTAAAATTGAGATATTAAAAAAAAATAAAAATAAAAAAAATCTATTCAAAGGATTTGTGTTGTTCATACAACTTAAATTTACCCGTTTCTAACTCCATGTAACTTAGATTTGTACTTCTTGACCAAACTAATTACCCAATTCCAGAGTAAATAAAACTGATTTGAGTGTGATTTCTTTTGGTACATTTTTGTTGTCCAGATTAAAATTTCGACAAGTATTGATAAAAAGGGAAAGAAGCAAGAAACGTGGTTTTAGAAAAAGGTTCCTGATGTTTTGAATATCTTATGCAAAATAAACCTAGATCCTGAAGTGTCGTCTTCAAACTACGATGTAGTTTATTGTATCAGATGAATCAAACCACTTGGAATGTTGTAAGAGACGGATAGTTTCATGACTGTCAGATGAATCAGAGACACTCTTCCTCTCTTTCTTCCGTTTCGACCACTTGTGAGTTGTGACTTTGGTACTACACTGCTCTCTCTGTTCCTTGTTCGTTATCGAGAGATGATACAAGAGACAGCATTAGATTCTCAATGATCTCAGTTTGATTGTGTCAGAAGCAAATCATTAACACTCTTCTTGTTTATGGTAAGATGCAAAATGATTTTGATTAACCATCAAACAAGGCAATTGGGGCTCCTAAGTTGTTGTGAGGCTCAAATTGTTTGGTTTCTGATCCCAAATGCTTTGCTGCTTCATACCGAAGTCGTTGACCTTCGCCTTAGTGGTGTCTTCAGCTGACTTTTCTGATTTCTTGCTTCCCAAGTTAACTACCCCCATAAAAATGCTGGATTTATGGGTAGTTGAAGATGATAATTGAACCATTTTGTCAACAACTACTCAAATCAATGAGAAGACTAACATGACTCATTTCGCTTTCGGTCTTGAAGAAACTTTCAAACAACCCCAAAAATTTATAATTCTAAATTCAATCATTGAATGATTTCGGAATCTGTCATTTTCTTCATTTGATGGAACATTATATGTGAGGTACAGAAACTTATGAGGTAATGCTGTTTGAATGATTTTGATACCTCCAGCGAAGAAAATTGACTCTTCAGGTAATCACGCCGGTTTATGAGGGCATGTGGTCCTCTAATTGCCTACCGCACCAAGTGAAATATTTGACATTTAACGAATAATGGACCTAATCGATTATTTTTATTTTATTTGTAACTGTTGCGTGTCTTCTAAGGAACTTTTATCAGAAGAGTAACCAATTCAAAACTAAGGATCAATTCAATAATACTTATTCATTCATCTCCAATATTATTACAAATGTAACAAATAAATACACAGCGAGCAAAACAGAGTTCGATTTTCGAACACCATTTTCGCTCACCATCTCCAAATTCGATTCCACAAATGGAATTAGTTTCCAAAAAAAAATCAAATCAATTGAACAAGAATATTAACATAATTTAATAAACTCAATAAAAATGAGAGCTTGATGAACCTTTTTGTTTTTGTCAGAAGACTAGTTATTATTGGCATGCTTTACGGAGAAGCTCTAACAAAGATATGGCTTTCCTTTTGCCTCTTTCTGTTCCATTCTTCGATAGATCCATCAACGGGACAACCGCGCCGAGTCTACCGATAGAGACCAGTTTCTCAGTGTCTCTCTTACACAGAGACAGTAATATCGCTGCTGCATTCTCTCGGTTTCTAGTTTGATCCGTTTGGAGAATACCTATCAATGCGGGTAAAGTATTCGCTTTTACTATCGCGGATTTCGCGTCTTGATTATTTGCAAGAACCGAGAGAATTGTCAAAGCTTCATCAACCATCCGATGGCGGGTGGAATCACTAAGCATCTTAACCAATGCTGTTACTATACCAGCTCTGACCGCTCTACCTTTGTTTCCATGATAAATGCAGAGATTGAACAATGCCGTGGCTGCATCTTTCTTCCCTCTCGGGGTCCCGTTCTCAAGCAGATCCACTAAGGCAGGTATCGCACCCGATCCGCCTATTATGATCTTGTTCTCATCGGCTAACGAAAGGCTAAAGAGTGTCGCTGCTGCGTTTTCTCTTGCTTCCATGGTTCCGGCTCTAAGGACTTGAACAATTGAGGTGACTGCACCAGCAAACATTATCAGCTCTTTGTTGTTTTCATATATAGAGAGGTTGAGAACGCATGTGATTGCGTTTTCCTGCGTTGCAACGTCCTCTGAGGTCAAAAGGTTCACCAAAACAGGGATTGCTCCTGCTTCTGCAATCAGAATGCGATTGTCCGTGCTTCTCTTTGACAGAGACCGGATTTCAGAAACCGCATTCCTTCGATCCTCTGTTGACCGGCTTGAGAGTCTCTGAACCAACGCCCGGATCACCGACATATCTCCACTGTTTTTTGTCCTGCCGTTAATGTAACCTGCAGGTTGCTCAATGTTGTGTTCAGTGCACCACCGAGAGATGAGGCTTCTGAGAACATAGTTTGGTGTAAGTGTAAAGTTTTCGAGTTTCTGCTGAGTCTTAGGACATGTTAGATTCCCACAGTCGATCCATCTCTGTATGTACGCCCTCTCATAAGTCTGCCATTGTAGAGAGACAATATCAATAACTAAGCAACAGACAGTAAAATTCATAAAAAGTGCTACAAAAAATCTCAAAATCAGACCTGTCCTGTAGCAACAATAACAGGATCCTTCATCAATTCCAGCGACACCGGACAAAGAAAATCAACCGGAATCGTGAGTTTATCAGATTTCTTCGATTCATCAGTGTTCTTGTTAACCATTTTGTCTAATCTATCGGTATCAGCATCCTTGGACAAATAATAAGCCAACGAAATGGAAGAGCTTCTCCTTAGAGGCGGCGAATCTTGCTTCTCCTCCTCCTCAACAAAATGAAGTGTTTCTGAAACACTCTCAAGCTTCTCCTCAACCTTAATCTTTATATTACTAAAACCATCTATCTCCATTGGCTCAGATAAAGCACTCGAGAACTTATTCGAATTCAACGATCCATATCTCTGCATTGCTCTTCGCAATTGCGATCTCGCTAGCTCCACTTGTTCTCCAACTTCGTCAGAGATATCATAAAGATCATATGGAAGATTGCTCAATGCTTTCTCAAGCTTCCATGTAACACATTGGAACTGGAATGAGATTCTCTTCGCAGCACCATCCTACAATCAACAAAATTCAAATCTTTCAGCTAAACCGGAGATAACCGTACTATAAATCAATGGTATAACTACATTTAACCGAAAACTAAACCAGTAATTCTATGAATCTGGAAGAACAACAAATCGTAATTTGAAAATTTACGGAGTTAGTGCTTACAGAGGAATCGCGAGCTTGGAATCGAGCTGTGGAGAGAAGACGCTTCGCGGCTTGAAGTCCCGCCACAAGATCAGACCACCAGTCATTTTCCGACGACGACGAAGCGGCGGAATCGATCGGAGTTGAGTCTCTAATCTCTTCTAACAAATGCGTCAAGAGACAGACTCGTCGAGTGAGATCCGCGCAATCCTTCTTGAAAATGCCGGCGTTGAGTGGAATCTCGACAATATCGGTGATTAGGTCGAGTAGAGTGGCGGGTGAAACGATTCCTCCGGCCATTACGCCGTCGCCGATCAACCACCGTCGATCGGAAAAAAATTGAAAGAATAATACAAAAGAAAAGAATAAATGAGCTTTGGGATTCGTTCTTTACTCAGAAGCGACTAACGTTGCTTTTATTTATTCACGATACCATTTTGTCAAGCGAGAGGTCGTTATTACGGCACCGTTTTGAAGGACCTACGTCTTGGTCCACTTTTTTTTTTTCTTGTCAACTTTTCTTTTGTAATGAAAAATATAGTACTAGTATATAATTTCTCTATTTCAAATCAGAATAAGAAATAGTCTTTAGTTTTTTTTAATTGAAAAAATTATCTAAATTTAAATTTTAAACTCTAAATTCTAAAAACTAAGTCATAAATCTGAAATATGAAACCTTAGTTCCTCAAAAACAAAATAGAACAACTAAACTAATAAATAAATTAAAATTATAAAATCAACAATAAATTATAGTAGTTTTTGCTAGTGTTGTTGTTAAGTCACTGTTCGGATTCAAATTCTTGATGTTATTGACAAAAAAAAATCCGACAATCATGTATTTTTAATTTTTCCAACTTTTGAAAGAATTAAATTATTTTAAATTCATATTTAGATTATTAATAAAATAAAGGAATGAGTAGATAATGTCAAAAGGAAAAAAAAGGAATGAGTAGATAAATAAATCAATAAATGAAGAAAAATAAATATATGAAAAAAAAATGAAAAAAAAAGAAGCGAGATTGGCGGTGGTAGATGTAGGAGAAGAAGAGAACAAAACAAGGAGGATACAGTTGGCTTTGGAATATTATGGTTTATAATGAAACCAAACACATATAATTGAAATGAACCACACACACGCTTTAATTATTACACATAAGAGTGATCGAGCACCATTACATTTTCTTTCCTTGCTTCGTTGTAAAGCCGACCTTATATTATCATCTCCTTTTTTAAAAAAGTTGTAATGGGTTTTAATAATATACTATAAACAAAATGGGTCAATCTAATAAATATTCGGACCACAATGTTAAAAATTAGTTATCTGTTTTTTCCCGGCCGGAAGCAATTATGAAAGTTTAAAAGATTATCATCATACGGTTTCTGTAAATTTATTTTGCTTATACATACTTTGAACAATTTATTACCAAACGCTGCGTTTTGCTTATTATGAAATTCTATACTATTCTTGATAGGAAGAAAAATGATATCATCATCAAAAAACCAGTCAAAATTGTTTTCCATAATTCATTGGAACAGACCAAGTCAGGTATAACGACTTATAGCAATTTTGTTATACAGTAACAAGTTCTCTAAATGTTTTCTAAGTTTACATGGTATATATGTTGGATTTTGAATAAGTCAATCGTTGAACAAGTCTCAGCTTGTGTTTAGGAGTTGATTGAGTCTTTTGTATTTGAGTTTGTTTCGCATTCAGTTTCCGTATTTCATTCATTAGTTTTCGAGTTAACGTTGTAAGGCTCTTATAAAGCCAATTCCAGATTCTTGAATAAGAACACGAATCATTCAGAGAACTGTATTGTCTCTGTTTTCTATAATATATAGGAGCCTCTCTGAAAAATCACCACCAAGTTGGTAGAATAATAAAATCCAAAGACTTCTTCTAGCTCTTTGGTGCAATTGACATATGAGAATTACATAAAATGGGTTAAGAATTAGAGAATGCTCTCCAATTATTGGTTTTCCATAATGAAAGTGGATCACAAAGAGAATGTGGTCGTGGAGCTAGAAACTTGGGTTAGAGGCTCATATCAGAACTCACCTCAAAGTCTATTTCCGTGTCTAGGCAGGCGGGCGTGGACGAGAACATCAATTTAGGCCGTAGTACTGTCCCGTATTAAAACACAATAATAAAATCGTACCCTGAAAGCTATAAAGGAAATAAAAGAGAGTGAACAATCGACAAATGACAACAAGAAACATTTAATGAAATGAAAATATCTATGCTCCAGACACATAGATACCCCAAAGCCAGCCAATGACACACTCCATTTACAAAGTTGCAATATACCCTACTTGACAATTCGTACATATATCAACCATTGAACCATATCGTGTATATTTAATACTATTTAAGTTCGTGTATTGTATGTAGTAAATGTAGAATTAATTAGAATTATTTTGTGCAATAAAAAGAAAATTGTTGAATTCTAGTTGATTTTGTTTTCTTATCGTGTATTGTATGTATATCTATGATTTAAATAGTTTATAGGTCGTGGATTTGTAGTAAAAAAAATGTGTGCTTCAGCTAATTAAAGCGTGTCTGGTGGATCCGGTTAGTAGCATTATCTCAGTTCTTCCAAAGGAGGTTGAACCATGCACTTTTAGTTCGATCCAGTTTATGAGAATTGATATACATGATACATCCAAATCCTGGGTCGATAAGGGACTTTATAGGTTCAGGAATTTCCTTAGGTTAAAATAACAGATAACAAGATTTATAGGATTTATACCAAAACGATGTTGCATTACGGGCGCAATAACATAGTAACACGATCTATTATCAAAATCCTATAAATCTTGTTACCAAAACAAAAAAAAAAATCCTATAAATCTTTAAAGCTTTTCTTATTTTGCATATGTAAATTAGTATCACATAATTTTGCCTTAAAGTGGATGTGATATCAAAACACTATAACACTATAACAAGAGGGCAAAAGAATCCTATAAATTGTTCCAACTCTCGTTGCAACGAAAGAGACAGCTATTTCGGTTGGAGGAGCCAACGGTGCGTACCGTCACCGGTCCCGTTCCCACTTTTTCTCGTGCTTGTAGGGAGATAATTAACAACATAGCTCCAAAGGAGTACTTCCAATGCAAATGGTGAAATAAACTTACGTCGAGAAAATAGGCTTTGACTGTAAATTTCTCCATTGCTCATCTAACCTTTGTTCCAAATTCATGGCTTCTATGAAAAAAATGGTGTTGTGATGGAAATCTGAAACGGAAATTACAGAGAGGAGGTGAAGCGAGGCTGTGGATTTGAAGTTTTGACTAATTTCTTCGGTTGCAACAATTATTTGTGGATAATATAGACATTCATGTAAACGCAAGGGAAAATAACATCTTGCGATTAATTCGTGACAACTTAGTGCCGCACGAAGCAAATATTGTTGATTGTGGTAGTAGGTAATTTAGGTCTTCGTCAATCCCTAACCTAATTATGTGCTTGCTTTAGTTTAGTGCATAAAAAGGCTTTGCAGCCATGAAACTTGTTGCATGCTTCGATAACGTTACCTGTATGGCTTACAATGCCACGTGGCATCCTCTTAATTAGCTGATTGTGTCTTCTCTTATGTAAACTTTTCTGTGACGTGGTGTGTTCTAATGTTCTTATTGGTCGATTATTTTTGGCTGATGTGGTATCAGAAAAGTCTAAATCGTTTCAAGGAGATTTGTCTATTAACTAATTAAGTTTTTTCTTATTACAGGAATAGAGAGGGACGATTACGAATAGTTAGGTTGCTGACGTGGCAAAGGAACGACGGACTGGGATCCACAAGCCGTTCTTGATATTGAACGTGGTTGGCTCATGGTGGCGCGTGGTTGGCTCGTGGTGGCGCGTGGGAAGAGAAGCTTTTCATCTCTAATCAGAAAATATTCATTGAAAAGTCCATTTCCCTCTATTTTGTTCTTTCTTATTTCTTGCAATTTCATCTCTCTTTTTTTCTTTTTTTCTGATAAAGGTGCAATCTTATCTCTTGCAATATGGTATTAGGAAAAATGAATAAGAAAGTGATCAAGAATGTGATTAAGCTCTTAACGATGGCGATTTTGATGGGTACTGTTGTGATTTGGATCATGATGCCAACGTCTACTTACAAGAAAATCTGGTTGAAATCCATGCGTGCCAAGCTCGGCAAATCGATTTATTTTGGGAAACCAGGTAAATTCACATCAATTTTCTTTATTAAGTCGTCGTAGATCTTATCTAATTTTCTATTAGTTTATACAAATATCATTTTTATATATAAGTACTGTTTTCTAAATTTATTAGGAGTAAACCTTTTGGTTTACATGTTCCCAATGATTCTACTGGCTTTTCTTGGATCTATTTACCTTCACTTGGAGAAACAAACGACAGTAAACCAATTTAATAGGTAATTAAACACTTAATTTAACCAACTGGCTATTTTCTAATTAACCGCTTTTTAATATTGATATTATATTTTTTTCTGTTTATTAAAAAAGTGGGGTGGAGAGGAAGAAGAGAGATAAGTTTGGTGCATTGAAAAGACCAATGTTAGTGAAGGGATTAGGAATAGTGACAGTGACTGAGGTTATGTTCTTGACGATGTTCATGTCTCTTCTTCTTTGGAGCTTAGCCAATTACTTTTACTATACCTTTGTCACCATCACTCCTCAAACAATTCCAATCGACGGAGATAACTTGTAAGTTTTTTGATGGATTTTATTTTGTATGTATCGCAAAATATACATACACCATATAGTTTTTAATAATCATGTTGATGCTTTACATAATATTGTGATATGATGGAAAATAAGTTTAAATTTAGATTTTAATGAATGAATCTATATTTGTGGGTCTTAAAATTTGAGTTCGTCAAAATTCAATAGGAAACTCAAATAAACAAATTAAGAAATTATAAAATTGATGTTGACTTGTAATTCTCTGAATCATTCATAGCATATACAAATGTTTTTGTATACTTTAATACAAAATGACATTTAATTTAAAAATGGTTGAATTTTGTGTTTGTTTTATGGCAAAACTCAAAAGATGGCAAGCGAGGCTGGATTCAATAGCAGTAAGGTTAGGTCTAACAGGGAACATATGCTTGGGGTTCTTGTTCTATCCGGTGTCGCGTGGCTCATCGTTGCTGGCTGCAGTTGGGCTTACGTCCGAGTCAAGCATCAGGTACCATATATGGCTCGGTAACTTGGTCATGACCTTATTCACCAGCCACGGTCTTTGTTACTGTATCTATTGGATATCCACTAATCAAGTCTCTCAGGTTAGTCTGTGTTGAGGTATCTATATAAATTTGGCTTTTGGTTAAATTTGGTGTTGCCTAAATAAAATAACTTAACAGACGAATACAACTATGAATGATTATTGAAGCTACTTTTGTTATTTTACATTACATTCGACAATGGTTTTAGCTTGTTTGGTACGAATATAATCAACCGGTTTGATTCTTAATGCTCAGTGCTAAACCGTACTTGTTCGTCTGAATAGATGTTGGAGTGGGATAGGACCGGTATCTCGCATTTAGCAGGAGAAATAACTCTGGTGGCCGGACTTGTGATGTGGGCCACCACATTCCCGGCGATTAGAAGGAGATTCTTCGAAGTCTTCTTCTATACTCATTATCTCTACATGGTCTTCATGCTCTTCTTTGTCTTCCACGTTGGCATCTCTTACGCGTTAATCTCATTTCCCGGTTTCTACATCTTCATCGTCGATCGTTTCTTGAGATTTCTCCAGTCGCGGAACAATGTCAAGCTAGTCTCTGCTCGTGTTCTTCTTTGTGACACTGTCGAGCTCAATTTTTCCAAAAACCCGAGTGAGTTGATCCTTCTATTTTTGTTCTTCTTCAATTGATTATCTATTCAAGCATCCTAATGGCTAAACATGATAATACAGTGCTGATGTATAGCCCGACGAGTATATTGTTCGTGAACATACCGAGTATTTCGAAGCTGCAATGGCATCCATTTACAATAATTTCGAGTAGCAAACTCGAACCAAAAAAGCTAAGTGTTATGATCAAGAGCCAAGGCAAATGGTCCACTAAGCTTTACCATATGCTTGCTTCTTATGATCAGATCGACCACCTTGCTGTTTCCGTCGAGGGACCCTACGGCCCTGCTTCCACCGATTACCTACGGTAATTAATCTAAATCCCAAACAGAGAAGTTCAACATTCGATCCCTTGTAGCACAAGTAACATTGATACTCTGTTTTTTTAATACGTAGACATCAATCTTTGGTGATGGTGAGTGGAGGTAGTGGGATTACACCGTTCATCTCCATAATTCGTGACCTACTGTACGTGAGCTCAACGAGCGCTTGTAAAATCCCCAAGATAACCTTAATATGTGCGTTCAAGACCTCTTCCGACCTCTCAATGCTCAACCTAATCTTACCGGTCTCCACCGAGATTTCCTCCTATGTAGATATTCAGATCAAAGCCTTCGTCACCCGAGAGAAAGTATCAACTTGCAATATGAATATCATCAAAACCCTCTGTTTCAAACCACATTCCTCAGACCAACCCATCTCACCAATCCTCGGACCCAACTCCTGGCTATGGCTCGCCTCCATCCTCTCTTCTTCATTCGTGATCTTTATTATCATCATCGCAATCATCTCAAGATATCACATTTACCCAATCGATCAAAGCTCGAAAAAGTACACTTCTGCTTATACATCTCTCATTTACCTTCTAGCAATCTTCATTAGCGTGGTGGCTACGTCTACGGTCGCTATGTTGTGTAACAAAAAGAGTTATTATAACAAAAAGGACCAAAACATCGAGGTATTGTCTCCGTTGATGATCGAGAGCTCGCCAGGTCAGTTGCTACCGGAATTCACCAACATTCATTATGGAGAAAGACCTAATCTTAACAGTAAGTCTAGTTAAGATTATTTATAATATTTTCATACATTTTTTTTTTTTTTTTTTTCATACATGTATTAGAGTGTAGAGTATATTGCTTTTTCTAAGTTCTCACTATGTTCATTGTGTGAAAGCAGAGCTCCTAGTTGGTTTAAAGGGTTCAAGCGTCGGAGTTCTTGTGTGTGGTCCAAGGAAGATGAGAGAAGAGGTTGCAAAAATCTGTTCCTTCGGTTCGCCTGAGAATCTTCAATTTGAATCTATCAGTTTCAGCTGGTGATTTTTTTTTGTAATAATATCGGAAATTTTCTCAAAAGTGAACAAAATGAGTGTATTTTTTATTAGTCAGAAAACTAATCAGCCCTTTTAAGTGAAGAAACCAAAAATCCAATAAAGAATAGTAACTACCAAAATCTTCTCACCAAAAGAAGTAAAGAGAATCAACATCTTTCGAAATCAAGATCAACTTCGAAGTATCTTATGAACTACAAAACAACAACAACAACAACAACAAGAAGTTGGTACTCACCTAGACATTAAAGAGTTGATGTTGATATCCTCACTTTAACTCCACTATATATTCTATAGAGTTTGTGTAGTGAATGAAGCAGCTCAAGAGAAATATTAGTTTAAAGTTTACATAAAAATAAAGAATGTTTAACCACAGCTCTATTTTGCAGGATCAATAATCCCGTTAGAATCACCATTCCATAACCGGTTGTTGATTCTGCAAAACAGTGTTGTGGTAAAACAAAATGTTTTATTTACTGTTAACTATGGACCAATACTTTTCTTCTCTTATAACTTTATATATATTTTGAAACAACAGGGATCAGAGCCAAAGAGGTGTGTTTGTTTTCTCTTAGTCGATGATAATTAATAACTATTGTTGTTGGTTTATACAAATCTTCTTCTCCAACATTTTATTTTTAAAGTTATCTTTGATCTAAGTTTTACTCTTCTCTGACATCTTGTTTTGTAGATTTGTCTTTCGATTTATAATTTTTCTTATCTAAGAATTACTTAACGACTAGTACAACGCAATTCATTTAATTTCTATAGACACATTTTATATATTAAAACGCAAAGATTATGCAATTATTTATCTAAAAGAACAATTATTTCGTTTGAATTCACCAAGCTCAAATAAGGCTTTTTTTTTAATGTGTACATTAGGAACTTACCTGCAGGCTCAAATAAGGTTTGATGGATCGATATTACACATGAATCTGCGAACTACAAGTTTCTGTCCCTTGCGGTCACTACAACAAAATGTCATATTATAATCCCACATTTTTGTGAATTAATCAATTAAGCATCTTTCACAGCGCTTCAAAAGGTCTTTATCTGTACAAAATTTACTTTTGAATTCGTTTTAATAAATAAGTTACATTGGAACAACAACAAGAAAAATATTCATGGGACTCTCAAATTCAGGTTATCATAGAACTCAACGGATTGGAACTCAATTTTGAAAGTACTAATTATTTCTGAATGAGGATTTATAACAAATTCAGGAAAGAATGGTTCTTTTAACATAGCCAGTACTAAATTTTGGAGTTATTACATTCTCAATGGTTATGATGTATTAGTTTTAAGAGTTTATATTGCACCATCAAAAACTTCACGGAGATCATTAGACCTTGAAATATCAATTGATGACTTTAAGCGGCCTCATCATCATATTGTCCTCATGGTCCAATATCTGCAATACAAAACATTATGTTGCTTTTAATTATGTTATTCCGATTACCTATTTAAAAATACTTCGAAAGCCTACTTACGTGACAATGGTAGACATAGCCAGGTTCTTGGGTAGGATCGAATGGGTAAGATGCGTTAGTGTGGATATACGAAAAGCGAACGAGTATCCTCGTAACATGTCCCGGCATCATCTTGAATACGTTCTTCCAACCCCTCTCGTGTGCCGTCACTGCCGTCTTCTTCCCACGAGCGTATTTGCTGATTTGGCACTTGACCGCGTCGTTTTGTTTCGTCATACAGTCCTTGAACTCCTCCAATCCTGCCGCCAGTAATGCCGTTTGCTCTACCACTTTGAACAATCCTAGATGAATGTGTAACGGATGGTTATCCTCCGTCAAATTTATCACTTCCCACACCTGAGTAATTTTATAGCTATTATTAAATTTAACGTAATCAATTTTAGATTAGACCGTTAATAAATAGCTAGCGTACCTCGGTGGTTCCTGATTTTGGAGTTTCTGTGACGGGAGCATCATAGGGCAAACCGTTGACAAGCAAATGAGTTGGTTCATCAGAGTTGCTCACGTACTCGTACATAGAGATGTAACGCGTGAGGACGGCGTTTGACACTTCAGGATGCGGATAATTGATGAGCTTCTTGGGAATTGTACATGTGTCATCCTCTCGTTCATTGTTGATGATAAATTTCATTACCTTGCCATTTTCTTCGTTGACCGGATCACCACTAGGATAAGGATACGGTGCGTCGTTAGCGAGTACCACGGTTCTAGATGGTGATTTCGAGAAATCAACAACGACATCTACAATTTCTGAGGGAGATAAGAGAATCGATTTGGTCATTACCGGTTTTGACAAATACGCCGAATCAGAACCCACAATGATGAAATTTAGACCGTTGGAGAAGAAGAATTTGAAAAATCTAGCGTTGCTTGCGTTTATGATACGGAATCTGTATTTCCTACGTCGCACGCTTAATCGCGGCCATGCTTTTCCATTAACGATTATCACATCGCCAAAGTATTCCGGTTGCCATTGTGGGTGAATCGATGGGTTGTTCCCAGTGGCGTTCATGTAAATTGACCCGTCTTTACGAAAGCTTCGATCGAAAATGATCAACGGTCGGTCGAATTCATCGCCAGTGGGTAGGTGCAACGGAGATTCGACGGCGTGGTGGCGAAGAATATAGGCGCCTACCAAACCAGCGAGGAGGTTGACTCGGGTCAAACCCATGGCATGGTCATGGTACCACATGTTACCAGGTTGTTGCTTGTTCTCATAATGCAACGTCGTTTTGGTCCATTTTGGTCCTGTCTCTTTAAAACCGGCAGTGAACCATGCGTCGGCATTTCCATCGCTTGTTGGTTCGTGGATTCCGCCATGTAAGTGAACAACAGTAGGAATTCCACCGTGTTTCGGAGTTGCAGGGGAGATTGTAGGGTCCCAAGGAAGGATGTGAGATGAAGGAAGGTGATTTCGCCATGTAACGTATGTGTCTACTCCATAAACAGCTTCGATCGTCGGACCAGGAACCGTTGCCTTGCTCCGTGATGTACCATACGCAAACACAGGCGTCGCAGGCAAATCTCTGTGGAATTTCTGTTATAATAAATTTATTGTCACGCCACAACTATACTCTGTAAGTTTATCCAGTAATTAGAAAAAAAAAATTGTAATTGGGCCTAAGATAATATGAGCCAAAGCCCATTACGTTTTTTTTTCTCCGTCACCAAGAGCACTTTGTCTTAGGTCAAGAGTAAACGCGTAACGAATCTTATCATTTTTTCCCAACGACTAGATGTAAACAAGTGAAATAAGATTATTCTCACCAACACATAAGAATCTTCTGGAAAAAGAAATTGAATGAGGAAAAGAACAATACCCATTTAGTGGAGAACATGCCGATTTGAAGAGAAGTGGGTTTGATGATACCATGAACAGAGTTAAAGCCATAGAGTCTAGGCATATCTGGGAGGTCGTCGACGAACATCTTAAGCTTTCCCGCTTCGAATAGTTGTTCCTCGAGCTCCCCGCACGTGCCACCGAGCCATGTCAACGTTATTATTAGCACCATGACTCTCTTCATCATCCTCCGACACAACAGAGATTCCATTTCTGACAAGTCAAGTCAATTTTCAGTGTGTGTTTCTGACTGAATTATTAACTTCGGGTGAGAGAAATTAAGTTCTTGATCATTAGATTAGATACTTTATATATAGGAGAGTGTGTGTGTGTGTGTGTTTGAGAGAACGTGGTGGACTCTGGTTCACACCAATGAGTCTTTGTTATAGGATCGTTACAATTTTATTCTATCATTAATCTAATTTTGTATAACATATTTTCTTTTAATGGTTGCATGATGTGCAGATGGCATTTTCCTTTTTTATTATTCAGTGGCCTTTCTTTTCAAAGTGTTTGTTTTGGGGTCTTTTGTTTGTCTTTATACTATTTTGTGAGATTTCACTCTTTACTCTTTAGTCTTAAGTACCGGAATTATCGTCTGCATTTAATGAAAGTTGCATATAATGTGCAACGCTTAATGACAAATGACTGAAATGAGAGCCTAACTCGAATGATTCATCCTTTTCAGCTTAGCTTGGTCTTCGAGGTAGGTACGTAGGTAGGTTTGGTAGATTGATTAGTACTTATAACTATGGGTCTTTGATCGAGAATACATATATTTTAAACTCCTTAATTTGGTTGTCGGTTAGCAATCAGTTCCGAGTCTTATATCAGAATCTCATTGCAAAATATATATATAGTCATATGGATAATATGTTCGTGTGGGCTTCACAGGTGAAAAAGCTAGTAAGCGACGTATATTAAATTACAAATTAAAGACGATGACATCCCTAGAAAAGCAGAGAAAGTAAACATAAACGAGAAAAAAATACAAAGGAAAATATCACCCAAAAAAACTCTATTTATTTTTTATTTGAATGTTTAATATCCAGAATTTTTAGTTCGGAAGAAAAATGCACATTCTAATTAAAGAATGCGATTTCATATCTAAAAAATAAATTTTTTATTTATTTTCATATTCATGATCTAGTAATAAAAATGAAATTCTAATTTTACCTTTACCATCTCAATTAATTATTGATATTTAAATGACATGGCACTAATTTTTAAATAAATTTAATTTTATTAATATTTTGTCTTTATTACAATTATTTTATTTTTAAAATTCAAAATAAAAGAAATTAGCAAAAAATCTAAAAATAATAGTTTTCTTCAACTTTCCTTTTCAAAAACACACAAGATAAAATTAGTGTTTTTGAAAGGAAAGTTGAATAAGATTAATTTTTTAGATTTTCTTCTTATTTTATTTTATTTGATCTGTTCCAAGTTTATCTAATGATATGATGAAGATAAATTTAAGGTGTTTCAAAAAGAAAGTTGAAAAGATTAATATTTTTAGATTTTCTTCTAATTATGTATTTTGAATTTTTCTTTCTAAATGTTGATTAATAATATAGATTAATAATACAATATCACACTAATGTTCTTGATTAGTGTGATACGAAAGCTCTAGTATCCTAGACGTGTTAGCAAAGGACTTAATTACCTTCAGAGACCGGAAAATAAATGTAAATTCGAGAACATATAATCTATCCTTTTATGACCACTTTTTATCAGAAACTAACACACAAGCAAGTCTCTCGATAATGTTGTAATCCATTATCCATAAGATAAAATTCGATTATAGAAAACAAAGGCAAACATCTCACGGCTCGTGTCGCAAAAAGTAGGAACTCAAGTGTGAAAAGAATTTAAAGAGAAGGGTCCATTATCCTAACCTCGATGCTTCTTACGTCTAAGTGTCCATTTGGTAATCCATTATTATGTACAAACCACATTATTAATATATAAAACTATAGTATAGTATGCAAACAGACCAAACATTAAATAGAGCTATTGTACCAAATGTTCTCTAGTTAATTATAATTTTAGTGTCCTGCATTGCTATTAATTTTTGGTACACAGTTTCATATATTGATTGTAAAATGTATTTTACAGTTGTACAATTAAAATCATAATTGATAGATAAGATTATTTCGTATGTAGATATTTCATATTTGGACAAACGATTGTGGTGAGAAATCATAACTAAACCTCAAATTTAGGGTACGATTTTAAAAGCGTTTAAAATGACAAAACTTCTTCTCAATCCGTCAAAAAATAAACTGACAAACGTTTTGCTTTTTCGTTTGCATGTTTTTGTCACCTGGTTGGGGAATCTTGTGTGGCTATCAAGAATTTTAAAGTAGGATTTTTTCTGTGAAAAATCAAATTGGGCTACTATCTTTAGCCCAAAACCATTTTTTGAAACTCATGAGGCCCAAAGATGGTTCGAATCTGATAAGCAAATACCAATTTCCATCGGCGTATCTTGTAAATTTATCAAATTAAAAACAAAGGATTGATTGATGCATGACCGGGCTTAGACAATAGACATTATTACCTTTACTAGTCCAAAACTCGAACCATGTCGCATTAAATAAAAAAGTGACGCGTAAAACGAGACACCTACCGAGAGGCAGCGAGCAGGTGGAATAACTTTTTGAGTGGATAGAGAGAATATCTTTTCGAGAGATACACACAAACCACATTGTGACAAAACCAACCGCTTTAAACGCTCCTTTACAAATGTTTGCACCGCACCAACCGCATTTCATGATTATCAACACTACACTAGTCTTTAGTAAAACAGAACCAAGATAAAGCAAAGCATCTCACAAGAAACATCAACAGTAACATTCTGGGATTTTATATATCAACCAACACAGCTTCATGTCAGTCCAAAACAGCTACATGCCACACAAAAAAAGAAAAACCAAACACTAATATATCACATTAAACAAAAAAAAGATTAAACTTTCAAGTCTTGTTTCCAGAAGCAGAAAAGATAGATATCTTCATTAGCAAGCAACCACACTTTACATGATGTTGCAGCTATTGTTATTGCTAGTACTGTCTTCATCACTAGATATGTTTGTTGCATATGCATGGCTACTTTGTTGCTGTTGCTGCTCACTTGGGTAAGGGTAATAAGGATAATAACTGTAGGGATTAGGGGTGTAATTGTAATAATACCCATTGCTTGATGCTGGAACGAAAGATGATCTTTGGTACATCATTTGCTGAGGCTGATGCATCATTTGCCTACTCTGCATGTTCATTGGATGATGATTGTTGTATCCGTTCATGTTCATCATCAAGCCTCCATTACCATTGGTGAGGTTGTGATTAGTGACGTTGTTTAACGGTGGAGCTTGAAGCTGTTGTTGAATCCCATTTGGAGGGTGATTCACGGCGTTTGTTGCGCCGTTAAAGCCAGCAAGACCCATGAGAGCTCCAATCTCGTTACTTTCAACACCAGAGTTCATTTTTCCGGCGGTTCTCATTCTCATTGCCGCCATTACTTGTTGAGTGTTCTGGTTTTGGTTGCTCTGTTTTTGGTTGACTTTCTTTGTTGCGGCGTTGACTCCGTTGTTTCCATTGTTTATCGACACTCCTCCATTGTTTTTCTTGGAGTTGACGACGGTTTGTTGCTGCTGATTCGCCGGTTTATGAAACTGGACCTCTCCGTCTTCTTCCTCGCCGCCGTCTCCTTCCTCGTCCGTGACAAAGGCTGCACCTTTAGGGCCGTTCTTGGGCTTGCAGGCTTCAAGACCACTTTTCGCCGATCCTTGCTTCTGACCCTTTTGATTAACGTTCTTGATGACGTCATTAGTCTTGGGCTTTTGAGGTTGGTTTTGGTTTGGGTTAGGAGACCAAAGCTCGGCGTGTTTGCCGGCTTTAACGAGCTTGTTGATGAGTGTGGCTGAGTCAACTGACCCTGAAACAGTCACCTTTTGATGCTCTGCTTCTATCTTCACGTGGCAAACTCCTGTGTTTGTCAAAACATGACAATGTACCAAATCAAGAATCCAAAATGAGTAAGCAAAAAAATGTGTTGCATGTGTGAAATATAGAAACCTTCGATCCTCTGAAGAAGTTTCTTGACTTTCTTGTTACATCCCTCGCAATGGATGTTGACCCTGAGGGAAAACGTCTGTGTTTTGCAATAGACATAACCATTAACACAACTGAGAGGTTATTACAAAAAAAATAGAAAGATAAAAAGTGGAGAAAGTCTTAAAACTACCTGGATCTTTAGGAGCTTAAAGTCTTCATCTTTAGTCATGGCTTAAGAAGAAAGAGGAAGAGAAATGAGTAAAAGCGTTTTAGATATGGTTTGGCGTTTTTAAGATAACTTTGCAAGCTTGAAAAAGAAGAAGCTCGGTTTTTGAAGTAGGCAATTGAGTGGAGGGCTTTGGGTTTAGAGACTTTTGCTCTGAAATTTGAAACGATGTTGAGTGAGTGAGTGAAGACTCACACTTAAAAGTAACAGCGACCTGACCACTTTCCTCATTAAATTCTGAATTTTGGAGTTTATTTTGCATTCGAACAAAAGCATTTTGAATTGTACGTTATCATTATTTAAGGCATATTTTTACATAGTACTAATAAGAATAGTAGTATTATTCATAAACTATGACATTAATGAAACAAAAAAAAAAAAAAAAAAAATTTTTATAGATTAAGAGAAATTTTCCCCTGTTTGTTTTAGGCTTATTTTGCTTTGTTGTTTTACTTTCTTTCATGGCTCCGGATGAGTAGTTCATGCCGGCTTCGTTTCCCTTAAAATTCTAGGGCTTTAGCTACCCGTATCACTCTCGGGCTTTGGTTTTCCATATCACTCTTGAGCTTTGTTTCCGGTTTATCCGGTTTTGTATTCGACGTTGTAACATCTTTTGTATAATATAAAACATTCCAGTGAAAAAAAAAACAATTTAATTATGAAAAAAAAGATTAAGAGAAATTGAAAATGTTGTCAGAAGAGTGCATGCATGAAGAGTCGGGCCCAACGGTCTGTGTCTAGTCAGTGTTTGGGGTTTGCCTTCTCCCACACTCTTCTCGAGCTTCTCCCCTCTCTTTCCCCCAACTTTTTCTTCTTTTGTTTTTAGAATCAATAATTTATTTTAGACAAACAAAAATGAGGTGACATACATATTATTTTAAAAAAGATTTCATTATCCTATTTTTCTGGTTTTAAGAAAAAAAATTGCATGCAATATTTTGACCTCTTGATATATAAGCACATTCTGATTGACCTTGTTAGGGTAGTGCTGCTAGTGTTGTCTTGCATTTTGGCCTTTTAAATAAATCTATTATGGGCCGTAAAAAAAAAGAGGCGCATTAAGTATTAAGCCCATTAATCTGTTCCATGTTTTTTTAGTCCGTCTGTTCAATGTTGGTCCTTTGATCCCCCACTTAATTCACTCGAAGAATCGTAAACCCTTGATGGATTTTCAACTTGATCTAATGTAAGTTTACAAACCATAATACATATGATTAAATATTACGTGATTACACTATATTTTGTTAGTTTTAAATATGATTTGTAATATTTCTCTTTTTAACCTAGATCATGAGTTAAAAACTCATACTAATCCCACTCTATGAAATGTCATGCAGTCTACTCTAGTCAGTTAAAATGAGTATACTGGTCAAAAGAAAACAACAATAATGGTCGTAGTTATATAATAGGACTTTCCCCCTTGATTCACATCACACATAGAAAATTTCCTAACAACAATGAACCACACCACCTTGATTAATAATCAGTGCATTTGTCTACAATAAATATATACTAGACTCGATAGCATATTAACTAGACACTTTAGATTTGAGAGTTGCCAGACACCTCCCAAGAGTCCAATACATGTTCCTTTCACGAAAAATCTAGTTACCAAAATTCGTATTGCTCACATGATATGTTAGATACATAGCCAACATTACATTATGGTATTTAACTCTTGATGTAAACTGCAGATTTCAATATTTATCCTTTGTTTCCTTTCCGGCCGTGATTAGTGTTTCAAGTCGAATGATTTAGCCGTTCATGTCCCAAACACCGTACACGTGACAATAAAACAGATGCTCCAGAACCCTGGGCCTCACAGCATCAACGAAACGTTGACTCCTTATTACCAATTCTTCAAGTCTCTACGCCACGCGTTTGCTGTGTTACTCCACATCGGTCCATTAGTTTAGTGTCATTTCACAATTACTAATGCCATAATAGAATTCAGGATATGATTTATTGTATTGGGGTCGTAATTAATAATTAGTCATGTCATCACCCGACAATGTACTTACATGTCCTCTGTCATATTTTCATATATATATATATATATATTAGAGGTTATATATCTTTAAGCTTTTGTTGATACCAAAAATATATATATTTAGTTATTTCCTGTAATATTGCATAATCGTATAATGATATAAATCGCAAAATAACGATTAAAAAAAAATGAAAAAGTGTACAAGAAAATAAATATATATATATATATACTCACTTATTTGCATTCTGATAAACATCAATTATACAAAAAAATTTGATATCGAAACATATAATTAAAATGCTTCTAATGTATAACATGCTATTTATTTCGGCCAACTAGGGAAGTCATCTATTAGTAGAAATTGAAAGTTTTAACCAACCACGTAATATTATAAGAAACAGAATTAATAAAATTTATTAACAAGAAAACTTGTCCCCTAACTGGTGGTCGGCAAACTATGCTATGCTCCAAATTTTTGGAAAAAATGAGCACATAAAAAGATAAGCAATTGTACAATGAATTATTTACTTTCCATTATATATGTATTGACTAACAAATATCTTATCTTATCCACAGACATCATCGTCGACATATCTACTACCACCGAGGAACAATACCATTAATTACGTAGAGATACAATTGGAGTATTGGACCCATGCGAATAAAATGTTTACCGTCGGATCTTACACTTGTCGTGGGTGCACAACAGAAGGGCAGAGATGGCATATAATTGCTTGATGTTTGGCTTTTCACTTGCCAAGGATTTCTTTAGCGTCATAGAATCTTTCAACTTTTTATTAACCAACCACTGCCTTCATAAAACTCTTTTACTAGTATCGAGTGAATACAAACAAAATATTGGCATAAGATAGTTATTTAGTTACTTATCTTATTCGATAAGATATGAATAGGATACAATTATAGTATGATAGTTTTGGAATTAACCAAATTTATAATTTAATACTTCACCGCCATGCTAATCCTTTAGTTACGGAATGTTTAAAGAAGAATGTCACATTGAACGACTTCTCACCGAACGAATAAAACATTTCACAGTTCATGTGTTTAAATATGGTTATCTTTTTTTGCTTAAGGTATTAGTATTCCAAATAAAACCAAATAGAATATATACAAAATTAGTACCGTTTCAGTTTAAATTTGAGATCCGGTTTTTAATGGAATTTATCGTTGATTGTTAAGTGAATGAAAATTTCGCCTATTATATTTTCTATCCTTTTTCTATTTACTTAAGATTCAGATTGGAAAAAAGAAACCATTTTCATTATTATTTTTTAACAAAATTTAAATTTGGTTTTGTGTTTTTTTTTTCCCCTTCTAACTCGCATCAAATGAACTTGGTTTATCCAAAATTAAACGCCCAAAAATATATAAAATATTTAGAGGTGTATATTAGGATAATATCATTCGAATGCTTCCGGCAAAACCTTAGTTTTTGCATGAAACACAATTTAAACAGTTAAATTATTCATACAATAAGCAAGTAAAACTGTAAAACTATATAATTAGGAGATAAAATACTAGTTAAACGCAGAGTAATTACTATATGTTGATTTGCTTCTGACTTAATACAGTAACAAAAAAGACTCCACTATAAACTTTATAAAACGTTATACATTACTAATTATAACAATCGGTTGCGCTAACTTGCTATCTATACTTTATTCACATAACGGTGCAGGCGTTAGGGTTCTCGTCGCTGAAAAGGGACATGAGCTTATCGTCAGTACTTCCCGGCTGCGCCTGAGCCTGCTCCGACTTCCTCACAAACCCCGGTGGGGCTTTCTTGTCGTAAGCTCCAGCAGCGTACGGATAAGCCACCATTGTGTACGGAACGTACGGCCACAGCTCAGCTTTCTTCTTCCCAGTGCTCTGCACTCTCTTCAGCACTTTCTTTGGATCAACGTAGCCACTCACCGTTACTTTGTGCATCTTTCTGTTCACTTCCACTGATTTTGCTCCTTCAAGAAAAAGAAAAAAGCGAGTGGTGTATATATTAGTATGGTCGTGTTTGGCTGATTTGAAAGGGAATTGTGTTTTTTTGATATATGACGTGTTAGATTACATAATCATGGTAATTATTAAGGTATAGAGTCAAAGTTTAGAGTTTTTTTTTTTATATATGGTATGCATAGTTTTTCGTGTGGGTGATAATTTACTTGTAGCTAGCACAATCAATTTTTCGCCCTAACTAATAGAAAGGCGAGGAGTGTTTGACTACAGGGAACTTGAGAGTTGAAGAACGAACCTTTCATAGAGGAAACAGCGTTCTTGATTTTGCGTTCGCATCCGTCACAGTCGATCTTCACCTTTATATTCACTGTCTGTTCATTATTAAAATTTTAAAAAGGTTAAGCATTTAATAAACTAACGAGACAAGAACTAAACGGCGTTTTTTTAGGGATTCTAATTATACCTGCATGACTTTACGCTTCTTCCGTTTTCTTATTGAGACGTAGAAATGGTTAGAGAGGTAATCAGAAAGAGAATCGAGAGCTCCCATGTTTACTGTCACACAAGCAGAGAGATGGAGAGAGAGAGATAGAGAAAGAGAGCTAGTGATGCTTAGAATGGGTGTCGTGTCTTATATAGGGAAGTTTGGGGGTGGTGATTGGTGAATATAATGTTCCGAGTATTATGTAACACACAATAAATTATTATTGATGAATTGAACATTAGTTTAATTTCATTAGGTGTATAACGATATAATTATTTAAACTTTGAGGTGTCCCTCTTTATTAAATTAAAATTTGAGAGGTGTCCTCTAATTTATAGATAAACTGATGTCCTCCTCCAAAATATTTCTCGGCGGACAACGAGGACGTTTCTAATGTTCCTTTCGATCATCAAGTCACTTTCTTCTTTTCTTAATGGTTAGCTTTTTGTGTTATATAAAATTATAATTAACAATAGAAAAGTTGATTATAGATTTACTCAACTACTATTGCTTCAACTTATGTATTTTGTCTAGCAAAGAATGCTACAAAAGTTTTATCGAAAAGAAAAAGAATGCTACAAATTGGAAATATAATTTCTAATTGGCGCAAAAGAGTTCAACAATAAAATTAGATGCGATATCAAAAGCAAAAAATAAAACAAACCTTTAACTAAAATTACTGAATCAAGCGATTTAAAAGATATTGCAAAACAGAGATCCGTCAGTTAAACTAAACAAATCCGACTAATAGTTCTACACATTTTCTATAAAAAATTTGTCAACTTGCTGGTATATAGTTTTAAGTTTTGTTTTTTGTTAAAGGCTTTCTATATAGTTTTAAGTTGCAAATTGAAATCTATAGGCAGGCTGCGTTTTTCTTACTGATCGACAAAATTCTTTTGGTTGGTTGGTTCTGGATTTCCAATTATCTTGCCAAACGTGCAATGAGACTATATATGATTATATGAAGTGTAACAATAATATTATATGTTGGCTTGCATTTGGTTCCTTGTTGAACAGTTTTAATGATAAATGATGTATTTAGTATGCATGGAATATCTGCAAAGATAAAAATATACTGAGCACGTTATTATGCACTTTGACTTTTAATTTTCTCTTAGGATTGATATTACTTTGTGTACCACGCAAGCGGCGTTTGCGACCCACACGTATACAAATAATTGAAACATAACATATCTACTATCTACTTATCTAGTAAACATTTGACGACAAAAGGAAGAAAAAAACATATCAAGTAAACAAATGGAGCCGACCTCCGGAATTTGAAAATTAAATTGGGAATTTAGCAACCAATGCAGGCGATGCATGCATTTTACATTTTTTCCTATTCTATCGCGATTGCTTGTGTCATAGTAATTCATCCAAAGATCTTATTGCATTTAAATATGGAGATTTTTCTTTTTTGGTCACATGATGCACTTTTTAGATTTTTAATCTGAACTTATCCATATATGGACCATATGGTCGAACCATAAACTATATATCCTCTAATTAGCTAGGCTTAACAAGAGCACCGATATTGATGTACAACACACACATATATAGATGAAAATTCTAGGAGAAAAGTTAGTACTATCATCTCTATATTTTCGTCAGCTAACTAAAAAACAAACAAAATCAAACTGAAAAAAAAACAAACAAAATAAGAAGAAAGAGAAACAAATCAACCATGAAACAGGACAAGAATGAGAAAGTACGTTGGAGGATAGTTCCGCTCAAAATTAGTGTGGTTCTATGGAAATTTTCATACCTATATATAGATAACAATTCTAAGATGGAAATGTACGTTTTATAAAATATAATATGGTAGACACATATAATTATAATTAAGACTTTATAAGATTTGAAAAAAAGTTCTTTAAAGAAATGTATATATATGGTGGCCTTTTCTCAATCCAAGCTGATATTTGATTAGGGAAGTAATCGTGGTCGTAAAATATTAATTCATGCATGTCCCCATAGTCAACTGATATTTGCAAAGAAAAGTAACCTGTGGGAACTCAGGATATTTTATAAATGTTAAATTACCATTATTTTTACCAAAAGTGCCGTGTCAAATAATAAGACTCTCAAGAATTCTTTTATCTGGATACAAATATAAAATAATTAGTTATATTCTATCGAATCTTATGTCATGTCCTTATATTTTTGTGGTCACGAGTATAATTTAAATTAACAGAGTTGATTGTGCTTAATAATAATCTTAATTGGAAAAAATTGGTTTGGGGCAGATTAGGTTGATATTTTGGTAAACGTCCCTTTTACCTGTTCGGTTTTATTTTCTCTTCATATTTGGTGGTGCAACGCAACTTGTGGAGATGAATAATTAATAGTCCAGTAACTTGTGGAGACGAATAATAAATAATTCAGTCGTATCATATGCATATAATTTATAAGAAAACGATACAATATTAACATAATATCGTTGTAAGTGCGTCATATATAGTTGAAATCATAAGAAAGATATCGCAATGAAGGATCAATCAAAGACAAATATTATATTTAACACTTTTTCAAACCTGGTCTTACACATCTTATAAACATGAGATCATGTGTTTTACGTTAATTGGTTGATAGTTTGATTAAAAGTGTGGGTTTGACGTTTCCTTGTTGCTTAAGATTTAGGGTTTAAGCAACTAAGCAACTACATATTTCGTATACCATCTTTGTAATATAAACACATAGAAAGGTTTTTATAGAGTTCATGAAAATGGTCACAATGCATAAAACATTGAAGAATTTCTAACTCAGTAGTCACATAAGTTAAACGGTCCATACACAATTTAATTCGTCATCATCATTAGAGAAAATATTGCAAATATACAAAATTTGAGTTTGAGAAAAGTGATAGCTTGTAGACACAGTTCAGTGCCTAGTAACTAAATTATCATGACTTATGTTAACTTATGTCACCATGTAATTCCGAGTTAAAAAAAAATACATTGATAAATGAAAATAAAATTACAGTCTAGATATCATACTAACCAAATAACCTTTGTAGAAGTGTAATTTAGTCTACTACTCTCTCTACAAAATAAGCAAAGGAGAAGTCAAATAGTCACTGAATCACTAAAAGGCCTAAAAGAAGTTTTCAAGGCCCAAGATAAATAGGTTTTCCAGAATTTGAAGTCCACTTTTATGCGAACCAGACTAATGCTGCTCACTTTGGGTTTTTCAAGTGGGCTTGAAAACTAGACATAACTGAGTCAAACCAAATAAACTGATTTTTTTCCATCTTTTGACTTGCGTATAAAAGAGAAAAAAAATGATCTTGCTATAAATTTCAAAATCTCTATTTTTTTTCTTCATGTTTTTTTTTTTCTTTCATGATTTTACTTTTTTATTTTTGTAACCATCTTCTTAATATTATTTATTGCAAATTATGAGAACGGTTACATAAACGATTCTACAACAGACAAATTCCTTCCAATCCTTATTAGATCCACGATCCTTATTATGAGTACTGTTCTCATAATTTACAATAAATAATAAATCAAGACGTTAAAAAAAAAAAACCATCTTCTTAATAATATTTTTTAATTCCAAAAACAGATTTTTCCAATTTTTTTTGTCATCAATTTTGAATTCAAAAACCGACTTAATGAGATTGATCAACACTCATAATCACACACGGATTATAAAGATAAGAGAAAAGTCGGTTAATTAGGATTAAGTAACGCACAAGCCAAAGCCTTCTGATCGAATATTAAACAAACAAATCCTTCTTTTTTAAGAGGCGGACACAAACCCTAACCACCAACCTTCTCCGTCGTCAAATTCCCCGGCGAAGATGAAACGAATTGTTCGAATTTCATTCACAGACACGGAAGCAACCGATTCTTCAAGCAGCGAAGACGAATCACCACCGTCACGCCGTCGAGGTAAGAAGCTAGTCAAGGAAATCGTAATCGATCCTTCTGATCCCCCGGAGGTCGGAAAAACTCGGTTTAAAATCAGGATTCCGGCGAGGTTTCTTGCTCCGAAGACTACAACGAATAAGAAGAAGTTCCGTGGCGTGAGGCAGAGACCATGGGGAAAGTGGGCGGCTGAAATTAGATGTGGTAGAAGAGCTCACGGCGGTGGTAAAGGAAGACCTGAACGTGTTTGGCTTGGGACTTTTGAAACAGCTGAAGAAGCTGCTCTTGCTTATGATAACGCTGCGATTCAGCTTATTGGACCTGATGCTCCGACTAATTTTGGCCGTCCTGATGTTGATTCTCCGGTGGTGAAGCAAGATTCTGATGCTGGTGGTGGTGCCTCTGCAGCTTCTGGTGAAGATGTTTGATTTTCTTGGTTTTAACTAACTTGCAAGGTTACTTTGTTTATCGTCTTTGTAAATTGATCATCTTGCTTTTAACTTGAACATCTCTCTCTTGTACATGTTTGAATTCTAAAGTTCTAATTTTTCATTACAGATTCTTGATTTTTTCAAAAATTGTATATTGTCATCTGGTGATGTGTTCTCTCTTCATTGAGTAGAATTGGGAATTAACTATTGCTTCAAATTTCCATATTGTTTTGTTACCTTAATTGTTCTACAAATTGGCTATGGTTCAATCTCAGTTTCTCTGTTACAGGTTGAAGATCCTCTTGCAATTTGGCTCATGTCTTGAGCTCATAATCAATGATAGTGGCTTCGATGTGTTCATGAGCGTTTCTTGATAAACCTGACTTTGCTCGTCTTGTTGTCACTCTTCACCGACTAGAAAGAATTGATACAGTTTTAGCCTTTTAGGCATATAAATGGCTGTCAGCTAGGGATGTTGTACCGACCGGTCGACCATTATTTCGGGTGGGGCAGGAACTAATTTCTTTAAAGGTTATGAAAAGATCTGGTTAACTTTTGAGCTGGACCTTAGTAGGACCAGCTTTGTCAAAACTTTGATCAGACCGAAGCTGTGTGCAACCACATTAAGCCTAAAGCTAGTTCACAAGATCATCAAAACAGACTAAATCATCACATATTTTTGAACAAAACCATATAAAAACAACTTTACTAGAATTGAATTCTCATAATTCCTATCAAAAACCCTCCTTTTTTCACAATCTGGTTCTATAAAATTGAGTTTTTTTTTTCTTCTATTGTTTCCTTGCTAAAGCTCTCAACAACCCCTACGCAATGTTTGGATCGGTTTATAATACTTACCAGAGAAGTTTGTTTTTTTTTAACTTTCAAAGTCAAATTCTCCAAGAGCTTTTCCATAAATAGCACTAGTCCCCTAAAGTGTCAAAACGACGTCATATCGCAGCAAAGCTTCATGCAGAGCAAAACCCTTTAGCTTAGCAGAGGCGTTAAGAGTTTTGAAGGAAGACGAAAATGGGGAAATCAAAGAGGACGAAAATGGGGAAATCAAAGAAAAAGGATCTAAATCAATCTCTGATTACTCATCCTAGCAACATCGTCGATACTCTCCAGGTATTTTTCCTAATCTTACCATGTTTGTTTCATGTTTTTGGCAATGAATTAGGATCGTGATTACTGATTAGACAAAGATTATGCTAATTTTTTTTTTGCAGTTGTATCCAAATGCGTCTCCTACAGTAGAAAAAGTTCACTGGGACTATGTTCTTCACATTTCTGATTACCTCTCTACACAAGCCACCAAAGGTTTTCAAAACTTTGTTTCAGTTGTTACAATTTCTCGATTCATTTTTTTTTTTGTGATTTCTTCTTCTCAATTTCTGCGTGCTTATTACTCTAAACAGTGAGAATGCTATGGACTGGAGAATCTCCAAAAGCTGAATCACTTACGGAGACAATGGAGTCTTACTTCAATGCTCTTCAAGGGTTTTTGCTCTGTTTCCATGGAAGCACTCTTGGTGCTGGACCTACTTTGTCTTCAATCATACACGGTTCTGTTAAGAAAATCGTTGATTCCAGCTTCAGATTGTTTCAGGGTTCTGTCTCCCTTTACGGTAATAATTGAAAGTTTTATACTTTTCTCACATTTCTCAACAATCTCTCAATGTAACATCTATTGAAGTACTCGTCTTGTTAAAGGATAGTGTAGCCACAGTTTGATTTGCTTTCAACATACTTGTAGTGAGTGTTTAACATGTGGATGATTTTGCCAGTGTTTTTTTGTATATGTTAACCAGAAGGATCATATGAAAAGGGCGAAAAGCCGTCTATTCCGCAGCTTTCAGGAGCAGTTTTGGAGGCATGCTTTAGTTTCAAGAAGGTTCCTACAACAAACCTCGTCGCGATTGGCAGTGCTATTTCGCAGGTTTCGGTTTCCATGAAGGATGTTCTTAATGAGATGAATAAAGTGAAGCCAGCTTGTCCTTCACGTGAGTGTGAAGCATCTGGTGATGATTTTTCTCCTGAACAAATAGAAGTTGCTAAAATGGTTGCTGACATTGCGTCTGAGGCGATGATGGTGATAATAGTCATTCGAGTAATCACCAGGACAATGGAGGAGGAACATCCAAAGGAGAATAGCGGGTTTGTGGACTCGCTAGAGAAGCTACTTAAGTTGTGTCAAAGAAATGGAGTACTGATAGAAGAGCTTGGAACTTTCGTTTATCATCCACCGCTGAAGATAGACAAGATGATTCAAACGGTGAAGATACTAGAGGGAAATCTCGATGAAGTTGAGGCTCAAGTTAAGCATATGAAGAGGTCTTCCAACGCTTTTCCGGGAGTTTGCAGAAAGCTGCGAGACGCGATCAAACTCATGGAAGTTGAATTGGAAAAAAGAAAGCATCTGAATCAAATTCTGGTTTCTCATCAAAACACTATCTACAATACTCTTCAGGTATGTTTCTTCTTACCTATTTATGTTTGTCTCATGTTTTCTCGTGATGAATTAGATAAGGATCATGCCAAAACGTTTTGCAGTTGTTCGATCCAACAGCGTCTCCTACAGAGGAAAAAGTTAACTGGAACGATGTTCTTAAATGTCTAATCAACTCCCTAAACAAGCATCCATAGATTGATGATCCGTTTCACAGTACCAATATTTTCTCTGCATTGCAATGCTATTACTCTCTTTTAAATGTCCAGTTTCCTCTGCATTTACAGGAGAAACATAATGTCTCTAATAGATTAAAGACTGCTTCATTTTTTCCCAAGTACTTCATAGTCTCTGATATCTTTATTTGAGACTTTATGTTCATGAGCGCTTCTTGTTAAACATGTCTCTGCTTCTTTAAAGGTTGTGAAAACTTTTTCCCAAGTTCATAGTCTCTGATCTTTCTTTAATACTTTCCTATGCAATGTTTGGAGAGTGCTTAATAGTCAATACGTAACAAGAGACTTGAGGTTTTTTTTTTTTTTTTTTGTCGTCGAGACTTGAGGTTTATTTCTTTAACTTGAAAAAGCAAAATTCTCGAAGGGCTTTTTTTGTAAATAATAACAGAAGTTTCCTAAGTCTTAAACGACATCGTTACGTACCGTAGTAAAGCTAAGCTTCGGCAAAACCCTTAAGCTTAGCACTAGCTAGAGAAGTCAAGAGGTTGAAGGAAGACAAAAATGGTGAAATCAAAGAAAGAAGATCTAAATCAATTTCTGATTCCTCGTCTCAACACCATCTACGATACTCTCCAAGTAACTTTTGTCTTCTTACCGATTTTTGTTCGTATCACACAATTAGATTCGTACTCAGACACAGACTATGCTACAATTTTGCAGTTGTTCGATCAAACAGCGTCTCCTACAGTGGAGAAAGTTAATTGGAACGATGTTCTTCAGATGTCTGATCACCTCTCTAAACAAGCCACCATAGGTTATTAAAACTTGATTTCACTGTTGTAATTTCTTGATTCCTTTTTGTGATTTCTTGTTCTCAATTTGTGCTTGGGGTTACTCTTAATAGTGGGAATGCTATGGACTGGTGAATCTCCAAAAGCTGAATCACTTAAAGAGACAATGGAGTCTTACTTCAATGCTCTTCAAGGGTTTTTGCTCTGTTGCCATGGAAGCACAGTTGGTGCTGGACCTACACTTTCTTCAATCATACATGTCTCTGTAAAGCAAATTGTCGATTCCAGCTTTAGATTGTTGCAGGGTTCTGTTTCCTTATACGGTAATAATTGAAAGTTTTATACTTTCTCCCATTATGTCACAGTTTGATTTGCTTTCAAGATGCTACTTTTAGTGAGTGCTTTATTGTGGATGGTTTTGTTTTTGTATCTGTGAACTAGAGGGATCGTATGAGAAGGATAAGAAGCCTTCTATTCCGCAGCTTTCGGGAGTGGTTTGGGAGGCATGCTCTAGTTTCAAGAAGGTTCCTGCAACAAACATTATTGCGATTGGTAGGGCTATTACACAGGTTGCGGTTTCCATGAAGGATGTTCTTAGGGAGATGAAAGAAGTGAAGCCAGCTTGTCATTCAGCTGAATGTGAGGCCTCAGGTGATAATATGTCTGGTGATGATGATGACGATTTAGGTGATGATTTGTCTCCTGAGGAAATGGAAGTTGCTACAATGGTTGCTGAAATTGTGTCTGAGACAATCATGGTGATAAAAGAACTCATCCGAGTTATCACTGGCATGATTAAGCTAGAGAATCCAAAGGATAACAGCGGTTTTGTTGAGTCGCTTGAGAAGCTGCTAAAGCTGTGTCAAGGAACCGGTGTACAAATCGATGAGCTTGGAGCTTGCGTCTATCCACCGCAAGAGATGGACAAAATGAAACAAACGGTGAAGATAATACAGGGAAATCTCGACGAATTTGAAACTGAAGTTGAGCGTTTGAAGAGTTCTTCAGACGGGTTTTCGGGAGCTTGCCGAAAGCTGCGAAACTCGTTGAAACACATGGAAAATGAATTGGATAAAAGATGTGAAGCAGAGCTAGTAGTTGAAATGCAGAATGTTACTCTTGGCAATTAGAGAGAGTTTGGATTTTGCAATTGAGTTTTTTTGGTTTGTTTATGTCGGAAAGTGGCTTGTGTCTTTAACATTCATGTAATGTTCAATGTGTTGCATACGTTTCCTAAATTTATAGATATGGTGTACTTAGATTTTGTTTTCGTCATCTTCCCAACTTGAAAATTCATTTTGGAAAATTAGATATTGAGAATAGATTTCGAACATTCGTTAGACATGAATCACATGATCATGTGAATGTAGCAACAAGTAGGTAAATATCACATGAGAATGTTTTTCAAAACCAAATCGAAATGGTAAACCGGTTGCATTTCTGGGTCGTGGTTTCCGGTTGGTTTTAATTTTGACTTCAGAGAGGAAAGTTGAGCAGAGAACCGAATTTAACGGTTTTAAAACCGTGGATTTAACGGTTAAAGATAAAAAAACCAAACCGGAAGGGAGATTGAACCGGTCCGGTTAAGAGAAAATTGAGATAAACCCTTATTTTGTTTAAGCTCCGGGAGATGTTGATCGCCGACGCACGGGAGGGAGAGATGGCAACACAAGGCTTCGTGGAGAATTAATGGCCGCTCCTCCTTCTCTTCTCGGATCCTTTGAAATCGTTTCTCTTGAAGACTTGATCAATTCAAAGCTTTGGTTCCTATGTGTTCCTCTCTGTTTCCTCAATGATCCTATGTCTCCGTCTCTGTCTCAGAGCTTCGAGATCTTTCTTCTCTATTTCTACTACCAACAACAACAATAACCTCTCACGCTTCCTCTTTCGATTCTCTACTCTTCCTCATTGCGCTACGTCGTCGTCTTCCTCCAATCTCGAGTCTTATTACGCTAATCTCATTTTGAGCTCTCACGGAGATAATCAACCTAATCGGAAGTGGTCTTCTCATCAGTTTCGTCTTCTCTTGACTGATCAAGATTTGTTTATTAGAGTCCTCAATATGATTCGGGTCAAGCCCGAAATCGCGTTTCGGTTTTTCAATTGGATACAGAGGCAGAGCGATGTGAAGCAGTCACGGCAAGCTTTTGCTGCGATGTTGGAGATTTTAGCTGAGAATGATTTGATGAGTGAAGCTTATTTGGTTGCTGAGAGGAGTATTGATCTTGGTATGCACGAAATTGATGATCTTTTGATTGATGGGAACTTTGATAAGTTGGTTGCTCTCAAGCTTTTAGATCTGTTGTTGTGGGTTTACACTAAGAAATCTATGGCGGAGAAGTGTTTGTTGAGTTTTGAGAAGATGATTAGGAAAGGGTTTTTACCTAGTGTTAGAAATTGTAACATAGTTTTGAGGGTTCTTAGGGATTCAAGGATGATGAATAAGGCTTCAGAGGTGTATGAGACGATGGTTGAGCATGGTATTATGCCAACGGTTATCACGTTTAATACTATGTTGGATTCTTGTTTCAAGGCTGGCGATTTGGAGCGAGTTGACAAGATTTGGTTAGAGATGAAGAGAAGAAATATTGAATTTAGTGAAGTGACTTACAATATACTGATCAATGGGTTTTCCAAGAATGGTAAAATGGAGGAAGCTAGGCGGTTTCATGGAGATATGCAAAGATCTGGGTTCCCTGTTACACCATACTCGTTTAATCCGTTGATTGAAGGGTATTGCAAGCAAGGCTTGTTTGATGAAGCTTGGGGAGTTACAGACGAGATGCTCAATGCGGGTATTTATCCAACCACATCCACGTATAATATTTATATACGTGCTCTCTGCGAGTTTGGAAGAATAGATGATGCCAGAGAGCTGTTATCTAGTATGGCAGCTCCTGATGTTGTGTCTTATAACACTCTGATGCATGGATACATCAAGATGCGGAAGTTTGTAGAGGCTTCTCTCTTGTTTGATGACTTGAAAGCTGGGAATATCAATCCCAGTATTGTCACTTATAATACTCTAATAGATGGTCTTTGTGAGTCAGGGAACTTGGAAGGTGCTCAGCGGTTAAAAGAAGAGATGACCAGCCAACTGATATTTCCTGATGTGATTACGTACACGACTCTTATTAAAGGATTTGTTAAGAATGGGAATCTTTCCATGGCTACTGAAATTTATGATGAGATGCTGAGGAAAGGAATTAAACCTGATGGATATGCATACACTACAAGGACTGTGGGTGAATTGCGGCTTGGAGATTCAGAAAAAGCATTTCGTCTGCACGAAGAGATGGTGGCAGAGGATCATCATGCTCCAGATCTGACCATCTATAACGTTCGTATAGATGGACTCTGCAAGGTTGGGAATCTGGAAAAAGCAATTGAGTTTCAGCGTAAGATTTTTAGAGTTGGTCTTGTCCCAGATCATGTTACTTACACCACGGTTATTCGCGGTTATTTGGAGAAGGGCCGGTTTAAGATGGCCAGAGACTTGTATGATGAAATGCTGAGTAAAAGGTTATCTCCTTCTGTGATTACCTACTTTGTGTTGATTCATGGTCATGCGAAAGCAGGAAGGCTAGAACAAGCCTTTCAGTATTCCACCGAGATGAAAAAGAGAGGCGTTCGTCCAAATGTCATGACGCACAATGCTCTTTTACATGGCATGTGCAAAGCTGGTAATATAGATGAAGCTTACAGATACTTGTGCAAGATGGAAGAAGAGGGGATTTCACCAAATAAATATAGCTACACTATTCTTATAAGCAAGAACTGTGATCTCGATAAATGGGAAGAGGTTGTTAAATTGTATAAAGAGATGCTAGATAAAGAGATTGAGCCAGATGGTTACACACATAGAGCCTTGTTCAAACATTTGGAGAAAGACCACGAGTCACGAGAGGTTGAGTTCCTCGAAAAGCTATTACTCAGTTGACAAGGAAGCAAAGTTGGTGACTTGGAATGATCATATTTTTTTCTTGGAGCTGGCCGGTTCCGTCCCTGAGTGCATATGGTCAAAAATTTTATGACTACTATGCACAATCTAGTTGATGGCTCAGCTTGATTGGTATGTAGAAACTCTTCTCTCAGCTTTCGCAAAGGCTTCTGCATTATCTGTGACTGTAGATTGTAATGCATCTATAGCTATACTTCTTCTGCCAGGGGATAACATACTCTGAGCTATGGCCAGACTCGATCCAATGTTGTTGAAAGCTCATTGCTTTAAGCTTATAACTCATTCTTACACAACAGCAGAGGCAAAGAGAATAGGAATAAAGATGACCAACACATAAATTGGTGTTTGCAAAGGAAGTTCACACTCAGTGAAGAAGATTTCCTGTGTATTGTTTAATTCTTTGGACCATTTTTTGGGAATAGAGAAAAATGTTGAAAAACATATAATTTCATTTTTGGGAAGAAAAGCCAAAAGTACAAAGCTCTGTTTCTCTCAAGACTCTTAGCATGTTTTAGGTAATCACTAAATTTACTTCTCTCTCTTTTGTAAGCATTGCCTCTGTGCTCTGTCACATTTCATTTCCACTGCATCATTTTGTACATTCGTCACTATTTCTATTTATATGATATAAAATGAAAATACAGACTCTATTAGTAATTTACTAATTTTGGTTTTTTAAAGTTACTGATGTAATGACCAACAAAAAAAAAAATCAACGTTTCTAAAAATGGTAGGAACAAACAAAAAAACTATATCAGTAATTTTCCCACATTGTTTTTTTTTTACTTTGAGGAGGTTCGATAAAAAATATCCGAAACCCTAACCTCTCAAACAAACCATCATCTTCTTCTTTCACTCATCCAAAAAAAACTAAACCCTAGAATGCGTATCGCTTTCTTTAACCTGAATGTGCAATCAAACTCCTCTTAGATCTATGGCTCTCGATTCTTCCGGAAAACAACCTGAGCAGCAACAACAACCGCGAGCCTCCTCTGGAAACGGCGAAGCAAGATTGAAACTTCGGAGAACCCCAAATGAAGAACATGAGCCTGAGAACTATGAAGATCTACCTTTGGACTATAGTCCTTCTCTGTTTAGCTCTCTTGAGCGTTACTTACCTGAGCAGCTTCTCAATTCCACACGAATCGATAAAGCTAGTTTCATGAGAGACCTTCTTCTCCGATATTCCCCTGATACTGAGCGAGTTCGGGTAAAGTTTCTTCCTTTTACTGATTTTTGATAGTTTGAGCTTACATTTCTGTGATTTGAGCTTGAATTTGTGTCTCATTTGCAGACTCTGAGGCATAAAGAATACAGGGACAAAATCATGTCTTCTTACCAAGTAATGTTCTTTGTCGGATTGGGTTAACAAGTCTTAATCTTGAATTGGTTATTTGAATCTTTTTGCTTGTTGTTGAACTGATTTTGCAGCGTAAGCATGGAGAGATCTATACTCTTGACCCTACTAGTTTCTTTACGCCATCGTTTCTTAGAGCTTTTAGTGGGAAGTCAGAGCCGAATTTCAGAAATATTATGGTTGAACCTTATCCTGGGATTTTCACTTTTGAAATGTTTAAACCACGGTTTTGTGAAATGTTACTTGCAGAGGTATGAATTGGCTTAAAGTTATCGCTTTTTGTTTGTTTGGACAGAGCTAAGGTTGTTGTTCTCTGTCTTCTCATCAAAGTCTTGACTAATTTCTCAGGTTGAACATATGGAGAAATGGGTTTATGATTCAAGATCCACAATAATGAGACCTAATACGATGAACAATTTCGGTGTTGTCCTTGATGACTTTGGCTTTGATAGCATGCTTCAGAAGTTGGTTGATGACTTTATTAGTCCTATAGCTCAAGGTTAAGATTCTAATTGTGATTTTTGGTTATTGTTGCAACTTTTTTTTTTTTCTGATATATTTGCTGATGGGTTTGGTTCAAATCTTGTGTCAGTTCTGTTCCCAGAAGTCTGTGGATCCTCTTTAGATTCTCACCATGGCTATATTGTTGAATATGGAAAAGATAGGGATGTTGATCTTGGTAAGTACTGAGAATGGTCTCTTTCTTGGTAGTTAGATTTGGACTTGTGGAACACATCTAAAAACTTGCTTCTTAATTTTAGGGTTCCATGTGGATGACTCTGAGATTAGTTTGAATGTCTGCTTGGGCAAACAGTTTTCTGGTGGGGAGCTGTATTTTCGCGGTGTGAGATGTGATAAGCATGTGAATTCCGATAGCACTGAAAAGGTACTTGTGGAACCAACCATCAAAAGCAGCCAAGTGTCTTTATGATTTTGCATTATGTGAAGTTGTCTCAACCACAAAGATCTTTTCTTTATATCTTGTTCTTCTGTAGGAAGTTTATGATTACTCTCATGTACCTGGTCATGCCATTCTTCATCGTGGACGTCATCGCCATGGTGCTAGAGCAACAACTTCTGGACACCGAGTCAACTTGATTTTGTGGTGTAGAAGGTGAAGATATTTTCATCAGCAAATGTGTTTCATGAACCATTTTATGGGATTTCATATTTCCCCTCTCTTTCTCATTGTAGCTCAACTTTTCGAGAGATGAAGAATTATCAGAGAGATTTCTCAAATTGGTGCGGAGGATGCAAACTTGAGAAACAGAGAAGGCAGCGTGATTCGATTAATGCAACTAAAGAGGTATGTATATCAATGCTGCATTATAGTCTATAGATGATGGTTTTTTCACAAGCAATTGTTTTGCTTTATCAATGAATTTCACATTTAAACGAAAAAAAAAAATTGTTTTGCTTTATCTTATGTTTTTGGTAATTTGCAGATACTGGCTAGGAAAGCTGCAGAGAAGACACTTGTTGAGCTGGCTTCAAAATCTTGTGCCGACTAAACAGAACAATGATATGTCAAAAACCTCACCTTCTTTGTATTATTCCCCAGTGGCTGTGTATAGGAAGGCAAGTTAAATCGTTTGTCTGTAAGCAAGCATTAGATACCTTTGTCATAGGTAAATTTTGTTCCATTTTTCAGATTGCTGCCTGTAACAATAAATTTCTTAGATTGAAGCCAAATGAAACACACAAATCAAACTTTCCTATCGATATAATGCCATCTCTCTTGGAGAATTTGAGAATGTGGGAAGTTTTTGGAAGTAAAAATGTTTGTAGCAATCATTATTATCTTTTTTGGCTTTCTCAAAAAAACAAAATACATTAAGTATAAGAGCTAAAAGGTTTACAACATTTTGTAATTTGTGAAAACTGAGAAGCAAAATCGGTTAAACAAAATTAAAACACCTTACTGAAATATTTTGGGCGTCTTCAAATTTCCCTTTTGCTCTCTTTAAGCGTTTTATGCAACTTTTTAGCTTGGGTCAAAACACAATCTTGGTCGAACAAAGCTGACACAACTGCTACACCTTTTAGGTTCGGTGCATCGATCTGCATAACAGACTCAGCATTTGAGATCCCTATGCCTCCGATGGCAACAACCGGTAATTTTGATGCCTCACATACTTCTTTCAGCCCATCAAGTCCTATGGTACGATTGTTGGCCTTAGTGTTCGTTGGAAAAACTCCTCCTGACCCAATGTAGTCTGCACCATCTTTCCATGCTTGATGAGCTTGTTCTGGTGTCTTACATGAGACCCCAATGATCTTGTCCGGGCCAAGAAGACACCGAACTAGATCAACCGGCATGTCGGATTGACCAACATGGACTCCATCAGCATTACAAGCAAGGGCAATGTCGATCCTGTCGTTGATCAGCAAACTAACTCCATGGGACCGGCATATGTCAACGCATGCTTTTGCTTCTTCGAGAAACTCCCGTGTTTCGGCTTCTTTCTCCCTGCAAAAGCACTGAGATGTCATTTGGGCTTCCATAAGAGAGAGTTGACGCTCCAGTTACAGCAAACATGATCAAACCTCAGTTGTATGATTGTGGCCCCTCCCTCTATAGCAGCTTTCACGGCATCCACAATGGACCGGTTCCATCTTCTGTTCATTCTAGAATCTGTAACAGCATATAGAAACAGGTCATCTGGATTGAATATGCTGCATCGAGAACTTTGGGGATCCTTCTTAAGACCGAAAAAGTGGTCAAACGGTCCTTGCATCCCACTGCCAATGGCAATATCTTTGCTGTAATCTAGGGCATTATCGACGAAGCGTTTAGCCACCTGCCAACCGGGACTTGAGATTATTAGCCTTTGTTAATACAGTATTTAATAATACAAACACAGATATCTTATCCCCCAAATACTTTCCCATCATCAATCTCCAAATACCTCTGCTGAAATTTGAACTTATAGGAAAGAACGTGTTCTCCTTAAAATCAATTTCACTGACGAAGAGTCAATGCAGACAGACTAATATAAATCATAGAGAGCCATGGAGCATAGCATATTCTGTGAAGAAATTGTTTGAAGAAAAAGAAGCATATATAAATGTACCTTCACGGCTGAGAGCATGGAAGAGCCTTTTGCAAGCTCTGCTGCAATACATGAAGCCAAAGTGCAACCAGTCCCATGAGTATTTCTCGTAGCTACGCGAGGAGAACGGAGTTCATGAAACTCCTTGCCTAAAAAAGTTCCACATTTTTATAACCACAAATGTTTTAAGTCTGTCAAGCTTCATCAACAAAATCAATGTAAGAATAAAAAGACCGATGAACTATCATACCATCAAAGTAAACATCTACTGAATCTGATGAGTCAGGAAGATCACCACCTTTAACAAGTACGAATCTGAAGCACAGAAAAAAAGGGATCAACATCACACAATAATGCTCATATACTGAGCATAACAACCACAAGCAGAAAGATTTCTTCTCAATTCGTCCACAGTAGGTTAAATTAAGGGATGACTAGAAAAAGAAGTGTAGAGAGAGGAATGAGAGAAAGTCGAAAAACCTAGGACCCATTTCATGCAACGACTTTGCTGCAGACCGCATATCTGAAACAGTCTCAATCCGAACACCGCCAAGTAAAGCAGATGCCTCTTTCACATTCGGGGTTATTATGTCAGCAATTGGCAATAATCTCTCTCTGCAATAAGAAACCATAGTTAAGAAAGAACATAACCCACCAATCACTGAAGTCAAACACAGAATAACAAACGCATATAAGCTTACCTAAAGATAGAGAGAATAGAAGAACCAGCAAGAACATGCCCACTTGTAGATACCATCACAGGATCAACAACCAAAGCTACCTTAACACAACAAAACTACACTAAGCATTGAAATACACAAACTTCAAAAAATTCTGAAAACAGAACAAAGCAAGGTTGTTTTTGGTTCTCTACCACGAACTGGAAAATCTGATAGATTTTGAAGAAGAACCTCAACGATCTCAGTAGAAGGAAGCATCCCAGTCTTCACCTGTCACAATTAATCAATCATAAGAGAGTAATCACTAATCACTAATCACACTAATCATATCAAGAAGAAGAGCTTACGACGTCGAATTCGAAGTCAGATAGGACAGATTTGAGCTGCTCAGAGACAAATTCCGGAGGAAGAAGATGAACAGATTGAACTCCTCGAGTGTTCTGAGCAGTGACGGCGGTTATGACGGAAGCGCAATAAACACCACGAGCTGCGCAGACTTTAAGGTCCGCTTGAATTCCAGCTCCGGCGCCGGAATCTGATCCCGCCACAGTTAGAACTTGCGGTATCTTTCTAACACTCTCCGTCGTCGTCATTGACGCCGTCGTGCTTCTCCAATTCGCCGGCCAACTTCTAATTCCTCCTAAGCTATTCATTTCTCGTCCCGTTCTTTATTTCCTTTTATTTTATTTTATTCTCATCACCAAATATTTTCGATATTTTTTTAACTTTAATGTGAAATAAAATTGTAAATATTAAACAATATAACTGAATTATCTCTACAAATAAATTTCATCGATTTCAATTTTCAATAATTTTTAACTTAACCACGAATCATTTGTGTGAGATACGTTAATACTTGTGGTCCACGAAAAAAGACAATAAATAAAAAAGATAGATAGATACATTGATAAATTTGAAAGCAAGCTTTATATAATTGAAGAATATTCATATATACAACGTTTCAGACTAATTTACAAATTACAACAAATCACAAGCTATTCAAACACTTTATTCATTCGGACACACTAAAAAGGGACCAAAGCCGTTTTTGTTTTTACAAATCAGCATTATGCATCATCCAATCACAATGCATTTTTACATTACACGTGTAATTATTGTAGATATATATATCATCATCATATATACAGAAAGCTATACAATTACCGAGTGGTGTGGTTCAATGTTGCTGCATGAGATGAGTCAACCATGGACCATGAACTCTGACAGAGACACAAGCTACAACACCAAGGGCTCGAGCTGTCTCTAAAACCCTTTCTTTCAATCCTCCTCCTCCTCCTACTTTCTTCATCTCTGTTTCAACCAATCTCTTCCCAGTTTCACCATTCCCGGCTAATAAAGCTCCTCGAACCGCTTTGTATATACAACCTGTAACTCTCTCATACACTGTGTTACCTTCTCCCAAACTCTTCCCCAATAATCCTCTCATCATCTTCTTCTTCTCTCCATCTTCTTCACTCATTGTTGTTTCGATGATCTCCGTTAGTCCTGCTTCTTCCTTCCCATCTAACAACTCCAACAATTTCTTTGCCATGCTTTCGGTTTCGCTTTCGCTCTTTGCAAGCATCTGACGCCAAATGAGTAAGCTGCATAACACAAATCCTTTTAAGGTGAGAGAATACTCTAATTTCTACATGAGTTTTCTTACCATATATATAACCAATCATTCATACCTTGTGGTTACTACAACTATCTTCTGAATTTCTGATTGAATATCCCTTACGCGAGAGAGGTTGAGCTGAAAAGTTTCTGGTAGAACTTCTGGTGTTAAACCAGATACCTGACTCACCAGCTTCAACAATCCAAGCCTCACTGCCAAATCAACTCTTTCTCCCTTACATTCTGATAGTTGGCCATCTGAAACCAACAAGCATATGAAAACATATTAGTGCTGTTTAATCTAAAAAGAATGTATTATAGAGTCGGTTTTTCAATCACGGTAACAAGCAAAACCTGCAGTGACCGTAACAGTTGACTTGGACGTTGTATTGACCGAGGATAGAAAGCTTCCACCCGTTTTGAGAGAAATTCCCATGGAGGATCTCTCAACCACATTCAAGGCTGAAATCGTATTGCTGTGCTCTTCCCACTCGTCTTTGCTAGACAAAAGAACTGAAATCCACCTTCGTGTCACTGGTAGTGATTCGTAGGCTTGAGCGGGAGGTCCATAACGCTTTTCAAAAGCTTGTGTAAGGTAATCAAAGCCTGCTGGCCCTTGCAAAAAGGGTTTCATGATTGTTATGCGACCTATGCCTATCTCTCGCTTAAGATCCTGTTGGATAAGGAACAACAAAATGAAGAAACTGATAAGTGGACAAGTAAAGCAGAAAGATATTTTCTTCTTTCCAAAGCTATCGCTGCTGATAAATAAAGAGAAAATAAGCTTCTGAATACAGACCTGAATCTGCTCAAGAATGAAGCGGATCCCCTTGACTATCGCAACAGCATGCAAGTTACCAGACTCATCTTTAGCTTCACACAACCTGTGAAGTTCCTTGAGTAGATTCTGGTGGGTGCTTTCATTCTCACGGTCATTAGCTGGGGCAGAGAGTTTCCGCAGAGTAGCCAACGCAAACTCAAGCATCTTTCCAAGGTAATCGATATCCAAGGTGCCGGAGTTAAGCAACTACCAATAAAAGACGAAATGAGAACAACCCAAACTAAAAATATACAAAAAAGGACAGTCACTTAATATGAGACCAGAGAGATGAGGCAAACCTGTGAGAGAATGTCCAAATCAATAGTTTCAGTTATTTCTACTTTCCAGCTATCTGGTACCATTTGGCAAAGTTCGTCACTCACTTCTTTCATAAGGTTAGAGATGCAACTATAGTCTGGTTTTTCCAATTTCATGGATTCCATGACACTATCCCAGAAAGCTCTCTCCATAGTCTCCTTTATCCTTCTCTGCAACACACATTTACAAAATCAATGCCAAGAACATCCCTACAACCCAAAATTGTAATGAGTCCAACAACAATGTGCAGAACTGCAGAAGCCATATACCATCCTCCTAGATTATCCTCGATGCAAAGAAAACAAACCTTAAGATTATTCTCTTCATCCTTGACAGTGGATCCACCAGGAAACTTGAAATTCCAATCGTGCAGGAACTCATTCACCATCAACTCATTCTGTTTTGAAACCTCGTCCACAGTGTCATTATTGGCTCTAGAGGGTCCAGATGAGGGTGGAGTATCATCCTTAAATAAAGAACGACTAACACGTTTTGATCCTTCAACACCTATGCTATCTTTACTTCTGCTGCTGGAACTAGACACAGACTGAACTGGAGACGAAGCTGGGCTTGGAGAAAAGAAACATGCGAGCTGATTAGCCATAGGGCTTCCATTCTCCTTCGCTTGAAAGTACTTTGTTCGTGTTTCTGACAACGCATTTTCCATGCGCTCAACTCCTGCAACTCCACTCAGGTGCCGTACTTTCTCTGTTAGGAGTTCTTGATCTTGTGTTACCTACAACGAGAATTCACATTACATAACAAAAATATCAAAAGAGTCCCTTATTTCCCTTTTTCAGATATATAGATTGCAAACCTGCATTTGAATTGCTTTCTTATCATGAGTGAGCATAGTTTCTTCCCCTTCTGGAGTTAGCCTGCATTTTTGAATCATGGAAAGCTCAAGCTGACAAGCTGCTCTTACCAAGTCATCTTCCAACAACCGAGCATCCTTAACTTTCCAAATCACAAATGAGTTCAAAAAGGAGCACCATGCTTTATCGAATAAGTCCAACTGAGATCTCAAGGTCCGATGTTTTGATTCTCCACCAGAAACCTGAACAGGACCCTCTTGAATAACATTTATCAATAACTTAAGCTCTCTCACAAATCCTTTAGCCGCGTTATTGAGAGCAGCCTCTTGATCACCTTGACCATTAAAAACTGCATCTGGATGGCCGAGTATCATAAAGGCAGAAAGAACAACTCTGACAGGATACCTAGACATCTTTACTGATGTCCCAGCCACATTCCTAACAGAAGAAACCTTCTTTCCTTTTCTGCTCCTCAAAGAACTTGGCGTAACCTTTCTCCTTGGCGTGGCAACTCTTCTAAGTAGGTGATCAATGTTATCCAATATGGACGATTGAGAAGCGATGGTAACATTCTTAGAAGCTTCTAAGCGAACTTCAAGTCGATCAAGTAAAGATTTAACCATTTTAAGAGTATTAGGCGATTCAATTAGCACCGCAAGCTGCTCAAATGGCAGTGACTCGCTAATCTTCAAACCATCATAAGCTTTCGCCAAATCCAAAGTTGTCCTCTTCTGCCTAACAAAGCACCTCCAACACCTAACAATAACACATACTATCAAAAAGCTATTTAAAAGAAAGCATATACAAGAATTGCATAGCGCTTTATTACCTTGACAGCTTTCTAGAGAGAAGATCAGCATCTTCCTGCATCATATCGCAATAGAGACTAATGGAATCACGTTGTCTTCTTCTCTGACGAAGAAACTCCGATCTATATCTCTTTGCCTAAATTATCAAACACCAAAAAAAACGTAAGATTAACAAACACAACATATAAGAGTAAATAACACAAAAGACCAAAGCTTACTCTTTGCAATTTATCTTCAAGTTTATCCCTCATTTTACTTCTCTCCATCTCACGCTGATTAGAAACAGAGTTGGCAACATGACGTACTTGTTGGACACGAGCACGTGCTTTCTTCTTCTCAGCTTCAAGCAACCCAAGACGTTTCTTCTCCGCAGCAACACGTTTCTGATTAATCGAAGCACGAACTCTTTCCTTATACTTACTCTCTCTAGCCATCCTTCTCATCATAGACTGAGACGTTCTCTCTTTAGCACAAGCCCTTTTCTGATGCGATGCCTTGAGAATCTTCATTCTATTAGCTTCAGCTTTTTGAACACGAGACTCCACTTGAGTTCCAAGCTTCACACGTTCCCTCTCCGACCGTATCTCCACACTTGTTTTCGCTGCTTGTCTTAACTCATCTAACTTCGCTAAACGCATCTGTGCTTTCGCAAGAATCTCCAACCTAACAATAACAACAATCAAATCAATCCACACAGAGACAGAGACAGAGAGAGACATAAATCATCGAAAGACTAAGACTTTGAATTAAAGTTTTCACCTTTTTTGTTCAGCAGCAAGAAGTCTTGCCTCGATCCGTTGGCCAAGTTCTTCATCAGATGATCGTGAAGGACTTCTAGGTTTCGCACGAGCCTTTCTCGAAACGTTATGATAAAATTGCTACACAGAATTGACAAAAAGACAAAAACTTTAAGCAAAATTAAATATAGAAATCAAAGACTTGGTCATTTCAGGCTTAATCAGGAAATTAAAAAAAAAAAAAAACCTGTCTTCGTAGATGGGCATGAAGAAGCTTGTCTTCAATATCTTGAACAGAAGATACTGTCTTCTTGCTATAGTCAGACAAAAGCCTCTCACGAATCCTCCGTGGAACTCTCATCACCGCCGGAGTATTAATCTCCTCCGGCGAGATATCCAGAACGATCGCTTCCCCTCGATCTTCCTCCATACTTTCGATCAATCAGTAAACCAATCCCGATCAACGATCAAATGGATTCAACCAAAAAAAGCAATTTTCAGAGATAAAAGTCGAACAAGAAGAAGAAACAAGAAAAGAAGTTTGCTTTGTGTGTTTTCCTTCTTTCTCTTCTTTTTATTAAAAAAAATCAGTTTTTTTTTTTTTGGTTTTATAAGAAAAAAAAAAAAAAAAAAGACTGTTTGGTCACAAAGCGTTGCCTTGTGGATCGAAACTGCGTATTATTTCATTCAAAGGTTATCTAAGAACTCGACACGTCAGCGACGAACCTAACCGTGTTATTTTATTAAATTGACGATAATACCCCTTTTGTTGTTGCAGAATTTTCTGACGCTACCTACTACTATCCGAAATTATTGATTACTTCTAGATATATATTTTTTTTTACCCACATTCTTGCATGATCTTATTATGGCAATAGAATTAAATTAGAAAAGTTATAATCGACAGCTAATCAGATTTAAGATAATAAAATCAACGTGATCAAGTTCTCTACTCATCTTTCGTTTACGACACGATAATATATGCTTTAAACAAAACGATTAAACGAACAGACTAAGCAAAAAGGTCGTTGGAACTAAGCAAAACTCTAGTTGCATGTATCATGCCATTTGCGTTGATTAGCTAAATTTTGTTTTCATTTTTGTCATCTTTTTACATATTTATATATTAGAAGATCGTGACATATTATACAATAATAGTCCACAATCAATCAAAAATTATATTTCATGGGAAATAAAATCTTGAAACCATCGTTAAATCGTTAATCTATAGGCCAACAACGAACCCAAAAGGCCAAATGCATTTATACGAACAAGTTTGGTTACTTATGATATATTCATATATATATACGAACAAGTTTGGTTACTTATTTCCTTTCTAAATATATCAAGTCTCTACCTTTGAGAATTTCATATCAACTTGAAGTTGATTTTTAACTGACACTTGCATTATAAATGAGCAAGATACGCCATATATAATTGTCGAAAGACCTAACGAGAGTTTGAGATAATATTAAGATAAAGAGAGTATTCATAAATCGTTATCTTCAAGGTCGACGAAGAAAAAAGTAAAGTGGTCATATTCGATTTCTGATAGGTATATAAAAGGGATTAAATGCTTTTAAAATTTTATACATGATTTGGACCTCTTATCTAATATCATTCACTCAATTTATGGACGAGAGCAGAACCAAAACTTAAATACTTATTGAAGAAGGAAGAAAAATATTTAGCAACTTGGCTTTAAAGGTTATTCCACTTGTCACTATTTAAAGATTCGAGTTTTGAGCCTTTGAGTAATACCTTGGCCACCCTTATATTGCAAGCACGTACGTGGTATAAAGATTATAACGCTTCAATTTCATTGACCCTTTTTTTGTGGACATTTGTCATCAAATGTATCAAGTTGATAAAAGTATAGAAACTGAGGATGTATGAATTGTTTCTAGCTATAGACATCAACAAAAAAATGTTTTGTGGATACACTTTCCTTAATATATGCATATAATTGAGGTTGGTCTTAGATTTTAGAGTACTTGTGTATATATTATAGTGACTTTTTAGTTTTGTATAATATTTTGGATGTAAGACATGAATATTGGTACATGAACACACTCTAATATTTGTAAAACAATTAACATAGAACAAGTAATAAAACACAACAATATTGTAAAGATGTTTGAGGAACGGAAATTGACGGTGATAAACAGAGCCGAGAACTTTGATGATCGTTCTCTTTAACTAAAAACATCTTTACGTTATTATTGTGTTTCATTACTTGTTATATGTTAATTGCTTTTCAAATAGTAGATTGTGTTCATGTGCCAATATTCAAGTCCTACATTCTAATTAACTCAAAAATCGCCCCGTAATGCGACGGTTTGATAACAATTAAAGTCCAAAGAAAAAATTGTTTCTTTTTTTGATTCACAACACTCAAAATCAAAAGTTGATCGAATGATAACCTTGTATTGTACTCTCATAAGCAAACAAAACAAGGAGAGAGAAGAGAAGGCTTGAATTTATAGCTAAAGCTCAACGTCTATGCCATAAAGAGGAGGATACGAGAGTTATGAGAATTGATTCTCTAATGTCAAAGTCGTAATTGATTCCAACCTTAATTTACGAGAGTTAATTAGGTTGTTACAAAATCAATAAAGATTTTTTTGAATTAGTTAACAACATAATTCATAATGGATATGGGCAAACAAGAATAAACTTATGGGTCATAAACCCATTTTATTAATCTCAAATCTCAAATCCAACCCATATTCTTTTTTTGTTTTTCTTCTAACCTCCAAAGTGGTCCAATTAACTTTTAGTCAAAATTTCAAACTTAACAAGCTAACCACTTCAGATCTTCATTTCTCATTCAAACGAACTCCGTTTTTAACATTCCAATACAGTATACGCTATCGTGTAGTGCTCGCCGCAACCATTCCATCTTGTCTGAAATCCGGTCATTTAACGTCTTCACCGGAAAATCTACTGTAACAAAGGTCAAAACTATTTTGTCAAAAAAACAAGTTCCAACATTGGATTAGATCGGATCTCTTTTTGCATGGTATTTGAGATACTAATATTTATTGATTTTAACTCAAATCAAATATCGATACCGAATTACCAAATTGAAGGTGGATGCGTTGTTTATTTATCACGATTCTGCAAAATCCACAGTGTATAAGTTAAAGACGCTATCAAAATAAACTTAATTAATAGATTGGTGCAATTATCCTTGTGTGATATCTCAAGAAGTGTGCATGAGATGCTGTAATCTTCTTTTACGCTTCGTGATTCAAGATTTGTATGGTGGGATGATGCAAAATACAAGATCTATGTGTCACATTATAACTGGTTGATTTGATACCATGGCTACAATTTATCTTTGATTTGGCAACATTGATTTTCATAAGTTAAAAAAAAAAACTAAAAATAAAAAGGAAAAAAATTTGGGTGAATTTATTGACACATGAGTAAATCTCCATAAAAAATATTTAATAAAAAATCTAAGAGATTAAATTTCCATAAAAGTTTATATGGTAAATGTTTTGGATTAAGCATTAATTAGTCCCCAAATCCCATATATATAAGGAGGTGTAAAATCCCAACCCCTCCTTGTTCGTTCTCGGTGCCGCAATCTCGCAAACCGGTTTAACCCAAGAACCCAAAGATCTCTCTCTATTTGATCGGCTCTTCTTCCTCTCTTACTCAAACCCTTAAAATCAATTGTCGCGATTTAGCAAAACCCTAGATTTCTTCTACTCTTCGAAGTCGATTTCAATGGAAGGTTCATCGTCAGCCATCGCGAGGAAGACATGGGAGCTCGAGAACAACATTCTCACAGTGGAACCAACCGATTCAGCCTCCGATAGTATTTTCCACTACGACGACGCTGCGCAAGCCAAAATCCAGCAGGAGAAGCCATGGGCCTCCGATCCTAACTACTTCAAGCGTGTTCAAATCTCAGCACTCGCTCTTCTCAAGATGGTGGTTCACGCTCGCTCTGGTGGAACAATCGAGATCATGGGTCTGATGCAGGGAAAGACCGAGGGTGATACCATCATTGTTATGGATGCTTTTGCTTTGCCTGTTGAAGGAACTGAGACTAGGGTTAATGCTCAGGCTGATGCGTATGAGTATATGGTTGAATACTCTCAGACCAACAAGCTGGTAAATTTCTCTTTATTCATCTCTCGCTTGATGGGTTAGGGTTTCCTTAGGATTTATGGTTTTCTAGGGTTTTAGAGAATCTCTCATAGCTATTCTTGTTTAATTAGATCCTTTATGCAAGTTTTGGCTGGTGTTATCATATTTCTGCAGAAGCTTCAAGTTCTTGTTCTTTTGTTATGATGATTTTTCTAACTGTTTGATTGATTTGTTATGACTGTAGGCTGGGAGGTTGGAGAACGTTGTTGGATGGTATCACTCTCACCCTGGATATGGATGTTGGCTCTCGGGTATTGATGTTTCGACACAGATGCTTAACCAACAGTATCAGGAACCTTTCTTAGCTGTTGTTATTGATCCAACAAGGACTGTTTCGGCTGGTAAGGTTGAGATTGGGGCATTCAGAACATATCCAGAGGGACATAAGATCTCAGATGATCATGTTTCTGAGTATCAGACTATCCCTCTTAACAAAATCGAGGACTTTGGTGTACATTGCAAACAGGTACTTATTATAATTCTCATTTATTGATTTTAAATATTGGAAGCTTTAATCAGCGCTCTTATGATTGATTTTTTTTTTTGTATGTGGCAGTACTATTCATTGGACATCACTTATTTCAAGTCATCTCTTGATAGTCACCTTCTGGATCTCCTTTGGAACAAGTACTGGGTGAACACTCTTTCTTCTTCCCCACTGCTGGGCAATGGAGACTATGTTGCCGGACAAATATCAGATTTGGGTAAATTCTTTTATATATGCATGAGCAAGTTAATTTACTTTTCATCCAGGTCGTATTTTGATATATTCTCTTTTCTTACCATTTAATTGTTTACATGGTGAAGCTGAGAAGCTCGAGCAAGCGGAGAATCAGCTCGCTCACTCCCGGTTTGGAGGAATTGCACCAGCCGGTCACCAGAGGAGAAAAGAGGTTTGTCTAAATGGTGTCTTTAGCAAATTTATTTGTTATGTTCTCAATGTTTATTGACTGTCTGAGATACTGGACCATGATTTTGAGCTCATACACGTGCCACTTTTCAAGCTTGTTCTTATATAGAAACTTAACATTTGGCTAATTAAGTGTGCTACTATCAACATCTAGCGACTTGGATTGATAGTTTGTAGTTCGATTGATAACGTTGGAACTCTTTAGTCTCAGCAGGCAGTATGTTGATTGGATTTTAAAATTAATCATAGAAACTCTCTACCTGCACAATTCTGTGGTTATCTTTTCTGGTTGTGGGAGTTCAAAGTTGGATTTTTGTTTAGTCATAAATATACAGAGTTGTTAAGGTTTGAACAAGTAAAAATGGGAGATTTTGATATGATAATTCTTCAACTAGTTGTTGCCACTTCCTAGAGTTCTGTTATCTCTGGCTGTGTGACTCATTTTGATATTGTTTTAATATTCTTTACATTAAAATCATCTGTTTGGGAGACTACAGAGCCTAATTAGGTGTGTTATGTATCACTTTCAGGATGAGCCTCAACTCGCGAAGATAACTCGGGATAGTGCAAAGATAACCGTCGAGCAGGTCCATGGACTAATGTCACAGGTGAGTAAATACAATCTGACAATGCTGATCCTATTTCCCCTTGTGGTTAATGGATACATGAAATTGCCTCAAAAGTCTTTCATCCATCAATGTGCAGGTTATCAAAGACATCTTGTTCAATTCCGCACGGCAGTCCAAGAAGTCTCCCAACGACTCATCAGATCCAGAGCCCATGATTACATCGTGAAGTTGGTCTATTCTTTTGTTTTGTCTGCGGAAATTGACTTTTTGTTTTGACCCGGTTTATGAGGCAATGCACATTGTTCCCTATATCTCTAGTGTAGTATCTGCTTCAGACAAGCTCTTTGGGTTATTAAATGACATTAACATGACAAGTTCGATCATTATGTTTTTACCTTTTGACTATCTTGAATTGGTACTAAAGGATTGGTAATTCTAGATACAAAGAGCACATATGTGAAACCAAATTCACAGTTGCGGTTACTTGAAGAATGTATGCCTGAGACAGAACCATGTGCTAAAATTATGACAACTCCATACAAATGTTCTCCAAAGACTGATAAGAAGAGAAAGAAAGGAGGGTCTAAAATCAATTCTCTTACACTAGAAGCTGTCTTCATTTATGGTTGAACAGCATTTATTTTGTTAGAAGGAAACAAACTTATTCCATTCTAAAACTGAAAGTGTCATTGCAACAAGACCACGGTTTGTGGTACTAAAAGCGGATTCGAGATAGAATGCTTTCGCAAACTGACTAGTCATGAACATCGGGCCGAGAAAACAAAACAGTCGGTAGGAAGAGATGAAGTGGAAGTTACCTGCGTGGGGCTTAATCAATAATGACATCCTCACTTATATGAGATAAAGACCTTTTTGGGCCTGCGCTAATATAAACCGACACGCTTCGTTTGTCCCTAAAATGGGCCTATTTACGGCCCAATACTTGCCTGAAGGTTGAGTAGAAGAAGAAGAAGGTCCGAGAGAAGCAAAACTTTCTTCTTCTTCTTCTTCTTCTTTCTGGGATCAGGAGAGATTGATGCATTGCTTCATTGGTTGGTTAATCGAGGCAATGAAGCGCGAACACCCGTGAAGAAGTTGAAAACCTCACTCACACCTACCATTGGGTAATCGAGGCATTTCGATTATGTTACTAATGTGAGGTGTTCAACTTCTTTTCTAGGGTGCTCGCGCCTCGCGCTAATCTTCTTTATCGGCTTCATCATGGATCTAACTTATAGGATTTTTTTTTTATAGTTTCTCAGTCATGGATCCTATTTTGATACATTGTGATTTGTTTCAAATTCTTTTGCCATATGTTTAATGTTCACTTTTGCCTAGGGTTGTCTATAGAATTCACTTGGTGTTGAATGTTTCCAAGATGATGATTTTTAGTTGACTCAAATGCATACCTTATTAAGATTTAAACTGAGAATACTGTGTCCTCCTCTCAGGAAGAGCTAATAACCTCTTTATTGTCCTGTGATTCATCATTTGTGAGGTGAATTATGCAGAAGCTGAGGATTCAAGTTCAAAGCCAGAGAGGTCCATTTCGGTTGATGCACAAATATATATTATCACTTCCTTGTGGTATGGAGATCTTGAGGGCTGCACTGACACAAATCTTGCTCTGCCCTGAACAAGGATCTTATCTCCATTTCATCTATATCATGCACGAAATATATGATCTAAGACTTTTTTAAATGATACATTGAGGAAGCTACTGAGTGCGGCTTAAAGGAAATGTGAAGCCAATATTGCTACTGGTAGTGTCTTAGACTTGATTTTCTTCAACCTCAATGGGTGTGATGGAAGCAGCAGACTGTAGTTAAGTTTTCAGTTGGGGAATTTCTTTCTTACAAGATGTTGAAAGGTGACATGGATGGGCTACAACATGTTTTCTCGCAAAGTGTTGTTGACTCTAGCACACAACCACGTCTTCATTTATTCTTGAGAGTTGAGTCATAAAGCACTACAAGTTGTGAAACTGGACTGAGAAGCATACATTGGGATACTTGAGGAAATGTGAGTACAGTGGTCATTGCTCTGCAGTGTGAAGAGAACTCGAATCAGACAAGAAAGCGCCAGTCTGTCAATATATATCCCTAACAGGTATTGTTATGTTTCCAATATCCTTACGAACATACTATATTCAAAAATTGAAAAGCATGAAGTTGTATGTGATGCATAGTATTCTAGGGGTTTATGGGATGTTACTCCCCAAAGTTTTTAACCACTAGTAACTAACGAGACTTTGAATAATGCATTTTTATTTAAGAAATATAATCTTGAGACTTGACGACTTTACTTCTAAAGCTACTAAGACTAACATGTTGATGCAACAAAAGGGATTGCAGGATTTTGGTGCTGATCATTTTGCTTAAATATGCAATCATTTTTCAGTCTTTCAAACAGCACATGGTTTTGGTGCTTGATTTTTTTTTTTTACATTATTCCTAACAGACATTTTCTTTGTCTTGTTGATTAGCCATCCCTAGGCTAAACAACATAAACAAATTAAGCTGATACATGCATCAGCTTGAGTTTGGCACATGAGTGATTGATGATGATGCTCCATTAGCAATATCTCTCAGAGAGAAACCCATTCTCTAGAGAAGATGCAATTGCAAGAAGGTGAGATATGACTAATACGACATGACCACCATCTGATATAGGAGATCCCATTGGAGTCTGCAAATAAAAAGCCACCTCAAATTCCATAAAATGGGGTGGCTTTTAGAGCAGAGGGAGAGGAACTAAGTGTTGAGATTAGCCAAAGAGCATCCTTTAAACCATAGAATGGCTCTTGACCTGAGAAGAAGAAGATGAAGCTTGATAGCTACCAAAGACTCTAAGCTTCTTTAACGGTAGGGAATGAGAGGTGGCTGAAGCGGAAAGCCAGTCACGCCTGTGGCACAACAAAACACACTGTCAACAATATTAGTGTATGCATCTCTTTTTCCTTTGGTGTACATATGTCTGTTATCATATACGAACCTTGTTGCATAGAAAAGGTCTGAGGAGAGTAATGGTGAGGGTTATAAGAAGACGGCAACTGATGATAAAATGGTTGTGGCTGAGAGAACTGGACTCCACCGCAAGGATAAAAAGGAGCGGCGGATGCGGCTGCTGCCGTTAGTCCACTGCCTCCACCGTTTCGGTTTCCATAGACTCCGTATTGTCCTCCAGAAGTACAGCCGTACATGCCGTATAAGTTCTGTTACGCATCATATTAGTATTAGATTAAGGCTTAATGCTTATGTTATATGATCATGAACAACTAAGTTAGATTCGTTGAGACAGAGAAAGATTCTTCTTCAGTTCGTTATACAAACTCTTGTGTCAGAGAAGAAAAAGTAACGGACCGTAGGGAATGATGAGTAGTCTGGCGAGTATGGAGAGTACCTGCGAATATCAAATCAATGTTTTTTCTTTTACAAAACAAATTACACTTTAAGAGTGACAACAAATATGAATGCACGTGGCACGTGGTCACGAGTCACGACACAAGACAGGAGGAAGCATGTGATGAGAGAGTAAAATGATTGGTGAAAGATGGAAATGGAATCAGTATATTTTTAGTTTTACAAGCTGTCCGTTGACCACTTTGTCAGTCATTTAAATCTCTCTATATAGACAGTGAAAATTAATCTATCTATTATTACTGATAATAATAATAGTGTCGGTCCACAATCAAAATGGGAACATTAGAGGACAGCCAGCTATGTAATGCAATTGCTTTGTTCGGTTTAATTGACATATATGAGTTGGCATTCTTTTGGTCTCAAATGGTATCATGTTATGATGATGCATGCATATGTACTATCATCATCATCATTACATGGAAAATAGAGAGGGAAAAAGAAGAGTGTACCCAAAGAGATTGAGAGGGAGATGGGGATAGTGAGGGAAGGTGGGTGGTTGTGGTGGTGGTGGAGGTGGTCCAAAACCAGTCTGCATTGTGCTCATCATCACTCTCATATTGTTAATCCTGCCTCCTCCTCCTAGCACATTCATCATCATCATCATCACTATCAATTTGATGATATCGACTCAATGGTCCATTAATATCAATCACCAACTATGAATATTAAGTTTATTAATTCATTTCTAATTAATAAAACCAACTTTGTAGAGACACTAGCTAACCATATATAGTACTAGTAACTAAGAATTATCCTTTCTTTTTATCTAACTTGCATAGCATCATGAACTTATATACACACACATACACATCTAGACTCTAGAAAAAGAGAAAGATAGATAGATGATATATGTATTCACCATGGTTAGGAGTGGATGGTTTGGATCTTTGAAGACCGAGAGAGGCCAGGTTGCAATTTGCTCTTCTCCCGTCGATCACCGGAGTAGCGTCCACACAAGCTCTCCTCGCGGCCTCCGCTTCCCTGAATGTCACCTGATCGATCATCATATCACCACTTTACTTATCAGTTATAATTCCCCTTTTAACTATATAATATACACACATATCATATTATCATTCACTCTCTCTCTATATATATAGGAACAAGGTTTTGTATAAACGTACAAATCCGTAGCCCTTGGATCTGCCGGAGGCCTTGTCGGTGATGACTACGGCTTCCAAAATCTCTCCAAACTGCTCAAAGTGCTTCTTCATCGTCTCCTTATGCGTCTCCCAAGCTAATCCTCCCACAAACACCTTCGTGTACGTCGTGTCTCCTAACCCTATTCCTCCCGCCATTTTTTTCTCCGATCAAAACCCTCTCTCTCTCTAGAGTAAAACAAATTAGCTTTTATCTTGAGCTATATATATATATCTCTATCTCTCCTTGTTGGATTGTGAGAGACACAAAGGGTTAATATGCAAGAAGTAGGCTACAACAAAGGAGTCTATATAAATAGTAGGAAAGAGATTAGAGATCTACTTACTATATAGATTCATAAGATAAGTTTTTTTTTAGGGTTGATTGATATAATGAGAACAAGAAGAAGAGGGAAGAGAAAAATGAAAGCCTAAAAATAATTATTAAAGTGGTATATGGAGAAAGATATTGGACTAGACAGACAATATTGCCCACATTATCCAACATCCTCCACGCACTTCTTTGCTCGTGTCTCTCACGCAGCCTCTTCTCCAAGGATCTGTGGTCGTAACGCGAGTGGGATATGCGTGAGAATTGAGGCATCGATCGGATGTTTTTTTTTTATTTATTGAATTATCTTCTGCCGGTACGTTCAATTATTTAAAGGGAAGTAAAGGAGGAAAAAATAGAAATTAAATGATAAAAATGTTTATTTCCTCATTTTTCTTGAGCTAGATACATATTTAATTTTTTTTTATTTATTTTGGAACAACCCAAATCTAGTTGGTCAAATTTAAGCAACGGTTGTATGTAGTTGTATTTGTACTTGTGTCATTCATTGGTATATGCGAACCATTGATCTTATTGATGTATATACAAATTACAACTAATTTTGAGAAAATTGTAGGATTTGATTTAACCTTTTCTTTTGGGGCAAATAAGGCAGTTTTGAGTTTATTTGTATACTTGTGGAGATGACGTACGTTTGAGGTATCAGTTGTATCATCACTTGTAAATCAAATATGAGTTTCTCTTGTTCTTTTTTTGCATGGGTCTTTTATTTATCGAACAATGTCTTACATTTTTCAACAAAGTCATCGCAATACAAAGTCTTATATTTATTCTTATAAGTTTGTTTAGACCTTAATTATCATTTACATATGTTCGTAGGGGCAGGGCCGGAGCTACAAAAAATGTAGGTGTGAATGGGTCAGTTGACCCCAACAAAATTTTATATTTTAAACTTTTCCTTATTGATATTAAAGAATAAGTTAGATCAAATGGCTAAAATTTCTATAGTTGACCCTATCAACATGTGTTTTATCCCATTTGACCCCAATAAAAACACAGTCTAGCTCTGCCACTGCTTAGGGGTGGGAAACTCCCTACTTTTCCTCGTCAACGGATATGTTATTATCACCAATCTGGAAACGATATACATTTATCCATAATATACACACAAATGTTATATAAACCAACAAATTCGTGCTTTCATGCAATAAGTCACATATCGTTTTTTTGAACATTGCAAATAACAAACATGGCCACACCTTTTCTGCTTCTTCTTCTTCCTATGATCTTCTCATCTATTCTCCTTCTTACCATCACCGTTACACAATCCGAAGCTTACTCCAAAACGACGCCATTTGAAGGAAATAAGCCGGATAAACTCACACACCTCCACTTCTACTTCCATGACATCATCTCCGGTGACAATCCCACCAGCATCAGAGTCGCTGAAGCCCCCGGAACAAACTCCTCCGCCACCGTATTCGGTGCGGTTCTTGTCGTTGACGCCCCGTTGACCGAGGGACCTGAGCTGAGCTCGAAGGAAGTGGGGAGAGCTCAGGGGTTGTACGCATCGACGGACATGAAAACGTTTGGCTTCTCAATGGTCTTTAACTTGGCGTTCACGGAAGGAGAGTTTAACGGCAGCACCGCTGCGATGTATGGACGGAATCAGATACTGCTGGAGGATAGAGAGTTGCCGATCATCGGAGGTACCGGTGCTTTCAGGTTTGCTAGAGGCTATGCTCGACCAAAGACTTATAAGATTGTTAATATAGATGCCGTGGTTGAGTATAATGTCTTCATTTGGCATTAACTTTTGAGATTTATTTATGTACGTAATTCGAGAATAAATTGTTTCACTTTGCTTTTTTTTTGTATTTTTTTTTTGGGTTTGTGTCCTTTAAAAGGTTTAGTTTCAAATAAATCGGGATGTGAGATGTGTGAGTGTATGTTTGAAAAAAAAAAAAAAAAAAAAAGTGAGTCTATGTTTGTAACGTGTGAGTGTATTCGGACGAAAGGGACGGTGTAGCATAATTTTGGCAAATCAATTCTATCAAAACTTAAGTATATCTTCTCTTTCACAAAAAAGAAAAAGACTTTACCATATACTATATGTTTTAATTATGTTTATCTGGTCATGAATTCGGTTCGATCAGACTAAACCAGAACGGTTTGAATTTGGTTAGATATGAAAATTTCGATAAATTGGGTCTTTTTTTTGCTGGCCGGTTTCAGTTCAAAAAACAAAATATTTCTAATTAAAAACTACAATTTGTGAAAAAGAGAATTAAACAATTAATTTATTTAAAAGTACTTTATCATATAGTATATACACAACATGGTCATATATATTTACAATATATGATTTAAAATTCCAACATGATCTGAAAAGGTTCAACTTGTATATAATAAGACACAATAAGTTGTATAATAGTCAATTGACCCTTCATCTTTTTTTCTACTTTTGGTTTTTGTTTTTTTTTTTGTTTCTTTCTTACACACATTCTATATGACTATATGTAATCTTGATCACTTCTTCTCGGTTACTTGCATGAGATTGTTTATGGGCCTTTTCCTTTTGGTGATCTAGAAGGCGGTACATAAATTGGAGGGGGATCATAAACGCAATCCAAACGCAATTTGTTACCTGCAGCACCACATTGTATATATGATTAGTTTCTTCAAACATAAAACTCTACACAAAGAAGGTGAATACAAATATATGTCTACACAAGACGAGACTTATATATCAGCATGAAAATGAGTGTAAAAATACTAACGTAGTTGGCGTTTGGCCTCGGCTACTCCAATTTGTGAGGAGACAAAGAGAAGTAGAAGAAACAAAGAGAGAAGAAGAGCAACAAAATTTGATGTTTTTGCAGCCATTTTGCTAATGAAGTGTTCCACTCTCTCACAATTCCATATCAAAGACTAGCTTCAGGATGATTTATATAATATGAGAAAATAAAAGCTTCTTTGAAATGTAAAAGCCTAACGGATAAGCATCGCTGAAATGTGTACTAGTCGCCAACTACATTTCTATTCAACGCGCCTTTAAGTTTCCATATACGAAAGTCTCTTGGATCACGTCCTGTTCTGTTTAAATTTATTTCTTCCACCTACTTAGGTTGAATTTCAGACAACTATACGAACCATATAGCTCTTCTATGTGTTGACATATCAGTAAAACAAGGGAAATTTTGTCATATATCCCCATATTTTTCTGTGGGTTTTCATGTTTTGTCACAAATGGTTGCGAAAAAATCTGTGACTAATTTAGACAGTGATTAACATCAATCCGTAGTCGTCTCTGACCAGTACTAAGACACGACATAATCATAACATTTATTCGTGATGATGACAACTAATTTAGCCAAATTTGTTTTCGGTTAATTGGCCACAGATTTAACTCTCAACTGAAATGGTGATTTATCCACTGATGATAGCAACTGAAAGTAGTGGAAAATTAGCCATTGTTTAGCTACGACAAATATGTGACCAAATTAACCAGTACCACCGACAACATATTTATAACCAAATACTGTTACACGATCTCAAAATGTGATATAATCAGAAAAAGTTTACTAATATGAGATCACAACAACATTAATCTCGAGTCTTGACCATTATAGTTTCTTCTCCATCACTCAAAACACAATTTGGCTTATGGACCTTTTCCTTTGCGCGATTTAGAGGGCGGCAGATATATAGGGGCAGTGGGAGGGCGAGGGTAATCGTAATCCACACGCTGTTCTTGTCCTTGACCTGCTTGTTAACAATATGTTTTTCACCATAAGCTTTTAATTATCTGCCTACAATATGCTTTCTTCTTCACATAAACAATATATTTCAACTTTCTTTTAACATGATTATAATGAAACCATAAGCTAAAAACATGTTAATATCCACAAAACCGGACAAAGATTTTTCATGAGGGAAAAAACAGATTAGTCTTCACAGTAGAGAGGTTAAGAGAATGATGAAGATATAAATTAGATGAGAGACTGATAGAGTCATTTGATATGTAAGCTTCTTCTTTCAAATATAGAGCAAAGAAAGAGATTGAATATATACTAACGTTTGTTGCGTGTGGCCTCGGCGACTCCAACTTGAAAGGAGATCAATAAGAGCAGAAGAAGCAAAGAGAGAAGAAAAACAACTAAATGTGATGCCTTTGTAGCCATTATTTTAAATAAGTGGTCGATCAATTTAACTCTCCCACAATTCAATATATAACAAAGACCAGCTCCTGTGTTATATAAGAAAATGAAGCCTCGTTGAAAATTATAGTACTCACGGGTCCATAGTACCCACCTACTATATCCACTCAACGCACTTACTTTCACTTTTACTTACGTCCACAAAATAAGACTTTTGTGCCATTCTTTAAGTTTTCTATACGAAGACTTCATTGTGTCGAATACAATCTATGTTACACATTAGGCATTAGATTATTCGGAAAATTGTCAAGTGTATATGTATGTGTGCCGGTTTTTTGAAAATCAAGATATATTTCACCCAAATTGGTAACATGGCTCTACAGTGTAAAAAAATAAGATCAAAATTCTTATCAAAGAGACAAAACGAACATAATGAATGTTGAGCTAATCAATAACAAGAGCCAAGCCCCACCACCGGTCTTCTCTGCTCGACCTGTTCCCACACCGATCACAACTGCAATAACCGCGATAGTGCCAAACCCTAGACACACGGTGAACACCATTAAGCCTTTCTTCTCCATCCACTCAAGTCTTTTACTTACTTCCTCAAGACTCTCTCTTGTGTTTTCTTTCTCTTTCCCTGCTTTCTCCATCTCTGCCTCCACTCTCTTTCGCCACTCTTTCATTTCCTCTGCTTCACTCACCATTTTCTCTTGCCTCTCCTTCATACCTTCCAAGTCAAGTCTCAAAATCGCAATCGCCTTTTCTCTCACACCGGCTTCACGGTCCATCTCTTTGAATATGTTCCCGTATCTCGTGTTCAGTTCCTCTAAGTAGCTCTCTAGAACTGATAGGTTCAAGTCCAATGACCTTAACTTCTGCATCAGTATCTTCAGCACTGTGTCCCCTGGCATTCTGCTTCCTGGCTGATGATGCCTCATCTCTTCCACGGGCTCTACCAGCTTATTACTACTCTTCGCCATTGATGCTTCAGTCTTCGCTAACATATTCTCTGGTGGGGCTTCCCTCTCGTTCTCTCTGTGCGTGCTCCTACCAGCACTATCATCTCCTTCTAATGACTCTGTTTGCTGCACTGCCTTCTCCTTCTGCTCAAAATCTCCCTCTCTGGTTTTGAATGCGTTTTTGTTGTCCTGGACAGATATCAAATCCTCCAGCATTCGTTCAACGGCATCCACTCCGTAGACTTCTATCAAACTCAAGGTGCAGTAGAATTCTGAACCATAATGACTAAGAAAGTTTAGCTTTAAGTATCTCACCCACTTTGGCTCGAGAAGTGTGAAGTTCTGCTCATGCTTCACGTTTGAAGCCGTGAAGTTTCCCATATGAACCCAGGTATCAGTCGGATAAACCAGGGTGCCTTGAAGCTGAAACTCTTTCAGATTGGAAGAGTAATGCTCGAAATTCGCGATCTTGATGGTATTAACCAACGTTTCTTCTGAAAGTTCTACAACAACAAATTTACCTTCAGTAGAACAGGGATTCCTGAGGTACTTGTCATTGTCCCGGCTTAGGATACTTGGAGCCCCCTTTGCTTCCTTGTTGGAAGATAGGACCTTTGCACCTTTTGAAGCAGAGGCATAATTGTACTCTTTCCCTCCAGGCTCCATCCTGTGAATCACACCAGTGACCTGATCTGATAACGATTTGTTTCTAGAATTGGACGCTCTGCTCTTGAACTCATCAAGCCCAAGCGGAACAGCACGAGATGGTTGATCAACCTTTGAAGCATTGATCTCAGTATCATTCCCTGGATCTGTTTTGTTCACCTGATTTTGCTTCAAAAACACATTGTCTTTGCTTTCTGTATCATTACCTGTGCTCATTTGACTTTGCTTCGAAAAGTCATCGTCTTTGCTTCCTGCATCATTCCCTGTATCTTTCTTGTTTATCTCACTTTGCTTCGAATTGTAACTGTCCTTGCTTTCAATATCATTCCCTGAAACTGTGCTAATGATCTCTGCTTCCTTCACAGATTTTTCTTCATCTTCTTCACTTACTTCAGACAGGGTTATATCATCATTCCGACTCAAATCAGACGTAACATGAACAGAAGCAGACTCTAGTGATAATGGTTCATCAAAGGGCAAAACTTTCTCACCTGACTGACCATCATCCGGGTCAGCTATTCCTACAGAGTCATTCAAAGGTGTATCTGCAAGTACACAAGAGTTGGTTCTTAACATGCTTAAGGTAAGACAAAAACAACAATTTGCATACCACGAAAGAAAAGAACTTGAAGGTTACCTTGGGCACCATCTCCATGACTAATCAACAAGGTGGATAAGAAGAGAAGAACCCAAAGGAGAAAAACCAGAGACATAGAGACTTTGTAAAAGCTGTTCCTTCCATTAAAATTGTTCACAGAAACTCTTCTTCTAGACCTTTGCATTGCACATCCAGCCAAAGAGAGTACCCACTAAACGATTACACAGATCACAACCTGTTATCAGCAAATTCACATTAGATGTCAAAGTTAATCAACTTCTAGTATAAACCCATCAAGACGAAAACTTTTAATAAGCTCAAGCAATTCGAATTCCAAGATCTAATTTTTAAGTGCGCGGATTACGATTGACCGGAAAAGTGATCGGAGAAAGAATCACCTGAGAGAGAATAGAAGAAAGAAGATATGTGTGATCAGCGAAGAAATCCGTAGACAACCCAGAGGAGGAGGATTCGGTACGCTAACGTAGCCGTCGCCGATGAGTCTCTAATGGATTGAATCTAGGCCAATGATTTTCCGGCGATATCTTTCGTCTCCGCATCACTAACGACGAAGCGTACACGGTTCACCAATTTCGCTGTCTCTCTGTTTTGGGAATCTATAAGAAGAAGAATCACACGAGGTTTCTAACCGTTGCGGCGGTGAAAGGAGCAAAAAGAAGAAAGTCAAAAGAGAGAGACTTCAAATTGACAAATTTTGTTTCAGAATTTTTGATTCTATAGAGAGGCGAAGAAGATGGATTGGTCAAGAGTTTGCAAATTTTGGCAATTTATTGATGATTTTATTTATATTATATCTCCAATGGTAGACACCCATAGAGTGTCTCACCAATATAATATTAATATTTTTATGTTTAATTTATTTAGAGAAACTCACACTGATATTCTACTTCCATTGGTGAGATATCTCTATGGATGTCTCATCAATATAATATTTATATTTTTATATTAAATTTATTTTTTCAATAATATTTTTAAACATATCAAATTATATCTTAAATAAATATAGTCATTCAAACAAAATAATTATATTTTCTATAGAAGTAAATAATATAATAAATATTAATAATTTTAAAAACATTAATTAATAGTACTATTCATTATAAATTATATATTAAAGAGACTATTATTTTTAAAACCACAATTAAACATAAATTGAATTTTAAACAACATATAAAACCATAATAAAGATATATAAATTAAACACAAAATTACATATAAAACCATGATAACATGAATTAAAATATCAAAATATTGACAAAAATATCAAAATAACATAAGATAACACATTATTTATCAAAATATTGACAAAATATCAGATTATTCATCTCAGATTTATTTTCTAATATTATAGTATTTTATTAACTAAAAATATTAATTTATATTTATATTAACCTTAACTAATATCAATTAAAAATAATAATAATAAAAATTTAAACTTTTGTATAATGGAGCTTGATATATAGATAATTTTATATTATGAATTGTAGAAAAATAAAAAATAAAAAAATAAAAACTTATAAACTATTTAATTGATATTATAAATCTTAGAGTAATTGAATTTAAAAAGAAATTGCTAAACCAATCTAGGAGTGACATGTGTATGAGAGAGAGAGTTTCTCACAATGTCTCAAATGAGAAACGTGTCTCAAAATGTCTCACCATTTTTGATTAAAAAATTATTTTTTATTTATTTTTGATTTTTTTTTTTTATGGATGTCTCATGGAGACACTACCATTGGAAGTGCTCTAAGTAATACTCCAATTTTTACGGAAAGATTACAATTCCGAAATTTTGTGCTTTGTGTTTATTAGTATTGGTTTCCATATATATATATATCGTACTTTTCTTGCTCAAATGTCGAGATTTATTCATGATGAATCGTATATAGTGAACTCCGTCGTAATTGGTACTATAATCTCACAATCCAAAAGGTTAAGGATGACCATCATAAAAACATCTATTTTAATTTTAAAGGATTTCATAAAATTTATTTAGTAGTTTTAGTGAGTTAGTTATATAACAAAACAATTTAGAATCGGACAATGTTAAGCCTAAAGTTATTTATTTTGAAGCCTAGAGGTCTATATATAAATATTTGACCAATAAATTAAAGGTCTATGAATATAACAAAGAATGTCAACTTATTAACCAATGAAAAAAAAATGTGACTGATTATTGGGAGTGCCTCGAGAAAATAAAATCCTTAATTTTAAAATAGTGTTAACGACAAAAAGGTAAGTGGAAAAAAAATAAGAAAGAAGGAAAGATGAGCGGCACGTTAACGTGAAAGCCAGCTTTCGATTGTTCCCTTCACAGCTGGCCAATTTTAAATCCTTCTTAGTTCTTGAAAATCTAAAAACTATACTCCCTCCGTTTCGTTTTAGTTGTCGTTTAAGGTTTTCGCACACAAATTAAGAAAATCATTAAATTTTTTGTTTTACCCTTTATTAATATATTTTATAATTTTTTTATTGGTCAAAACATTAAAACATTAATGACAAAACATAAATTTTCACCAAACATTTGCATTGAAAACCTAAAACGACAACTATTATGAAACAAAATTTTAATCCTAAAACGACAACTAAATTGAAACGGAGGGAGTAATTGTTTTCTAACTTGTTGGTACAAATCCGGTTTTCGGTTTAATACCCCATTTACTGGACAAAATCATCCGCTGTTAATCATCATTCTTTCTCTTTTGAAGTCATCAAGTTAGATACTCTGGGAAATAACATCGAAAACATTGTTCATGTGATTGTTTGTCACTTAGACTTTAGTTGAATATTCCATGGGTTGGCTTTCTTAGTCGAACTAATCTATCCTTACAATTAGTGGAAAAACGTATCGTTGGCTGGTGCATTGTAAGTTTAAGAGATTAATGTCGAATCATTAGTCGAATCTCGAAAAAGGTTAATCACTCTACATAAGATTAATCCTTCTGATCATTTCAGTAACTACTAGTTAACACCTTTTTTTTTTTTTTTGGGGTCAAAGATACTAGTTAACACTTAAGAGCCGAAGATTGGCTTTCCAATTAGTCGGACTTAAAAGCCCATTAAAGTTTACATGTGAAATAGTCTTACCCATTACGCGGTAAGGGTTTAGACTTAACAGATTTAACTAACCAACTTTCCAAATCATCAAATTGAAAGAAAAAAAAGAGAGTGGCGATTTACGGCGACCGACCGGCGGCGAAATACGCCAATGGCCCGACGAATGCAGCGTTGATGTAAGTAGCTGGCTCAGATCGGGTGTAATCATCTCTCTGATCTGGATACTCATCGTTTTGATTCGGTCCTCCGACGATTGCTCCGGTTAATATGTTAGGGTTAGGGTTTTGTGTTCGGAAAGATTGGAATCCGCCGTTGCAGCCCAGAGAATTTGAACGGACGGCTCTGCTCGGGAGTGAGGATCCTCTATGGTGGATTCTCTTGGGGAAATTGGAGCTGAATCCAACCATGTACGACATCTTCAGTGGGTTCACACCGAGGATGTAATCGACTTGTCGCTTCGATAGATTTATCAGTGCATTGGGGACGATGAGTGAGTTTCCGCAGTTGAAGGTGTGTTTCGTGGATTTCATGTATTTGGCGTAGGTTGTGAGCAAAAATGTTATCGATGTCACGTATTGTAGATTGCTCTGAGGTAATTTGTACATCATTCCACCTGAAAGTTTTAGTTTTTAGCATTGATTCGACGTTAGTAGTAATTGAAGTGCTTTTAGAGAGAATTGTGTGTTAAGTTTACCTTTGGTGTACTTTGTAGAGGAAGAGGGAGAATTTGGAAGGATCTTGCACATGAAATTCTCAGCTGCTTGCTTGTAGGGCTCAAAGTTGTTGTCTTTGTTCAGTACTGCTCTCTGCGAGAGATATAGTTTGTGAATCCTTGAACTAATTAGGAAATGCTTAAGTTGTGTATATGGATTTTTAAGGATTCGGGCGTACTCGTGAGAGAAGAACATAGGCACCAGCGTATTTATTGTCCCAACTAAAGATGTCAGGCTGATCTCCTCCTCCTAAGGATTTTATGAAGTTTGTGTAATACGGATCGTTGGTTGCTCTATGCAGCCATGCCGCTCCCCACACCAGCTCGTCCTGTTACCATAAAATTGGGAAGAGTAGTTTAGTTGCAATGATTCATGGATATGTCTCTCTCAGATTAGGATCATGGTAAACATATGAATGCAGACCTTGTAGCCAGAGTAGGAGCAGTAAAAAGGACAGACGGAAGAGGAAAGGGAGTCACTATAAGCGCCTCGGTATTGAATTGCAAACTGCATGACCTTCTTCGCTGTCGCCAGGAGCAAGCGAGCGTACTTGGGATCAACTTTCCTGAAAACCATGGAGCTTGCAGCTAGAGCAGCAGCGGTTTCAGCGGCTACATCAGAGCCAGGGTTTGAGGGAGATACAGAGTAGACTGTGCGAGGAGTGTCCATATCTTCTGGTCGTTCCCAGCACTTGTGATCACCATTAGGGTCTCCTACTCCAACATAAAGCTTCCCGGGTGTGGCCCTGGCACATTTCAGTAGATAGTCCGTGGCCCAACGGATGGCCGCACGGGAGTTCTGGAGTTCTGTTCCCATCTTCTTACCGTACTCCAAAGAGCTCCAGGAGAGCATCGTGGTGGTGAACGCCATAGGGAAATTGAACTTCACATTGTCCCCAGCATCATAGTAGCCTCCTGTCAAGTCCACCTGTAACTCATAGTTAACCATGTTATCCAGATTGATGTTTACGCTTCTACTGCTACTGGCAATGTGTATATAGTTTTAGGGTCTTACATGAGCAGAGGAGCCATCAGAGAGGCCAGAGCTAGACCTCCATGAGAGTTTTTGGTCAACGGGGAGGCGACCAGACCGCTGACCTTGGAAAAAGAGTAATGACTTTGAGAGTGCTTCTCTGTAATTGGGACTGGCATAGGTATTCTCCAGTGAAAGTGCAGAGAGAAGGAACACAAAGAAGAGAGGAGAAGCCATTCTTGTAATTGTGTTGGCTTGAGGGTACGGCTCTATCACAGACGTATATATATAGCCAGAGAATGAGACCGGGGCTGATGAGATTCAGAGCGAAGATTATGGCTTTTTGAAAGTCAGCTTAACTGCTAAAAAACGGTTCTTAGTTACTTCAATTTGAATCCCCTTTTCTATTTTTTTACTGACAAGTGGATAACGTGTACTATTATCTCTCATCTTCTTAATATGTTCAATTTTTAACTAATAGTTCGATTACCGCATAGGTTTGTCTATGCGTTTCACCCACATATTGGTAATTTTCTTGCTAGTTTTGATGTTTGATTCTGATCTTTTATCATAGTAAATTGTAATGGGTATTTTAGATATTCGCATTACGTAATATGTACGGTTAGGGATTGATAAACAATGTAAATCTTGATATTAGGGTGGTTAGTTAGGTAATTAGGTTAGGGTTTTGGGGATTTTGATTTAGAAAAAAGAGACAAAAGAAAGGGTGGAACGTAAATGGCGCCAAGATAACGGCGCCGGGTCTATGGTACTTCAATTTAAAAAGGTTTCTCAAGTCAAGTGTAATTAACACGTAAATGATGCCTTAATTGTTGTCTTATTAGTCTTTACATTATTTACATGAAATGAAAACATCGAACTCACTTTCTTTTTTTGTTAGATATATTTTCTTCTAATTAAATAAAACAAGGGAAAATTAGAAATAAAGGATGTTTTACTTCTCATTTGTCCATCTATAACTTATCTAGATAAGTTTGGTGAAATAGGTTTTATAATAATCAAAATCCTATTATGCCCTTAATTATAAAATTAAGAAAATAAATCCTAGTATTTTTGGCTATAGTTGTCGAAGGTTTTGGTTATAGCTAAATCACGTAAGCCTCTTTTCTTAAATGGATCATTTCCATTTCGTCGTAGTAACTTTTTTTTTTTTGGTGTGGAAAATTTTCAAATTGTTAACAAAATATGATTTTCTATTTAGTAATGCTCGTGACATATGTATTCATTCTATAAATTAGTCAAGACAATTAACAATGATGCTAAAAGCACTATTATCTTACCATTTTAAATCTAATTGAGTTGTTTCTAGTTGAATGTGGCTCGTCACATTGCTTATTTTAAGGGGTTAATGTCAATGTTCAAGAAAATGTTTATGTGAAGAGAGTCAACGCTAAGATTAGTGAATCAATAACTAAATACATCAACCATATTCAGTTCTATATTATAGTCTTTTGACACCATCATTTTCAATTTTTCAAGAGTTGTAATAGATTACAAAGCGAGACGTTCTAAGAACTTTTTTTGTTTTTTTTTTTTGCGATTTTAGCTTTATTTTATTCTCAAAACTTAGACTATGTTTTCTAAACTCCTAAAATCGTAATCTAAACTGACAATATACTATTTAAAACGTAATATTTAATAGATAGTCAATTTCTTTTTTGAAAGATTTACTTTCTATATTTAGGAATTCTAAAAATTTCAGAAATTGAAATCTATATTATTTTAGAAAATAGATTCTAAAATAATAATACATATTCTAACGTTTTCAGAACATGTAGTAAATCGTAGAATGGATTTTCTGAATAAAATTAGAACTGAAGAAAAGCGTAGAATACATGTTCTACGGATTTTTGGAAATTGTATTCCGGTCTTCTGAATCTGTTAGAACAGGTATCTAATCTAAATGTCGTAGAACATGCACAAAAGTTTAGAATACAAACTCTGATTTTCGTAGAACATGTACAAAAGTTTAGAATATAAACTCTGATATTCGTAGAACACTAGAAAACGTATTCTAATAATTTTAGATGAAATTTTATCCATCAAAAAATCAACTTTTTTTCAACTAAATCATCAAATTTTTTTTACAATTCATCTATAATCTTTTATATCTACATGTTTTTTTGGTAAAATCATTCAAAAAATGCTTAAAATAGAGAGTAGGGGTATTTTAGTCCAAAGTGACATTCTCAGAAAAAAAAGTGTATATGGTCAAACTTTTTTTTAGAGCTCCTTTATTTCTAATTTTCCCAAAAAACAATGGTGAAGGCATGAAAAAAACTTGAGGTTTGCATAAAAGACGGCTTTAAAAAGTCTCCTAACTGAGATTTAAAGTTAAGCAAACAAAACACCTTTCTCTCGTTCCACAACGAATCCCTACATAATATTTCTTGATTCTTGTAGCCAAATCTCGATATGGGAGATTCACGTGTAACATAATGATCCAATAGGAAACCATATTCATCATGTTGAAGGGTTTCTTCTCGGAGAGATTGGGTAGTCCGGATCGGTGAAGAGTAGGGTTAGTCCCGAGTGTGACAGGTTGCTAGGCCGGGATCTGTCACCGTCGATCCGGTTCGTCGGAGTGGCTAGCTCGCTGGGAGATCTGTAGCTACGATGGTCCATCGGAGGGGAGAGATTGATGGCGGAAACCGGTTTCTTTCGCCGTCGATCTTCGATCCGTCGATGGTGCCAAGCAGCCGTGGATCTTGGAACCGCCGGCGCTAGGGTTAGGTCATTCTGCGACCAAGTATCAACAAGGACAGAGCTCTTTTTTCTGTTCCGATTAACTGACTATTTCTCTTTTTTGTATCTGGGCTTCTCTGTGTGTAAGGCTTCGGCCCAGCCCATTTGGGTTTTTAAATGAATATTATAAATAAATAAAAAAAAAAAAAAAAAAAAAAAAAAAACAAAAAAAAAAAAAAAAAAAAAAAAAAAAAAAAAAAAAATGTTGATCCCTTTTCCACCCGTATCGGGTAAAAAGTAAAATAAACATTTCAGACAAAAGAAAATCATTATTAGCTTATTCTTCAGAGGCGAAAACACTAGGGACAAACTCGAGGATAAAAAAAGGGTACAAGAATTGAATTGAGATACATAAGAAGATCACAATAATTTAATCTCTTGCAAAATATGTTATACATAAGTCATAACTATAAATCATCAATTTAGAAGGGGATTATTATGTACAACGATTGATCCATGATTTTTTTCTGGAACATATTCCAAATTGAAAGAGAGATACTATGTTCCTGAAAACACGATAAAGATCTCCTATGTATCCATTGCACTGCACAGAGGCTCTATGATAAAACACTAACGGAATCAGAGTGACTAATTAAGAAAACAATGAGCAAAACGATTTACAGAGTTTAGAGAAAGAACCTGTAACTGTGATGTATATAAATTATATAATGGAACCCAATGTCTCGACCAAAACTCTAATCACAAAAGATCTAACAGCGATGGCTGCTCGGTTTGTTGCTCCTTTGAACCACTTGGCTTTGAGGTAGAAGTCCCACTTCTACCCCTTCCCCTTCCTCTTCCCACAGCTATTGAAGGCGGCGGTGCGAGTTTCATCGCAGATTGCCCGGTTCTGCTTGAACTGAATATAGAACTGATGTCTGCTGGCGGCTTCTGGTTACTGTATGAACTGCTTCCAAAAGACGGCATTCCTTGGTTCTGATTCTGAATCCCGAAAGAGTTCATAGGATGTGGGTTACTTGCGCTGATACCCGGAGTCTCTTGCTGTGATTTCATAGAAGAGAGGGAGGCATTTCCAAAGGCCCAGAAGTCGTTGTTAGCTGTCTGAAACTGCCTACCGACTGTTAAATTGTTACTCAAACCAGAACCACTGTTGTTAAGAGGAGGTTGAGTGGTAGTATTGTTGTGGAAACCGCCAGAGGCAGTGGAAGCACCGTTGGGCAGTGGTGGCCAGTTAGCAAAAGGGTCTAGTTCATCAAAAGTTGGAGTTGATGATGTTCCTGCTTCGTTTATCCGTGTCTCATTATTAGCTGGCTGAGCCGTGGCATTGGAAGATTGTCTTGGAGGCCACTCTAGGTCAACTGCAGGGCATGTTGTTGGTACTGATGCCAGGTTCGATGACTGTGACTGAACTGTAAAATTGTTAAACTGAGAGTTTGCAGGTCCAGGATCTCTTGGAGCAGAAATTTGGGTCGGGAGGGCCCAATCTTCATCCCATGCAGGACTATTCTTTGCTGCAGAAGCAACCTTGTCAGTTTTTTGGGTTGGTGTTTGAAACTGAAGCCCATCCGCAACAGAGCCTGGTTTTACTTCTGGGACTCCAGAATCATTTACTGTAACTCCTCTTTTTTCCTCTATTTTCCTGTTCCGTGACCAGAGGATAGGCAAACCAGATGTTGAAAACAATAACAACAGTATGCAGTTGTAAGGGGAATAAGAACTTGGAAACAGGGGCGGGATTGCTCGAAGGCATACCTGAGAATATCCTTGACAAATAGAATATATTTGGCAAACTGTTGGACATTCAATTGTTGGGCAGTGAGAAGCGGTATAATCAGGGGAAGCACATGTTCTGAAGTGAATTCAACTCCATACTAGAAAGAAATGACGGAGAAGACATTATGAAAATTAAGATCTTCAAAAGTCTAATATCATTGAGAAAAGTAAACTGCTTTTACCTACCTGCTTGAGAATTGCGTTTGCGATTGCAAGAGTACACATAAGGGTTGGTGCAGAACGATCAACAGCAGTACAGCGTTGAATTGTTTGCAGAATTTCAGTAACAGCGAGTTTATCAAGTGTTTGAACCAGCTCTGCTAAGCAAAGCAAAGCATTTACTCTGACCTGCACCACAAGTACGTTCTACTCAAAATTTTGTTTAGAGATCGAGCTCTTCATTCTATCTATCTATTTTTCAAAAGACATCAATATTGAATCAATTAAGGCTAACATACGGCAGCAACTGTGGTTTTGAGAGCCAAGCCATGAACACGAGGCAAAATTGCTTGCCTTACAACCTGCAATGACAAGTTGGAAAAAATAAGAACTTAACAGACTAACCCATTCAACAACTGGTATAACTTTGCAGAACCAAAATTAAAAAGCATGTGACACTAAACTTGCGTAAGCCACCCATCAATCCTGAAGCTTTTATATTGTCAATTATTACAAAAGAATGTATCAAGCATTACCTGACCATCGAGTTGTTTGGCAACAGATGTAGATCTCTTCAGAACTTCCTCCTGTATCCGGACATCGTTATCATTGTAGGCTCGGAGAAGCAAAGGGAGGACATGTGATACAAGATGCTCTGCATTAGTCTACAAATTTAAACAAAAACACAATATTAAAAGATCTGAGGGCCGAGGGCGAAAGATAATAAATGAATAAGGGAAAGTGATACCATTTTAAGCATATTTAGAATTGGGGCAAAGAAGCAATTAGCAGTTAGGAATAGAAGTCAAGAGAGATATATGAGTCAGCTTTAAGAAAATGAAGGTCTTGTATTGTATTGGTTTACGGGAGCATAAGAATTAATGTGTGGGACCGCCATTTATTTAAAAATTATAAGTAATGGCACCAAAAATGTCGTAAGTAACAATACTATACGTCTATACCCCAGGCCATTGAGTCAAATCAGTAAAATTTAGCAATAGTTAGCAGACACTAAATACGCAGGGTTCAAAAACATGGTTCCAGTTATGCATACATATTGGTTAGAGATTTACCTTGTTAATAATAAGCTCTGCACGCTTTATAAGCAACAGTAATGTATCACCCGTAGCAGTACTCAGAACAGGAACAAGGGCTGGGAGCGTTGTCAACTCAAAGTCATTCTTATCCTGCAAATCGTAATTTAAGGTTTCAAGCATCATTAAAGCATGAGTAAAGATCCAAAGGAAATCCTTGTCAAAGATCAATGCAAGTTCCAAGTTTTTAACAAAGGACAGGTTGATAACGCCGGTATTTATTTGTGCAGTCACCATTAGTACAACTGAAAAGAGCAGGTCTAAGTATATGTGCATGTGAAAGATCATAGATCACAGGTAATAAGGAAAACAAATTTTTATCTAGAATCGCTGGTATCTGTAAACCTCAAACAGAATACGAGGAAGAAACACATGGATCTGATTGACCAAATGTAAATGCTCAAGATTAGAAAATGCACCTGAGACTCTGCTATAGTTAGAACCATGGGAAGAATCATTGGTTGCATAACCAAATTCCTAAGTTCAGCACAAAGAGGAGGAAGCACCTGTTTGACAAAACCTGATTTCATTAGTTGTTACTAGGCAAATCACTTGAGCAACTTATTTGTTTTCTGTTAAGTAACAGAATACAAGAAATAATCCAGGAAGTGACTACCTTATACCGTAATACACGAGAATCAAAATCTTTCCACATATCTGATAATGCTTTTAAGAACTCAGACTTCTGCATGTTGTCTCTTTCCTGCAATAAATAAATAAAATGCCCCAAAGGTTTATATGTTTCCAACTATCTAAATGATGTCTGTCTGAAACAATGATTAAAATTTAAAAGTGTAAGTACATACAAGCATATGATCAAGGAAACGGAGAGCACGCAACCTAGTGTCGCTTCGGAAAAAATTAGATCCTGCAGGTGAAAGTACAATTTCAAGATATAAATGCACAAGCAAGGAGGTAAAGTTTGTCACAAGAAACAATAAAACCTCATGAAGTTCAGTTTTCCTACCTGTGAAATCTAATGCTGTTGGTCTATATGACTCGTTCATTGATAGCATCCGTTGTAAATCAGATACCAAGTCCGAGGGTATAGATGAGAAAGTTTCATTTGTTAAATAGTTCAATGTGTTCATGTACTGCAAGAAGTTTGCAAGGTAACCATCATCAGCGATGGAAAAGACAGATATTATACCACTTTCTACAGGATAATATGTAAATACATCTAAACCAGATACTAATGAGCTTGGGTTTTAACAATACCATCTTGACATTGTTATGGCAATCAAACAATGGTTTCCGTGCCACTAAATGATAAGCGAGACATCCGAAACTAAAAATATCTGAAGAAACTCCAGCCGAATGAGTTTTGCTCCGCACCAATTCAGGTGCAGTATAATTTAAAGATGGTTGGAGAGGCAGGATTGAGTCCTCAACATCATATTCCTGCATAATAAATCCATCCATATCATGCATAGGATATTCATATAGCTACCAGAGTTGAATCAAAAAGTTGTATGCCAATCTAGTAATCGATCATGAGTTTAAGTACCCACAGAGTAGTGGAATGATTGCAAGTTATCCAAATTCCCATTCTGTGCTTCTGAAATAGCAAAGCCAAATCCGGCAAGCTTCCAAGAACCAGCCGAAGTAATATAAACATTCTGCAAATGAAGTTATACATCCACAGATTTATAAACCAAAATAGCTTCAATGAATAAGTATTTAGTATAAATTTCGGTAAGCAACCTCTGGAGAAACAGCACAATGAATAAGATGGGCGTTATTATGAAGAAAGTTCAATGTCTCAGCAATTTGGAGAAGACCATGCTTCACCTCCAACAAGCTCATCTCCTACAACAACAATTACAAGAAACAGTAAACTATCTTCCATTTTCTCACTCAATTGCTCAAATTCGAAGTTCAATCACATGAATTAACGCACCATAGCCTTAAGATCTTTCGGAACGTTAACCACATTTTCCACATTCCCAAGCGCGTTAGCCACAGATGCGAAGAGTGGCTCTGTAACCATAGCCATAGCATTCTTATTCTCATCAAGCGCCTGAACCACATGAACCACACCGGGATGTCTCAACCGCACAAGCTTTCCCGCATCAGCACGAATCAAATCGAGAAACGCATCTTCAGCAGCTTTAGATAATCCCGCCCTAGCACGAGCCTCAGATAAAGCGCGCTTATCAAGCACCCAGACGCAGACGGTTGGATACTGCTGAGGTCGCGTGGAGTCACGTGCCTTGGCTGAGTAAAGCTTCCAGGCGAGACCAGGACCACCGGAACCGATCTGATCGAGAAGCTCGTAGTCTTGAAGAGGTTTGGGACCTGTAACCTCCTGGACTGTGGTTTGAACCGTCTTCTCAATCACCGCAGCCGTTTTGGCCAGTGCTTGCGTTAGCGTTCTCATATTAATCGACATTTTTTTGCCAGAATTTAACTGTTGCTTTAACCGGTGATCGGAGAGGAACGATTCGACGAATAAAGCGAAACGAAAACTGTGTCCCGAAGAAGGAAGATGAAAGTAGAAACCTGAATCGAAGAATCGTCGTCTTCCCAATGACCTTCTCTCTCAGCGACTTGTCTGTTTGATTTTTCTTCTCTGTTTTTCTTTTTTTTTTTTTAAATTCATTTTTACTCAGTTTCTGGTTTTTATTATTTATAGTTTTAATTTATTAGCCAAGCAAGTCCTTCGTCTTGAGAAGAAAGTATACAGTACATACATAAGCTAAAGCGAGACTATAACATTTGCCCATTTTCAACTGTCGCAAAGGCAAAAATGCCTACAGAACTACTCGATGCACTCCATTTACAGTAGTAACATGAAGAACTTTTGAAATATTGCCTAGAGACAAGCTTGATGAAGCTACGGCAATCGAACGCAAATCCTTATGTTCCTCATTTTTTGTAGCAAGGAGAACTACGTGAGCTGCTGCTGTACTCTGTACTATACCAACTCTGTGTTTGTGAGGGTTAGAGGTCAAGTGAAAAAGCCAATTGTTGCGGAACAAGAGGGGAATCTTCTGCTACCGGTTCACTAACCAACCGGGTTTTATCAGAACATCTCGCTTGAAGTCACGGCCTGTTACTGACTTTGATTCACCCAGGCGTCGGTAACACTGGGAAGAAGAAAGAACAACAACCCTCAGAGAAAAGAAACGTGCAAGAAAATACTTAATCCCTAATGAGTTTGGATATAGGAAGCAACAGAATTATATCGTAAGCAGGGGACTAACCTTGTAACATACAATGGTATCGTCGGGGTACATAGCAAATAGCTTAGTTCCCAGACGGGCATAGCAGGAATCACAGAGGCTCTCATCATTTATTTGCATGTGCCGTGATCTTTCTTCTAATCTTGCTAACCTCGAGTCAACATCCAATGCACGAGAGATATTGTGTACGATCTGTAACAATTGACTTAATAGCAGTCAGACACTAAAGCTATACCCACACCACATACAAATTGAAGGAACTTATCACAGGGTAACAACTTCTGATAAGTTTATCGATGTTACTTTCAATAATTATCTCTTCTTAGCATTTGACTGTTGATATTACTGTTACCCATGGCACATTTGACAATAGACAGATTTGTAGGGATTGTGAATTTTTACTTGGCCTTGGCGATGATGATGAACCCGAGCCCTCAGCATTCTCAAAATTGTATCTGATGCCAGTTTTAAGGGCATATCAGGAGACAATTTCTGCAAATAAAGCATGATATCAGCTCTATCATCAAACAATTACCAAATGAAAACGCTGTAGGATAAGGAGGCAATATCAGTGTCTTTTTCACATATGGAGGACAGTGGGATTTCTTACTTCCAAAACTTGCAAAGGATCAAGGGATTCCCCGTGGTTGTGGAGAAGACGAACAGCAGCCTTGAACATAGGTTCTTTACCATTTTGAGGATCCAGGTACATATCAAGTAACCTAAGATAAACTTTCTGTTTTAAGGGATTTCACAAGGAAAATAGATAGTACGATGGCATTCACAAAATGAGGTGAAATGAAGGAAAAGAACCTACTGCATAAATGCATCTGGTCTTCCAATCTCTACACAATATTGCTCTGCAGCTGCACAATCCTCAAGCTTCCTGGCGCCCACCACAGAAGATCTTATCAGTAACCACACATTCAAATTCACAATAAACTATATTTGCTCACTTCCTAAGGTCTCAAAATCTTTGGTTTCCAGAACAAGCAGAGAGACGGTTCAATTTCATTCTTTATCACTTCTTGGACTATTAAAGTGAACTTACAGAGCAAGAATTTGGAGAACCAATGTCTCCTGCCCTATCCTTCGGTATAGGATTGCCTATAAAAAAAAAAAGACATGTCAAATGGGTAAAACACACATAATTTTGACAGTTTAAAAATTCATTGAATATACACCGGTGCACCAACATAATCATGAAGCACACATCTAAATGACACTTTTGAGAACCATCCAAAACCGAAGGAAACAAATTTGACAGACAAACCTTTTCCAACCACAGTTCTGATCCTTCTATCAATTCCAAGATTTCTTCAGGATCATATAGATCTGAAGACTGCAAAAAGGTCTGCAATCTTTCTCGTACATCACTTTCAAACAAAGAAACACTTCCAACATTACAATCATGTGCCTCTCTGCCTCCAGCATCAGCTTCTTGGATACCATTTTGAACTTCAACACACTCAAGTGCTGATCTGGCAAGTGAGAGAGCGTACGATGTATGCAGCTGCGGGTCAGTGTAGTCTCTTTCCTCAATCAACCATTGGAAGTACCTGGCCAGTATATATAAAGTCAGCAAGAAACAAGTTTTAGAACTTCCCCAACTTCGCTACAACAAACTCTGGTGGACCTTCCTCTTACAAATTACTAACTAGTAGCTTTCACTAAAACTCAACTGGGTGAAATTTTTTTATGCGCTAAGTAGCTATACCTCTGTATGATTTCAACCTTTTTGGGATCAATAGCTTGGATCACTTGCTCTGCAAAAATATTAAGAAACACAGACCTCAGATCAATCAAAACTCTTGAGTATTTATGCCACCATTATACATACAATGTCATATGTCAAGCCACTCAATAACCCAAAGCCAGAGAAAAAATATTGAACTCTGTAAGTTTTTTACAGCAATAATGGAACAGATGCCTATTCTAACCATAATCTAAACCATATTGATGAACAGCACACTAGAGACATGAGAATATATGCACGGACAAACTTATGTTATCCTGAACCTAAAGCAGCCTTAGACTTCTTGCATTAAATTAGTCATCTCAGACTTCAGCTAATCCATTATTTATCAATACGAGTCCAGAATAGATCACAATTCAAAACCTAAGAAACAGTTGGCAACATGTTTCTAAAAGGAACGAATAGAGATCAACATCTGACTCACAATCAAACACAAATGTCCTGTTAACCCTGATTCCCACCTGGCGAAAGCTCTTCTGTCCTTTTATCTGACGTCAAGACTTGGATAGCAAACAATGGGTTTATCTCTGAAATCTAAACCACAATAATCAATTATACTCATGCAAATCTTTATTCTACAACGTCACAACAACTTGGAGTTATATCATACATATGTCATACCCAACTAAGATGCTGCAATGCCAGTTCTGGATCACAGGGTTCCTCAAGAATTCTGGCTGCTTCTGCGGCAGCAGCCTCTTTACCAGATAACCTAATGAGCTCGTTCTCGTGTAAATAGGGCACCAAATCATCTGAGTCTTGCCATAGACCAGATGAATAATTCTTCGTAAAGAGACGCCAAATAGCAAGAGCTTTTGCACTCATCCCCTTACTTGCATAGAGGAATGCAAGTGTCCGTAAGTGTCCAGATTCAGTTAGAAGAGTCTCCAACTCCTCCTGCATCGCGCCACAAGTTGTAAAGTCCTGCCTCAAGCAACATTCTGACAGCAAGCTCTTTGTTTTTCTATAATTCTATGCATTGAATTTCTAAGGATCCTAAAATTTGTAATTTCCGCATCGTACATTCACATGAATCCTAGAGTACTACAGTTAATATTTTTCCCGATTAACAGAGCTTTGGTGTTAGTTTAGAGACATTTCTCGGGGGAAAGTCAGCATCCTAAGATGAATGTCATTTGATCTACTGCTTTCAAATATAGTAATTTACTAAACTGAGACTCAGCTAAACAACTGCAAAACTGGTACTGTGGTACAAGTACAATGCATCAAAAAACGCACCTAGTCTACTAGTCACCGAAAACTTATTTTCTTCTCCTTTTTAACCCAATCTCTAGCTGTCTTACTTAAATAGTTATGTCAAAGAATAGATTTACTAAATCCGAATAACAGGTTTCTTACGTCTTTCAGTTATTAGTTTGTGGTGCCACCTATCGAGCTGATGCTATGAAAATATGTACATGCGTAAATTATATTCACTGAAAGCACATACCACAACACAGTTATTATCGGAAGATGCAAGATTCTCCATATCTTCAATACGGTTTAATGCTCTGTAAAGAAGCATTAGAAGCGTGTCTATTCCCTCCCTCACTGGGTGAATTAAGTCCTTCTCACGTGATATCTCAAGGTACCTTTCGCAACAGGTAACATTACCTCAGTATATGCCAATTCAGACCTCAGAGGAACAGGATATACTACAAAAGCTGTAGAGGAAAACAACATACATAAAAAGAGTAACTGTATCACCTGGTAATGTTTTTAATTGCTGAATCCAATAAATCAGCTCTACTAGGGGGATTTGAGAAAAACTCTTCGTCAACCGGAGTGTCCATTCCTGCTTTTCTTAGAAAATTGGCTCTCTGGATGGCCATCAGCCCATTATCTACAACATCTTCGAAAGGAGCAGGGGGAGGATGCAGTCCCCAGTATCTGTTTCTTGGAACCTGAAAGCAAGCAAAAATCTTAGTCAAGCAGAGTGCAGCTGGACAAGGCTTGAGACATCATAAATTTCAGGTTCCCTAAAAGTAAGGCAAAGCCTTTAGTAAGGAAAATAATGAACTGTGCTTGATTAAGCAGTCAACTTTTAGAAACAAATTAGAGTACATTATTAAAAACCAGCTGCCAGGGAAAAAATTATACCACCAAAGACCAGCGATTAGGATCCCGCATGATAAAAGGAAAAACTTCAGAAGGTTCCATTTTTTCTGACTTCAAAAATTGATTCACAGCTTCCTCAAAGCGCAAATCAAAAAGCAGTAGATACCCTATTTGAGCATGAAGAAACGAAAGCATGTCTTTCGAAATCTCCCCCTGTGAGTCAAGTTCCTCCACCAAGGAGATGGCTTCTCTGTATCTCTTTTTCCTCAAGAGGTCTTTAATCTGTTCTTCGTAAGGCACTCGCCGATAAAAAATAAGCTGAAAATCACAATGAAAGAGTCGACAGAAAATTCATGACTGTTCTATCAACAAGATATACTCGAAAGAAATGAAGATAGCCATTATCAGAATAAACACCTTTGACAAAGTAGTGACAGCCAAAAGGTTTCCGTCTCCTGCCTCATCTGCGGCCAAAAGTGAAGGCCCACATCCTTGAGGACCAAAACTAACTGATTGAACACAAGCACCAGACTTCTTCTGATGTATTTCCATTTTCCCATCTCCGACAGTCACCAAATAGAAAGACAATTCTCCAACAGAATCAGGCCTCCTACGAAACACAAGGCTCCCTCCAATAGGCTGACCATTTGTGTCCACAACAACTCCAACATTATCCACCAACAACAACACTTTCCACTCTTTACAAAGCAATTTCAGCAGCGGGGGACCAGACACATCAGGCAATGTAAAAATCACCCCACTTAGACCAGTAACACACGAGATCAAACTATAACCTTTAACAGTTCCCGCAATAACATAATCATCAAGCCAAACCAAAGTCTTGATCCCACCAATTCCCAGAATCTCTTTCAAAACAACAAAAGAACCACTTAACCCTTCTTTTTCATCACATTGAAGTTCAATCAACAACATTCTCTCACCAATAGCAACAGCGAAAACATAATGACCTTGATGGACTCTCTCATGTCGAAAGTCCTTACCTTTAACATCATTCACCAGATTCCCAGCACCAAGCAACTGAAGAAACTTCTTACTCGAGCTAGAATCCGTCGAAATCTCAGAAGGCAACAAGTCAGTACTCGACGAGTCACGTCCTCTCACTCTCCTAGCAATCACATTGATTCCTTTCAATAAACCACCCAATCTCTTAGCTGGTTGAGAAAGAAGCGAATCCACCAAGAACAAGTAGCCATTGCAGAGTGCTAGAACTTTCCCTCTTTCCTCTCCAAGCACAAAGATAGACTCAACAGGAGAAGCACTCAGCGACACACTCCCGAGACGCGAGACGATATTAGTTAAAGTGTCGAGAGAGAGGAGAATCAGAGATCCGGAGGAGGTTCCGAGGTATACTAGGGTTTGGGAATCGGAGATAGGTGAGAGAGATAAAGCTCGGATCTTATCGTCGCCGCCGAGATCGAATCGAGCAGTGAGCTCCACAACTGCCCGAGATTTGGACATGACCTGAACCAAGTATACGATGTAAAATGGTAGTGGCCAGATTAAAGTAGAAGAGAGAGACGGCGAATTGAAAAACTCCGGCGATCAGTGTAGCTTACCGGTAAAGCCAAAGAAGAGTCAGACACGTTCGAGTAATCGAGTTCCCATTTTGACTTGAACATTACAGATTATCAAACAAGAAACGCTGTCGTTTAAAAAATCGTTTTCATAAAGGATGAAACGGCGTCGTCTAGCTATAATAGTTTATAGTTGTGTTTGTTTTTTTTTTAAAGCCAAAAACTAATTTTCAATCAAGTTAAATTCCTAAACAAATCAAAGTTCCTTAAAAATTTATTTCCTGATTTTTTTGTTTTACTTCTGAATTTATATGTTGCATAAAAATTGGATGCGAATATGCGATAGAATTATTTATTTTCGCCTGAAATTGTATTTTTTTTATTTTCTGTAGTGTTTTTTCTGGAAGAAACTAGTAAATTATAATTTCGTGATCCTAAGAACAAAGAGACACGTGGCGCTCTAGATCGCCAGAAGCCCATCCGAAAATACGATACTTCGCTAGAACAAAGCCGCGCCAATCCAAAAGCCCAAACTGAAGAAGAAGAAGAAACTCAGATGGCACTGCTTCAATCCAATCTTCATCATCATCTCCATTAAAGCTGCTTAAAAATGCGCAGCCTCACTACTCTGGGTCTGACTCTCAGATCCTCCTCCTCCTCTTCTCTTCCATTCACCTGCAACTTCCGCTTCTTCTCTCCTCCTTCTTCTTCTAGACTCTACAGGCGATTTCATTTCCTCAAACCATGTTCTTCCCTCAAACAAACCAACAAGAAGAAGCAACAGTCTCTCCCGTCTACCGCCCCGCCTCCTCAGAGTCTCCGGTGGTTCTTCAATCCCAAATCCAGTGATGACGATAACGACGAAGATGATGCTAAGTCTGAGAGCGATGACGATGGCGGATCGGAAGGTGATGCTGCTATTAAGGGTACTATATTAGCCGGAGTTTTGTTGATTGGTACTGTTGGTGGATTCGCCGGCGTTGGATATGTCTATAGGGATCAGATTAATACGTTCCTCACTCAATTCTCCACTTACATCGAAGGTTCGATTTGATACGTTGAATTGTTGATTGATTCTATTACTGTTTGGCTTCTAGTAGTAGTATTTGAACTCAGTGAGAATGGAACTTTAGATATTTGATGATGCATTTAGGATAAGTTTTTGATCAATTTCAGAAGTTGATGGAATTTTGTGTTCTTGATGAATCAAAAACAGGTTATGGTACGGCTGGGTATGCTCTGTTCATTGCCGTTTATGCTGGCCTTGAGGCAAGCTTTTTGAAACTCTTCATGTTTTTTTGTTGTTTTTACTCCGTGTGACTTTTGATATACATTGAGACCTTCAAGTTTTTGGTTTTGTTTTTCCTTTTGTGTTAGATATTAGCCATTCCGGCTCTCCCATTGACAATGTCGGCTGGTCTTCTCTTTGGTCCCCTTGTTGGTACTATCATAGTTTCTATCAGTGGAACAGTAAGTTACTCTTCCCAAGAACACAAAATACTTAAATGTCATCAAGTGACCTTCCCATGTTGGTATATGTTTTTTGGGTTTTCTAATTTTGTTTTTACTCAATGTTAGATGGCTGCTAGTGTTGCTTTCTTAATTGCCAGATACTTTGCCCGAGAGCGAATCCTTAAGTTAGTTGAAGACAACAAGAAGTTCCTCGCCATTGATAAAGCAATTGGTGAAAATGGGTTTAGAGTTGTTACTCTGCTTCGGCTAAGCCCTCTACTTCCTTTTTCTCTTGGCAATTACCTGTACGGGTTGACATCTGTGAAGTTTGTGCCTTATGTATTAGGAAGGTATGTGTTATTGCAACTTTGTTATACTATTTCCCCGCTGTAGAAGCTTGATACTTGAGTTGTGGTTTAGTTAAGTATTCAATTAGTTCCCATTTCTTAATAATGTCTACTTGGAGTTTACTCTGAAGCAATTTCGACCAAGAGTGAATTCAATTTTAGAACAAGATTTCAACTTGGTAAGGTTTAGTCTGAGTTTACATATTCATTCATGGATCATACTGTTTGTGCAGCTGGTTGGGTATGCTTCCAGGCTCTTGGGCTTATGTCAGCGCAGGGGCTTTTGGACGAGCAATCATTGTGAGTTTTGTTGTCTTTTAATTTAATCCATTCATCCCTCCAAAGTGTAGTAGTAGTAGACACTAAGACAAAAGAAAATGGACTGCACAAAACCATGCCTATCTTTCTCGTGTCAAGCCTAAGAGTACCCTAGGATCCACCGAGATTCCCTTTGCTGGATGTACAATAAGTCCATGTTGAACAGCACCCTGTGGTAGAACTACCATTGAAACTAGCTAAGATCAGCAAGCACTGGGATCGCAGCAAAAAGTTTTGTTTTTGACGTAATGAAAAAGGAGATTCATATCGAATGGACAAATTCTCAAAACGAGGAAGACTAGTTATTCCTTATGCAAGTTAACTCGAATTGAAGAAATTTTGTCTGATGGATTAGTGGGGACTTTCATGGGGGACTTTCATGAATTTGTTGAACTGTGGATACATTGTGATTCTATCAAAGCATCATATCATTAGATGGTAATCTTTAATCTATGTTGTTCCAGCAAGAAGAATCTACTGTTGGCTTGCCTGGAGGAAATGGCCAGCTCTTAACGCTCGGGTTAGGTCTGTTGGTTACTGCATTGGCTGCAACATATGTGACAGGCCTTGCGAAGGTAAACTCAAATTTATCAGTAGTTTTGCTTTCTCTTCTCTGGTCTGCGTTATCTGTTATCTTTACCTCCAGTTTTACCAGTAAGCATAGTGCAACTTTTACTAATGTCAGACCAATTGGTTATAAGCATTGTAACACAAAAGTCCTATCATTTGATCCCATGCATAAAAGGAACTAAAAATGGATCTCATTTACTTGTCGGGTGTTGCAGGATGCTATAAAGGATATTGATGATGATAAGTAGAGAGAGATGCAAACTAAGAAAAGCCGGCAAATGGATATGGTTTTTGACTCTCTAGGATTTGATAAAAAAACTTAACAAAGTATCATGTACCAAAGTTAAGGATGACATTAATATTGTTCCATTATTGTTCATAGTTGATATATAATTTTGAATCTTTTTTGTTCCTTATATTTAAGCTGCAATATGTGAGAAAATGCTTCTAGACAGAAAAAGGAAAGTGAGCCTCAGAAAATCAAATGTACTCAAAAGTGAGCCTCAGCACACATTACAGCCAAATTCCCACCAAGAACGTAATTGATGATAACAAAAAAAGTTTTGAGATTTTATTTGTCAAAAGAATATAGCAAAGTAAAAAAGTACCCATCTGAGAGACTCAACAACTCAGAATCCACCATTAGAATCACTTAGGCCCAGTAGATTCCTTCAAGTAGGCAATGAGATCAGCGCGGTCTTGCGGCTTCTTTAGCCCAGGGAACACCATCTTCGTACCTGGTATGTACTGCATCATATCATAAATTGGCCATCAATCTCAATGTTAACAACAACTCATGAAACAATCAGAATGAATCATGACATGATTATACATACCTTCTTGGGGTTGAGCAAGTAATCATACAAGGTCTTCTCTTCCCAGTCGACAGCTTTGTTCTTGTTAGCAGCAGAGTAAGAGTAACCAGCAGTTGTACCAGATTGTCTTCCAAAGAGACCATTTAGATTTGGTCCTATAAAAAAATAACCAAATGTTTTCTCATTTCATGCAATTTCAATGAAACGATGATCTGTGATCAAATTCTGCATCACTACTTAGGATTCGAAAATAACCCAGGAATTCGTTGCACAAGTAAGGCATAAGGCGATATCAAGGTTTCTGGATCGGATCTATGAATCTATGATCATCATTTGAAAATAAGCGTGCCAATTGATGAATTCGTATCAAGGATTATTGAATAATAAGAACAATCGGTTCCTAAATCTGAAGAAATAGGAAGATCAACCACAGAAATAGAACTCAAGAGCCAGAGATCGATGAATAACCTTGTTTGTGACCGGCGCCTTGTTCGACGGTGTGACACTGAGCACACTTGGTCCTGAAGATCTTCTCACCGGCTTTGGCGTTTCCTGGTGGTGCTTCATCAAACGACGCCATTTTTTCGCTTGAGCAACGCGATCAGGAACAACAAGAGAAAATGATTACGGAACTCTCGTTTCTTTGGAGCTTGCGGAATTTTCTTAGGGTTTCTCTGACCTCTCTTAAAAATCAGTGTTTCCGATCTTACTGGGCCTTAATGGGCTCAAATTCAGTGAGTACTATTTAGGTTCATCTTAGTTCTTGATTAACAAAAATGGTCTGAATCGATTGTTTTTGTTGAGAAATCATACAAGTAAAACTTGTTTTGCTCTGTTGAAACGTGGTCGTATACTATAAGAGTATGTACAATCAACAAATTGATGCTCCAGTTTGATCATCTTGAAGCAGAGAATAATAAAACATTCTTCTATCAGTCTTTGATTCTTTATCCTACTTCTACAAGACGTTCTTCATCTGAACTTTGCTCTTGATTAACGGCAGAATCGATCATCGGCTTATTAATCTCTTCATCTAACCCGGAATCTGTTTCCATCAAAGCAAACTCATGAGCCTTTTGCACACCCAAGTCACTCAGGAAAGTCTTCACCGTTACAAGCTTGTTCCAAGAACCAGTAACTGCATACATATCTGCAAGCAACATATAGTGCCCTAAGTGTTCTGGCTTCGTCTCCAGTAGTAGCTTATCTGCAGCCCATATACCAATGTCTGTGTTCCCGTGGATGAGGCACGCTTTCAGTATAGTAGCACACATGGCACTTGATGGCTCGTAAGGTATTTTGCGGAATATCTTCCTGGCCTCAGCCAGGTCACCTACTCTGCAATAAAGATCAACCATACAAGAATAGTGTTCAAGGCGAGGGCGTATACCAAACACAGTCTCCATCTTCGTAAACAACCTTTGTCCTTCAGGCACTAAATTGGAATGGCTGCAAGCTGATAAAACAGCAACCATAGTTACATGATCAGGTTCGATACCGGATCTGATCATATCCTCGAACCATGCCAATGCGACTTCTCCTTTACCCAGCCTGCCATATCCATCTATCAAGGACGTGTATGTCACTTTGTCCCTCTTGCTCATCGAACCAAATACTCGTTTTGCAGCTATGATATCCCCGGATTTTGCATACATATCGACAAGGGAGTTCCACAGGATTAAACAGTCCTTGTAGCTTTGGCGCCTCAGGATGTAGCAGTGAAACTCTTTCCCATGTTGCAGGTTTGCCACCCGAGCACAGAGAGGGAGAATGCTAGCAAGCGTAATGTAATTTGGGTGAAAGCCAGAGAGCAACATCTCCTTGAGCAGGAAAGAGGTTTCTTCTGATCTCTCGTTGTGTGCATAACCGGAAATGATAGAATTCCATGTACTCAAACTATTTGCTTCAATCTGCTGAAACACTATAAAGGCGTGCCTAAGATCGCTGCATCTTGAGTACATTGTGATCAACGAATTTCGAACATTGTCAATATTATGGAAACAACTACGGAACACAAGGCAATGAAATACTTTTCCCCACTTTAACGCTCCAATGTGTGAGCATGCCTTTAAACCATTAATCATAGCTACAGAATCTAATCTTACATTGCAATTTCTCATCCCAACAACACAATTCAAAGCCCCTACGTAATTTCCTGCCTGCAAACAACCTCCAGCAAATGTGTTCCAAGTTACAACAGTCGCTTCGACACCAGAGAGACGCATTCTATCAAAAAGCTTAAAAGCTTCCCCCAACTTGTCTTCAGAAGTATAACAGTTAATTACTGCATTCCATGAGACAGCATCCCTTTCAGACATCCTGTCAAACAATTTCCGAGCAACATCCACTTTACCAAATCTTTTATACATAGATATCAACGCGTTGCAGACATACAAGCTGCACCTGTGAGAGCTAACCTCAACGGAACCATGAACCACTCTCCCAGATGCAAAATCCAGTAATGCTCCACAAGCCTTGAGAACAGACGGGTAAGTGAATTCATCCGCTCGAATTCCTTTACTCATCATTCGCTTGTAAACAGAAACCGACTCTTCAAACCGTTTATTCCTAACATACGAATCAATAAGCACATTCCACGGCAAGGGATGCAAAATGTCAGAGTTCTCAGTAATGGTCTGAGCTTCGTCAAGAAGATTAAAAGCAGAGTAGAAAGTAACCAACTTTGGGACCAAAACAGGGTCAAACTCCAAACCCGAAGAGATACAATGAGCATGAATTTGCTGCCCTGGAACAAACTCATTAAAATCCACACAGGTAGATAAAAGAGAAGCTGCTGAATACAAAACGAATTCATGAGAACCAGAGTGGTAACGAAGTAGAGAGAAATTTCTGAAAGCTTCATAAAATTGACCATGGGCAATGCAATGTCTAAATGATTCGAAAAGAACTTGTGGAACTGATTCATCATTGGTTTTGGGAGTTTCAGAGATGGGTCTCGGTGGCTGTTTCCAAGATTGAGGAATAAACTTGCGAATTTCGGATACAGTGAGACCTCTAAGTATAGAGCGAGAAGGAGAAGACGGCATATACAGTAAGCGGCATATGATGGCAAAGTCTACCGCCGCAAAGAATGGGTTTTGATTATTGTTCCAACACTAGTTTGATCCATGAAAGCGAAAGTTAATCCAATTTCGCTTCTCCGTCTGAAAATCAAAGGAAGAAAGGTGAGAAAGAAAATAAAAAGTTTCGTTGAGGCATTTCATCGAACATGTGGTGAGCTAAACATACCATTAACAGGCTTAACATGGAAGTATGAGTACATCTAGTGAAACATAGAAGAGACGAGACAGAACTCGTATAGGAAGAAAAAAGAAAAAGACAATGATACGGAGGCAGCACCGACAGAACCGGACGAAGCGACAGTAGGAGAAGCCGCGCGTGAAGGTTTTGTAGAAAGAAGAAGAAAGAGACTCCGTTTTGACATTTGTTCTCAAATGATTTGGGCCAATTGTTTAGATATGTCCACTCCCAGACCCATTGGATTTGTAAACCATTTTAGCCCACTAAACTCTAGCGAAATACATATTTTTTGCGAGGGAAAAAAAGAATCTGACTAGAAAAAAGTTATAATGTTATGGTTAAAACAAAAATATTCGAACGATTTTTTTACAAAAATGCAGTTATTAGTTTTTCTAGAACATATATAATAAGTGAGTTATGAATTGATATTAATATAATAACTGTTAATTTATATTATATATACGACTACATTAGTTTTATTTTATAAACATTTGGGGTCCGATTGGTAACCAAAAGCTGTTAGCTGTTAGTTTTTTCGGAATAGTGTAAAGCTGTAAGAAGGAGCTGTACGAGAAAACTGTTCAAAAAAGTTGAGAGTAAAACTTTTGGTAACGTTTTTGTGATTAGTAACTCAAAAATATATACTTTGTAACGCTTTGTACTGCTTTGTAAAATGGTTACCAATCAATGCCTTGAACTGCAAATCGCGTAGATTTTTTTTTCCTGTTAAAAAACCAGGGTGTTCAAAATACCTTGTAAAAAACTCTAATAAACATTTCTAATAATACCCTAAACTTGAAGTAAGTACCTTTGTAATTTCTTCTAAATGAGTCGGTGACTATGATGGATGGTCTATCACAAATCACAATCAATTCCGAAATGTCTGTTTAAACGAAAACCTAATCAAGTATAAAGAATTGGTTATGCATCTGAAGGATGAACTACATTAAAGACACGATGGGCCTGAGTTTCTCCGTGGATGATTCGTGTTTTGGATGTAGTTGTGTGTGAACTAATACTCGACAACCATGTCTCTGAGTCAGCAATATTAAAGACACAGAAGAAGACAAAAAACAACTTTTTCCAACTAGTTTGGGCTGTTGTATGTGTGTAGTCCGTGGACAGTCTCATTACAGATTTTGGTCAAATACCAAAAATACAAATTAAAGGACCCGCTTTAGACGGTGCTCACGTAACGCATGACGCAATTTGTACCCAAAAAAGGCAAAGAAAGTCTTTGTTGTTTTTTTCTTTATCCCACGTGGTTTAACCTTAGATGACGAACGTTTTCACATTCTTCTTCATCGGTGGAGTTTCACATTCTTTTTTTTTTCCACTGCTTTTTCTCTTTATTATTACAACGAGTTAACACTTAACAGTATCTAATTACACATTTAAACATATGTTTGTTACTTTATGTAATTAATTTATAGTGATTTATTTTATACTCATATTCTTCACTTTCACATTATGTTTTGGTTAAATGCATAACTATTACAAAAAAGGTAAAAAATTAACCGGAACAAATAGTTTCAGTATAAACGTTTTGAGATTAAAAAAAAATGACAGAGATGTCATTTTGAATCTCGACAAAAAAAAAATAAAAAAATAACTCCGCTCTTATCTTCCACTTATAAAAAATATACATTATGACTTACAATTTTTTGAATATCAAAAAACAAAAAGGTGAAAACTATAAATTTAACTTTATGAATAAATAAATATGATTTATTTTTTACATTGAAAACAGAACGGTATATATTAATATATACCACTTGTTTTATAAAAATGACTGTTAACTTTTCAAATACATTGAATTTACTAGCCAAAATCCAAAAATTACAACTTGTAAAGAAAAATTGACCAGTCAGTAAGGCACATGTCAAATTCATACCACTAAAAATGGGTCATACTTTGACCAGTTGATTTTTTCTTCGAAAATTAAAAAACTATATTTATAATTGGTCAACCACATTCTCATTCATGATTCATATTAAAAATACTAAGTATATCTTATGATTTGACTTTCGTTAAACTTCAACGTATAAATAGTCTCCGTATCTTCAGATTCAAACATAAACAACACTCAAAAGTTTCTTCTTCACATCGATCATACAAAAAATGGATTTCAGAGACGCCGGTGAAACTCAGTCAAAGTACAAAGGAATCCGTCGTCGGAAATGGGGCAAATGGGTATCGGAGATTAGAGTTCCGGGAACTCGTGACCGTCTCTGGTTAGGTTCATTCTCAACCGCCGAAGGCGCCGCCGTAGCACACGACGTTGCTTTCTTCTGTTTACACCAACCTGATTCATTAGATTCTCTCAATTTTCCTCATTTGCTTAATCCTTCAATCGTTTCCAAAACTTCGCCGAGATCTATCCAGCAAGCTGCTTCTAATGCCGGAATGGCCATTGACGCCGGAATTGTCCACAGTAACGGTGGTTTTGTGTCGGGAAATTCTGGGTATGGTGATACGACGGCGTATTGTGAGAATGGAGCTGTGGAAATGGAGCCGTTGAATATTTCAGTGTATGATTATCTGGACGGTCACGATCACGTTTGATCTTCTTTTGAATAAGATTACGTACCACAGAAACAAGTGTGGTACCAAATCTTACTTAAAACAAGATTAGGTACTACAAAAACAATCAAATGGTTGTGAATATACGTATAAGGTTTTGATTAATGTTTTAGTGAAGTTTGGTCCATTGTATACGAATCTATTAAAGAAGCCTCGCGCGAGATAATGTTTCGTGATTGAAGATTGAGTTTTAAGTATTCAAACTGTTTTTGTAAAATACAAACATGTATTTGATCAGCTATTACATTATTACTCCAAACGAAATACATGGGCGAAAGCATGCGTCATAATTGCCATGCTTTCGCCAGTGAATGAGCTCCTCACAGTACCTTATAGCTAAGTCACTGATTTCTCTCGAGTCTCATTTGTTAAGTCTCTGTTTATTGAATGTGTCTCCTCTTTAATCATTCGATCAGGATTGACCGCCAAATTGCTTCTGGAGATCCGTGAAGGATACGGTGGCTGAACCTCTTCGTTTGGCCTGCGGGTGAGACGAATGTTCTCTCCATCCTGTCATGTAAATCACCTACACAGGAATGTCAAACGATATTTTTAGGTCTCAAATGTTGTCAACTGCATGGATTGTAGCAAATCAACTTGAATAGTGAAGCAAGGTAATGGTTTTTTTCATTGTTGAGTTAGTTCTGAAATTTTATGGACAGACCTGAAAAGTAGCAGGTATAGTGCCGTCCTCTGTGGCAAACATGGAGTCATATATGGCTGCCGTGGCAAGAGCAGTTTCTCGATTCAAAATCTGTTTTTGAAGTCATTTTAGTTTAGCAAATATATATAGTAGTCATAATTGCGAAAATTTTGACAGAAGAAGAAACCAGCCTTGTTTCTCTCGAGAAGAGCATTGGTTTCACCCATTGCACGAAGATGCTCTATAAGATCCATCGCTGAGTAAAAAGATATAAACGAAAAGGCAAATCAAAAATAATTCTTGGAAGATACACGTTTTCGCCAATGATGAAGTAGAAAAAAAGTGGAACAGTTTACCACTCTTGTATTTAACTACATATTCATCAACGTCAACACCAGGAAGACTAAAACCCGCCCTGGTTAAGAGATTCCCTGCGTCCCTGACCTAAAAGAAAGAGAAGCCATGTTCTTTCACTATAAATCAACTCTTTGGCTCTGTCATTTACGAATTGCGATTTCCGCTATTTCAAGCTGGAACGAAAAAATTAAGTGAACTTGCTAAGATTCACACACACACACACACACCTGTGCCAAAGGCGATAACCGGGGACTAATGCCTCCTTCCCGCTCCATGTGAGCCAAGGTGCATGCTATTCTCAACTCCCTTATAAACAATTTCAATTCAAAAAGGATAATAAGAAAAAAGATATCGGATAGAGATTCAGTATTGAGTCTTAATTCGAAATGAAAGACAGGACAAACTTTAAGGTTTCTCCACCAAGAATTGCTGCTAAAAATAGGCCATCAGGCTTCAGCGCTAGTTTGCACTGCAGTTATTAAAATCAAAAACCAACACATTATTAATATTTACTAAGAGGACAAACCAATTCAGACACACCAACAAAGGCAAACAAAATGGGAAAACCTGTATCATGGATCCAGGAAGATCATTTGTCCAATGAAGCCCTAACGAACTTATGATCAAATCAACCGAACTTCGCCATACAACATTTGACCAGGTATTAGTAGCTATAGAACTCTGGTGAAAAAACAGGTTTTACAATACTGTCGTTGTTACCTCTCTTTGATTGGCAGAAACTCTTCATCACCAACCAAATAAGATGTTTCAATGGAGTTATCGAGTGAATCCTCTTGAGCATCTCTACATGATTTAATCATGTCATATGATGTATCCATCATGATAAGCTTCTCAATCCCACCTGTGCAACAAAAACAAAACCATCATCATCATCAACATTCAAAACACAGATGGAAATAAATCTAAACCATGACTGTTGTCAAGAGAGAGATAACTAACCGCGACCACGTAGCAATCGCTTAACAGCACCAAGAGATCCTCCCAAACAAAATGCAGTGGGAAAACTCTTCTTACAATCCTAACAAAGAGCAAAAACAAGATTAACTAAATAGCTCTCTACTCTCTTAATGGCGATCATGCATCAAACAAAAGAGTACCTCTAAGCGGTCAAGTAGATTCTCTGCAACAGCGTCGACAAAGGAATCGTTTTTTTGGCGAGAAAGCCACGCCGCTCGATCACGCTTCAATCGAACACAGAAATTGTAAAATCAGAGACAATGAAATTGAAATCTGGATTAACAAAAAAAGAGAGGAAAATGTAGAGATGAATTCGAACACTACACATGTATTCGCTTGAGATCTCGATCAAAGATCTTGACTTTGGAGCTGTTCTGCTGAAGCTCACCGTCACCGCCATAACTACCTTCCGTAGAGAAGGAGAGAGAGGCGAGCAATGTATGAGATTGCTTCGTAGATTTCTCAGGTGCTCTTCTAAGCAGACCAATTCTTCCGTACAGTGAATTGATCCTCCGCATCTCTCTATCTCTCTCTGGTTCTTAGCTGCACCGGGAAAACGTCGGACGGGGTTCTGGGTTTGGTTTGAAGAAGAGACGGTAGATTTCTCTGTCTGGTCCTCTTTCGTTTTGATCCCTAATGTTTATCGATATTCCATAATTCCTCCCGTATTGTTTTTAATTTTACATTTTACCCCTATGATGTCCTCAGATTGTTAAGGAGCCAATAAATGCTGTTAGAGTTTTAGTTCAAGACTTGCAACTAGAAACGCTATGGAAGCTGGTAAGCAATTCATATAACAGAGGACTCAAGACTCTTCGTAATGTCCATTTAAATGTTTACATGATTCATTAGTTCATGAAGGACAATGTGAACGAATATGGTGGATTGATGCAAAACCGTTGCAGATTCGCTTTACAGTTAGTGGAATAAGTATATAACGCGAGTCAATTTTGTTTGCATTCTAGTTTTGTACACGCACGTCATGTAGTTGAGATGGCTACAAGAACAAGAGTTATTGCCACTCTCTTCGTCTTTTCATCGATTTAGATGTTCTCTTATCTTTTTTGGAAAATAGAAACCAGGAATAAGTTGCCACTCAAAACACAGGGAATAATGTACAAGCCAAAACCTTGAAGAGAACTTTGTAATAACACATACACTTTAAATCTATGAGAAATGCACACAAGAGGTGAGTAAAGAGTGATACCGATGATTTCTGAATTTACATGATCACACACGAACATGTTCTTTGTCGTCCTACCTCCCATTCTTCATCTGATAATCCCATCTCACTGCAACCAAAATCAAGTTTGTTTCTTCGAAGTCAGTAACAAACCGAGGGAGGCTCACAAGTCACAAAGCTACAAAGTCTCTGCAAAATCATGATGCGTAACAAATAATTTACATGTATTGAGTTTGCCCGGTACTAAGCAAAAGTGAAACTCTGAATGAATTAAAAGATTTTCATTTTGAGCTATAGAGGTTAAAGCTCAAGACTCAAATTAAGGATCCTATTTGCATACAATCTAATTATATAAGCTCAAAATTCACATTAAGGATCCTATTTGCATAAAACAATGGATGTACTTAAATTAACTTGTATTGGGATTTAAGCTGCTCAATAAGAGGTAAACACATCACATACCTCGGCTCAAATTCTCTAACTTGAGTGAGTTCACTACCACAAGCATCTGGCCACTGAACTTTCCGCCTTGCCATGTCACCAGTGAGATCGCTACCATCCACGCTCAACGTCTCGTATTCTTGTATATCCTCAAGAGAGCGTGATTCCGCAACAGAGGGCCTCTTCAAGCTACTCCTCAACGAGAGTTTGAAAGCTTCTTTGCTGCTGCCATTATCAGCTTCACTTATTTGGTCTTTGCCCTTTTCAGAAACAGCAACAACAGACTCTGGTGATGATATTTCACGATGCTGCTGCACAGGTTCTACTTTAAGAGGAGAAGGGGTCTCAAGTCCCGCGGAAGCGCCACCAAAACAACTAAAGGAAGCAGCGCAACCGCGGGAAACTCGGTTCTTAATGGAATCCAGCTGAAGAACAGGGTCAGCCTCTTGGTCAACCACCTGGTAGTGATTCCACGGCACAACTCTCATGGGCCTATCCCCGTCTTTATCACCAGAAAAAAGAAGGGTCAATCCCTTACTATACCCAGACGCAGACGCTGAGAATAAACCCCCTCCTTCTACTGCCAGTAACATTAGTTGCTATATTCATCTGGCATACATTAAAACCCTGACAATGTCCACCTTCCTGCTCACCACCGAGCACCAAATATAGTATCGGTTTCGGAAACCTGTGCTACAGATTCAGATTCAAGAAACATGGATCACTTAAACTCAGAAGTATGGATCAACCTCAATCATCGAGGAGATCTAAAACGCAAAAAGAGAGAAAAAAAATACAAAATCGTAACAGAGATAGTGGAACGAAACGAAATGAGATTGGATCTGCAGCCGTAAGTTTCTTCAGATGTATAACACTAGTGAATTGATAAAGAGTAGAGATTATATTAGAAGATCTATAAAGCCATTTTCGAATCATGAGCAAACAACTGAAGAAGAGTTTAAACATGCATAAGCTACTTCAAGCCACCGAAAGATTACGATCTCAATTCAAAGTTCGTCTTCTTCCTCGCTACTTCTTTTTGCTGGTTTTTCTCAGGAAAATCCGGAGGGAACAAAAAAAATGAATCTACGGGAGGAAAATTCACCTGATGGATCAATCAGCTCTCGGGAAGAGAATCGATGGCTTTGGTCAGCGCCGGCGGTTGAGATCGTTACTTTTCTCTCGCGTGAATCAATAGGCGATGAGAGAGAAGAAGTGATGAAGAAGAAGAGAGTAACATGAAAAATTGAAAATGATAATTAATTTTAGTGTTTAAAGTTACTGATAGTGATTAAACTGATAACGATGTATTTGCACATGACAGCGACAGCCCCTTGTGCCACACTCTCTGATTTATCGATTATAAATTCTGTGTATGGAATTGAGGATTTTGTATTATTACTTTGTTTCAAGCAAATTATAAGCGAAATTGATTTGAGAGAATGTAATAAAAAGAGTAGGAGCAACATAGTTTTGGATTCAATTATATATTGTAATAAAAGCTAAGACCGTCTTTTGATGAAACAACATTTTGCTTAAACTATCTCTTCTGCAAAAAACAATACAAAACAAAGCAAAGCCATTGAACCAACAACCAACTCTTTTTTTAACGCTTCTTGGAGACACCAACAGTCTTTCCACGTCGTCCGGTGGTTTTGGTGTGCTGTCCACGTACACGTAGACCCCAGTAGTGCCTCAGACCACGATGGTTCCTGTTCACATTAGAGTGATAACCACAGTCAGTACTAACAAAGTTCAATTGATTGCACCCAGTATCAATATCAGAACAACAAGAGAGAAACAAAGACTGCACCCAGTTTCATATTACTACAGATTGGGTTTTTGTTATCAGAAATAAGCATATCTTTTACTAATTCAAGTATACATGATCTAGCTTATCTTTTACCATTATAGTGGGCATACAGAGCACAGTTTATACAGAGGAGAGTGTGTCTGCGTGTTACCTGATCTTCTTGAGACGCTCAAGATCATCTCTCAGTTTCATGTCCAGAGCATTGGAAACAACTTGGGAGTATTTCCCATCCTTGTAATCCTTTTGCCTGTTCAAGAACCAGTCTGGGATCTTGAACTGACGAGGGTTAGCAACGATTGTCATGAGGTTGTCGATTTCCGCAGCACTTAGTTCTCCAGCCCTGAATATTCCAGCAAAGGATAAACATTAAGGATGCACATAAAATAAGAATGACAGTAAACCAACTTCTTCAAGAATTCCACTAACTTCTACCACATTTCTTAGAACACAAACCAGATCGAGCAGCTTCAATTCTAGTCACAGAGCTACATTTTTCTATCCTTAGAATTCCTAAGTTATGGATAGTGGTAAGATACAAGCTAGGAAACAAGGAAACAAACCTCTTGTTCATGTCAACATCAGCCTTCTTGCACACAATGTTGGCCAATCTCCTTCCAATACCCTTGATTGAGGTCAAGGCAAACATAATCTTTTGCTTCCCATCGACATTAGTGTTGAGCACACGCAAAATATGCTGAAACTCCTCGTTCGCAACTAGAGACTACACACACACAAACGAGAGCAACACTAGATCCGTCAGTCGCAAATCGTGAAAGGGAACATAACCTAACGCTTAACAAATCAAATCCAATCCAAACACCAGCAATGAAAACGAACGATACACAAAATGAAGCACGAGCAATTGGAGAAACAGATAATCATTCGAAGAAACAGAAGAGAGTCAAGTGACAAGAGTTGAAGAACGATGATCGTACCATTTTTGGATGCCGAGAAAGATCGCGATACAAGGATTAAGCTCTTTCACAGACTCTGGAGGCGCCACCACAGCTTAACAAGGTCAGGTCTGTTATAAGCGGCGTAACTCCTTTAGGGTTTTCGAACCTCTTCCGGTTAATTACTAATTTACCCTTTATAATGTTTTAAAATCCCAATACATTATTTTGTTTTTATGTTTTTTCTTTTGCTATATTAATTTTTGATGATTTAAAATAAGTAAATTTGGAAATTTTCCGTACAACTTGAAATAGAAACTACTATACATTACGGTTTAGAATCCACTGAGCAAGACAAAAAGGTTGTGCTACTTCGTCATTTAAAATGTACAAAGAAGAGGTTTGAGTTATATAAGACCCCGAGAGCGAGGGCAAATCCAACGCCTGTGGGAGTGATTGCGTCAGTCACTCATCATACATATTACATACAACAAACTATATATATTCTTCTTGGTCTACGTCCAAATATTTGTCTAGAGAACTAAAATTTACCAAAAACAAAAGAGGGCGCCAGTTATTGGGACAAGGATATAGTACAGCCGAGTTCTCGAGCTGCGGTGTCGAGAAACTGAGTAGGCATAGTTGTGGAGAGCAAGCTGTGAGCTTCCCAGTTTAAGCATTTTTGGATATCGGCTTTCCAGTCTATTGTGGCGGCGTTGAAGAATCGATAGGACAGGCTGTTCATTCCGTTCTTCTCTGTTGTTGGCAATTTTGGAGTTACTTTGATGGGTATGGAGCTTTGGCTCATGATGTCACGTAGTACTGACGTGCTTAAGGCACGTACGTGTGCACTTGGGTGTGAAAGGCACCGTATTGTTGCGGGTAGACGACACTGCATGGAAGCAAACAGATGTAAACAAGGTGTCCAGATTTGATTGTCCACAATTGGATGAAGGTAAGCACTTTGGTAACTAGAACTGACTCCGAGCATTGTTAAGCAATACCCTAACTTTTAAGAGAGTTGTAGAAAACTCGAAGGCCAACTTGCAAGACTAACATTTGGAGAAAAAAAATGGTGACGTATGCAAGCTAAGAGATGGTTTAAGAGCCTAAAGATCCGCTCACAGGTTGTTTCTAAGAGAGTTCCACACATGGCTATGGGTATGAGATTTGGTATGGACCCACTACTGATCATCTACAATCAACACACAAAACCATAGGCTCTGTTCAATTCTGCTTACCTTCAATAGATTGGATAAACCGTCGACCACTGCTAGTCCAGATGGTCCCCAAGCTAGCACCGGCTGTATTGCTCTTGCTGTGGCTTCAAGTAGCTGCAAAAGTTTAAAATACAGTGGAATCAGAAAACCGATGTTCACTCTAGCCTGAGGAAAGGCTTTGTTGAGCAATCTATAACAGTGCAGTACCTCAAGTTGAGGTAATGTACAAGCTTCTCCATCAACAAGCATTCCATCAGTTGCCCGCAGAAGAAGATCTGATGCACTTGCCAGAATCACCAGTGACTCAGGCCTGTCATGATTGCGCATGAGTTCCACCAACACTTTGACTATCCGTTGGTTGATTTTCCACATTTTCTGACCTTCTTCATCATCTTTGGCGATCCAAGGCTGCAACTCCCTCTCAGCCTGTAAATAACACAAGACCATTTCAGACTAGAGAGCATTAAAGTAAATCCTTCAAGCTATAAACAAGCCATCATTTTACACAGCTATTTTTTTCCTTATTTCCTATCCGTGGCATATTTAAACAAGTGTTGCACATAAATTCCCAACATAATTTCTTATAAATTCATGAGAGATCGAATCGAGTGAACCAAGCATTATATAACATTAACACAGGCCATAGTTTTTCCGCAGTTTAATCTTTACACACGTGTGGCACTTCTGACAAATGAAATAAAAGTCAAAGAGTAATTTGGACCTGAAGAACAACTGCTGCAGCTGCTTTTGCTGGCGTTGCAGATACGACATTGCATAGTGCATCAACAACCTGATATATGAAAAATATGATTAGTGAATGAAGTCGAGCCCCTTGAGAACTTGGAAAGAACAAAAAGACTACCAAGGAAACTGTAAGCAAGCTGGGAAATAAAAATGCTGAGGTTTACCTGTCTCCATCCTTGTTGCGCAGAGGTGCTTTCTGCGGTGGGCTGGATTTCAGGAGCAGCAATCAGTTTGTGCCATAACAGTGAAACAACGGAGAAAGACAGCTCCGGTTTCTCTGCAAGCACTGACGTTAAAAGCTTTTGTGTACCACAATAGAACCCTGCGAGTCTATCAGCTGTGAGGAAATTTGCTAGATCAGAAGCATCCAAGAGGAAATCTTTGATACCCTTCTCTGAGGGTCTCCCTGAGCCTTCATCTGAATGTCTAGCGTACTTATGGTTTCCTCTTGGATTCATTTCAGTCCTTGAGGCGGATGTCACCGCTGTATCAAAGCATGTGGTGCTTGCACATGTGTTCTGTTGTTTACAGTTTAGGGTCAGAGAATCCTTCTGAACCGGTGTATTCTTAAGGTAGGCTTCTAAGGGTTCAGCTTTGTCAACAATGGATGCAACAACTTTGCTGTGAACATCAATGAGGTTATACAATGATGATGCTCTTTTATGAATTTCCTTGTCCCACTTACATCTCATCAACCCAGACAACGCATGCGTCAAGGCCTTTGAACGTCTGAACAGTTCGGAAATATGAGCTGCAACCATGGCCGCAGCAACTATCTCACTAGAACTGTAACTCCATGGAGTCCCCACAGAAGATGGTTTTAATGAAAAGAGTGCCTCTAGAATTGCCAAAATTCGGCGTGTATGATTAATTGCCGAGTCAACCCCAGCTCCATACTCATTAGATGACCCATTTATCTTTACAGGCTTTGTAATAGTTCCAGCCACGGCAGAATTGGAAAAGTTCCCCCCTCCAGAGATCATAGGATACAGCTGAACCTCACAGGCAAGGGCACAAACAGCAGCAAGAACGTATGAATCAAATGCTGCTACAGGTCCCTGTCCCTTGACACTCCTACTTTTACGGTTAGCAGTTTGATTGTCAGATACAGGTTGATTTGCCTCGATATTTTCGGTAGTACTAGCATATTCGCTTCTCGGTCTCTTGCTACCACTAGACTGTGCTTCATGGCTAACACATACAGTCAACACAACAAAAAGTAGGCGTGAAGCTAATTCCACACCAGCGCATGATTCTAAAAAGAGAGCATGGACCATAGCACGAAGCTCAGCCATAGCAAGGTTTTTGGTCGCTGATCTTGTGGTAAAACTCGATCTAGCTTTTCTAGTATGTTCCCTGGATGATATAGGCGGAAAAGTTCTACTGAGTATTGTTTCCACTGTGGCAACAAATATTTTCATCAAGCATGCTTCCGAAGGACTCCCCCGTGGAAGATATTCAAGTACTTTGAGGAGTGGAATGTATAGATTCCATGACAAGATAGGAGGTTGCAGTGGGGTAGCAACTATGATTTCAGGAAGATCAACCGCTGAAGAATTTAACGGGATCAATCCATAAGCAGCTTCCCATATAGTGCAAATCCTCCACTCAACTTCAGGACCATGAGCACAAAGCATGGAGGCAATTCCTTGGGCAGTGGCTTCAATGGTTGCTTCTGCTGCAGGAACTTCTATCTGTTGAGAAATACAGACTTGTGAAATTAGTCAGTTTCGATATAATTTTCTAGCAGAATGCCAATCTCATATCAGAGATAAGTTGGTGAACAGCATAAAAAAAGGAACCATGCCTGTTTTCTGTAATTTGAACTGTAGCCACCAATAGGCGCGTGCTGAATTTCTACTCCCTCAACTTGACTTAGCGGAGGAAAAAGCAGTGCTGGCTGTGAGAGTATGCGGAAAAGCAAAGCGGCTGCAGCATCAGCAGCAACACCTGCCCTCATAGACATAGCAATTCCTATTGCCCGCAAGAAGTGCAAATGCATCCAGTTCCTGGGTAGCTACAGCAAGAAAGAGAGTGTGATCAAAGCTGATTTTTTTTATGACATATCAAAGCTGACTTTTTTTATAAGAGCCAATGCTATCCGCCGACGAAATTTGAAAGGCTCCCACATATTGTAAGCCAACAAATCTCATAGTGTGGAACAAGGGGCACGATTAGCTTTCTGGAGAGTAATTAAAGGATTCATATTACGCTTACCCTGACACCAGATGCATAATCTTCAGCAGCTCGAAGGAGTTCCACAAGCTGTACAGCAGCATCAAGTGCATCTGGAGCCCACGATGGTGGTGCTTCTAAGAGTCCAAGAAGAAGTCTCTGAGTAGCACTTGGAGTTGCAATGGCATAATATCTGACAGAAAAAAATGAAAGTGATAAACAATTCTGAATCAGGGACTCGATGAAGCTCAACCTTAAAACTAGCAACAGCCTACAACTAACAAGCCCCAATTGAAAGGGTAAGCTAAGAAACAATACCTATGAAACAAACGTGCATATGGTTCAAGAGCTGGAAGGCCAGCAACTAGATGCTCATCTAAGGATGTCGTTGGGGGAGGAAGTAGAAGTGCAGGGACAGCGACTGCTGTCAGTGTAGCAGTCTCATATCGAGCAACTTCATCATCACAAACACTCAGTATGACACCAGCTCCATTAGCAACTGCCCATCTTGGCGTCGAAGGCATCAGTTGAGGATGTTTACCGGATCCTCGAGAAGCTGCCAAAGAAAGAAAACGTGAGAGTTAAAATAAGTAACTAAAAACGCGTTCTATAGCCACAGATCCCACAGATGATGGATACACATATATGAACGAAATGATAGAACAACTCTATTGAACTCACCAATGGTTGGCGGCTTGAGCTCTCCAGCAGCATATTTACCCATTACACCACTACACCTGTAAATATAAGCAACAATTTTAGTTGTAAGTAAGCTTAAGCCCACTACAGAACCTCAATACATAGTCCTCAGCAGAGACAAAATTAAAAGAACGAGGCCGGGGCATGAATACATAGAAGCATCAGTGACACAGTCTACTTACCATCGGAAGTAGTCACTTCTTATACCCAAGGGAGCAGCAAGTAGTATA